AGAGATGGGACAGCAGAGAAAAAGGCAGGAGTCTACTCTCGTCCCCTCACTTATGTTCTTTGCTACAGGTTCATTCCAGGGCGCAGCAGGAGTCGATGGAGGAGATTTGTCGGTTGGCTCAGATGTAGAGATTGAAGACGAGTTCGGTTTGAAAGAGCAGTTTGTTAGCTTTGGGTACTACCGACATGATGATGATCACGTCGGCATGAATCCCTCAGTGAGCTTACACAGCACGTCAGCACTACAGAGGACCTCACCTTCAAACTCCCTTGGATTACATTCAAGAAACTCAGTGAGGTCAGCAAGCGTCCCAACAAGAAAGCCAAAGATTGCGTGGTAGGAGATGTTGCAAGTATGATCAGGGAGGGGAGCATCGATGTAATTAAATCTCTCCTAGGTTGGAAAAGAGACCATTTCAAGGAGGGTGATGCAGCTAGTGAAGAATTTGGAACTTTGCATGTTCCCAGTTGACTGACCTTTTTGATGACACACAAACTGTGGCCGACCTTGAAGCCGGAGGCAAGCGACATTTCGAAAAAAGTGGCCGTCCTTGGATTCGAAAGCACGTTCGAGCTCTTCCAGGTCATTGATACTACAGCCCCCCCCCCCTTCAAAAACCTTCTTTTATTTGTGAACATGAAGCCCTCTCTGTTTTTCCCATCCCCCCGGGCCATCTCCATTCTACCCCAAAAGCCCTAGAAAACAGGTATTTACCCCACTATTGACCCTTAAATATTACCCAACCTACGTTCTTTCCACAAATAGTAGTAAAATTCCCGTAGAATCCTCTATTTTATCCCCCAACCCCCCTAAACTGCTCTCTTTTTCCAACGGTTTTATAGATGTGTGAATGAAAGCACGACTCTCTTGGGCAGTTATTTCATTCCCAGTTCCTTGTGGGAGTTGAACCTGACAGGATGTTCTTCGAAGTCAACAGGGGCCACGTCATCACTGTGACTCGTGCTTTTGAAATATGCTGGTGTTGGTGGGACTGAGTCGATCTTAATCGAATAGGTTCGAATCGATTTGATTTAGAGTGTGGGTTAATGTAATTCCTCGACATCATAATGGGGTCTCGTTTTAGAGTCTGGGTTAATAAGACAGTTAATGGGGGTTCTCTTTTGCAGGAGAGACGTTAGGGCTTAGGTCCAAAGTGTGCATGGCATTAAATGTCAATGATGTCATCGCAGCCTTGAGATTTCAAAAGAGACTGGCTATTTATTTGCTGCTAGTTTCGTCACGCCTGCTGGTATCCATCTCTAAGTAATTGTCAAGCTGCAAACGATAATTGCTCCAGAAAATCCTTCTGCCAAACAATGAATCACTCTGCGAGCCATTCTGTGCAGTTTTCAGGTGCTTTTGGCAGAAAAAAAGTCATTGCCAGAGACAAACACCCTCCTGGCAGAAAAAAAAACCTCCTGGCAGAAAAAAACACCTCCCGGCAGAAAAAGCCATGCCGGCTTTCGGAACTGCAGAGTTCGAGGGCTTCTGCAGAGTGCACGCCAGCCTGCTTCAGGAAAAAAAGTGTTTCTGCGGACTCAAAAAGGGCGTTTCTGCAGAGTTTTTCATTCCCAGTGTTGCGGGTGACATATCCTACAAGAAAGGCATGACCAGAATTGGAATCATACCGTCTTCCGCTGGATCTTTTTTGCCAACCGATATCCATAGAAACAATCACTCGAGGGTGTGGAAAGTCGTGAGGTAGCTTCTTTTCGTCTGTTTGGATAAAGGAAAGCCACTTTTCATAGTCCCAGTCATCTGTGCCAGTCATTGCGAGTTGCACTTCCCGCTGTAAATTCTGATGAATGGCCTCTGCTGTAACTTGTCTAATCATTGGTGCAATGCTCTTCTCAATTCGATGAAATGAACTATTTGCCATCGATGTAAGATTGGGCATGTTCATGAATCCAAGAAGCTTCTGAGCATCGGTTCCTCCGTCACCCATGGAAAGGAAGGCAAGGACATATCGTACGTTTGCTTGATACATCTTGCTGTTAGCAGTTTTATTTGTCTTGCTTTCAAGTCCAGTGCGCGACAGTTCTGCTTTTGGTGCTGCTTCTCTGTTGTTCCAGGTGCACTGTATATTCCGGCAAATGAAGGATGCCCTGCTAGCAACTGTCACAGTCTTCAATACAAGATCCAGTGTGTTGGTTCTACGGCACTTGGGGCACACCGTGTTAGCTCTAATGAATTCTGACAGGTTGTCGGCTTCAATGATGTGGCGTCGGGGTTCTGGAACAGACTTCTTTTTGCCTTCATTTTCCACTCCCTCCACTTCTGAAACGTCGGACACTTCACTTTCACTCTCACGTAGGACTGCTACTCTTGGCAATGCTGCTCCCTTCAGCTGCTGTTTCTTGCTTGGCTGTCCTGAGAAAAGACTGTCGCTATTCCAGCTGTGACTGTCGTTTCCTTTGTCATATCTGTTTCCACCAGTGGCAAGCTTGGCAATTTCCTTCTGGACCTGCTTGGATTGACTGTAGCCAGTGAAGATTTCCTCCACTGATGCTGCTGGCCCACTGCTGCGAAGGGATCGAGCAGTTACTGAAGACTCCCTCAGTGGAGCCACTGTATCTCCAGCTTCATTGTTACCATCGGTGTCATCCTCTTCTGCATTGCTTGCCATCTGTGGCTGAGGTGGTGTTGCTGTTCCGGTATCGATATAGTATGGAGCATCAACGTGGGAAAATGTGACCGAGTTGCCCGCGAAATATGTTGATCAATTGCACTTAGAGGAGTGCTGACTCGATTCTTGCGTTTGAGAGGTTGACGTACGTGCTTGAATAAGGAATTTTTGTTGAAGCACATGAGATTCACTACTCGGATTCCTTTCAACCCTCGGATGCCATCATGTGCTACGAGCTTTCGAGCTCCGGAAAGGTTCGTTGCACATGCGATCTAGAGGCTATTCACGAATACTAGTGACTAATATGCGCTTGGGGGTCCTTAAGCACTAGCTAAGCACTACAGGTATCTGCTTCTAGCTAGCTAGCTATTAGGGGTATCTGCTTCTACACCGAAACCTTTCTGCCGATGTTACACAGCTCCGCTGGCTTAATAAATACTAAATAGATACGTGACTGACACTCAATCTCTTTATCTCTCAGCAGGAGCCGGGCATGGACAATCTTTGGTGTGGTCGCGGATCCATACCGGTATGCACGGTCACTGCCACTGTCATTCGGATTAGCTCTAACCTTAATGTGTTATTTGCGGGACTGTCGTCTTGATGACGTACCGGAGCCGAACGGAAAACTTGGGCTCATTCATTTTTCTCAACGTTCAAGAGCTTGCTATCGGGATCGAAGGTGGAAGCTCTCATAGATGCTTCAGCAACCAAAGGGATCCAGAAAGCACGTGTAGCCTCATTTCTTTTCCAACAAGACTTCAGTATGCTTTCGACTCCCTGCATTCTTGCTTTTCACCGTCTCCAGGATCACATGTACTCATGTCTTTCGCGCCGTAATCTCACAAAATCGTGCTGTCATTGGTGAGGCAACTCCTTGTTGAGGCGAAACCATGACCATGAGAAATATTCCTTCACTGCGGATGCCAGCAACTATGTATTTTCTAATTACCGTGCTGGTGTGTGCCTTCGTTCCTCTCTCCCGTGCACAGTCGGCCCTCCCCAATGGTGCCATTTTGGGCGTTGTCGGAGGAGTCACGCGCACAAGAGCCGTTGTGGGTTTTCGAAGTCAACAAAGTGCACAAGTATGGGTAGCCTATCACAGGCGTCGCGGTGGACAACAAGGATTCCAGTCTAACGATCCCAACTTGCACTACTCCAAAGATCGCGTCGTTACTAGTCCAAGCAATGACTTTACGGGTAGCATTACCCTGTCGAATCTACAAGAAGATACCACGTACTTTTATCGCATCGTCATCAATGGTGTTACTCAGAACGTTCCCAGAGAGTACGAGCAAATGTTTCGCACTTTTCCCAGAAGCGGTCGTGTCGACTTCTCCGTGTTTTCCGATACATGGGTCAACGGGAACGGACACACTGGCCAGGAATACAACCGAGCTGCCAAGAGCTATGAAAGCGGCGGGTATTATCAGCAAAGCGACCGACCTCTATTTGCTCTTCAGATTGGTGATTTTGACCATCGCAATCCTCTCACTTTGGACGATTCTCGAAGGATGCACCGAGAAATGCGTGACACTCGATTTCAGTCCGGAGCCCAGTTCACGGCCAACATCTTGACCAAAATGTGCGTGGCACACATGTGGGATGATCATGATTATTGCACCAACGATTCTGACATGTACTGCCCTTCAAAGCGCACTTCCACACAAGCCTTTCGAGAGTACTATCCAGGCTACGCTGAAGCCAATCCTTCCTATGGTCTTTGGTACAAGTTCCGAGCGGGCGATGCCGAGCTCTTTGTCTTGGATACCCGCAGTCGTCGAGATCCCAACAACAGTGCCAACACTGCAGCCAAAAGCATGCTCAATGGAGGCGGCGGAATTCCCAACGACCAGCTGACATGGCTGCTGAATGGACTTCGCCAATCCAGCGCCACTTGGAAGATCATTGTCAGCAGCACTGGTGGTAACCTCTATGCCAGGTTGAACACTTCGACCGATAACTGGCGGTCCTTCCCATCCGAGGTCAATCGCATCCGAAACTTTTTGCAATCCAATCGGATCCAAAACGTGGTAATGATTAGCGGTGACATTCATTCCGGTGGTGGCATTGACAATGGCTCCAATAATGTGTTTGGCATTCCCGAAATGACAGTTCCTCATACCAACATGCCCATGCAGGCTCCTTCTCACAACATGCCTTGGGGAGTATGGTCTCAGGGAGTCCTTCCTGGTGTCAACTCACAGCTTCAAGGAGAGGGCTATGCTTCAGTATCAGTCAACTCTAATAGTCTGATCTTCCGAACGCATGACCGTGATGGACGCGTCCGCCTTCGGTACTCTCTGCAACGTCGGCGCTCTTCTGGCAACTTGAGAGGACGGATTGGTGCTGGGTCGGATGAATTGTTCGATGGTCCATAAAGCTAAAAGACTACTGCAACGGCAAAAAGAAGATACATTAGTCTTGAAAGTGCTCACCTTGAACAACGTCAGGGAGCAGGTCCCGCACTAGTCGCTTGCTAGCGATGACGAATGGAGCAGCATCTTTCAGTAGAAGTAATAAGAAACTGTAACAAAAGCAAGTGATGCATGCATGCACTAGCTAGCTAGTGTACCGTAGTACACAGCCCCATTGGGCTCATGGTCGTAAGAACAGTTCTATCCGGGCTCTAGGAAGTCCTTTGTTTTTGACGTCGTACTAACTACGTACTCGAACTTTGACAAGAACATTCGAGCTCCGGTCAAGGACGAATCTGGATACTTTTTGCGGCCGGCGACACGATTGTTCTGTGCTTTTGTCGGCAGTGCAGTGGTGGAACGGAGCCATACTGTACTGATTGTTCGGATCGACCCATCCATGGAACCTTTGCTGCTTCAGATCTTTGCCTGCTCGAAAATGACTCGACTGTCACTCGACTCGACTAACTCAATCAAAGACTCCACCGACACTCCATTGTTGGAGTCGATCATTGATTCCCACGTGGTAGGTTTCCCACAACTCGGTTCGAATGGCATCGGCTTCTCGAAACTTGCCCTGCTCTCGCTTGCGACATCTTTGTTGGACGAGTTGTGGAATGCGGGTCATGATCCATGCATCATTGGTTGGTGTCTGGGAATGCGTGCTTTGTCGGTACGGACAGCCATCATCATCGGGATCAGGCGCGGAAAGCAGATCTTCTTGATCCCCAATGAAAAGCAAAGGCGGCACCATGTCATGGTTGTTCCAAGTTTCATCATTGTCCGGCTGTTGTGGATCCTTGAGGATGCTTGGAGTGGTGGACCGTTGTTGTACAACTTGTGGAGAGGAAGAAGACTTTGGCAACTTGATTGCTGTACTTTCGTCGTCATCATCATCGCTGTCGACGATGAACCATTCCTGCTCGTCATCATCCATCATGACGCCGTATGTCCTGCGCAGTTCCAGTGCCAAGAAATCAGCCAATTCGGTTTGCTGTTGGACCATGGCTCGTGCCCGATCTGCCACGAGCTGCTGTACCCGAGTCACAATCTGAGGAGACGATGGTTGGCTGGTAAGTCTTTGCCGAAATACTGGAATGTCAGTATTCTTGTTGGGCATCGTCACGGCTGCTGTTGTCGTGCTGGACTTCTCAGCATTCCAAGACGATTCATTTCCTTCTATTATTGTTGCTCTTGTGGTCCGCCTCCATTGTCGAGTTTGTTCGTTGACTTCCACACCATTGATTCGTAGTTCAAATTGAATCGCCTTGGCTCGTTCGTATGCTCCTTGATTCTTTGCCTGCGTCTTTTGGACGAGAAGGTTGTTGATTTGGGCATTTGTGAGGGGAGAAATGCTGGAGCTCTCACCATCACCTGGATTATTGTCATGTGGAGAGTAAGGATGGCCCCCGTCTCCTAGCACTCGATCTTGTTGTTCTTGTTCCAGTTTGGCTCGAATGTAAAATGTTGGGGCGGCTCCCTTTTGCGTGGTCCAATAGGATGGATTGCCATGATAGAGTCGAATTCCAAATTGTCGTTTGAGTTGAATGGTGAGTGCGTCGCTCTTGGCGTACGCTCGCCGTTTGCGATTCAAATAAATCTCCGAGAGAAACTCTTGGATGCGTTGTCGTTGGGAGGACGTCAACGAGTGACAAAACGAAGTGGCTTGATTATCGTTGGGATCTGGAAGGAAATAGGGTGACAGGTCGGTTGTTCCCTTTTCACAATCAATACTCCTAGTAGTATCATCATCAACAGAAGTAGAACTACATGTAGTGGTCAACTGAACTTGCTCCTTGGTGAATTCCTCCAAGGCCACAAACAGATTTTCCTCCTTATCGGCCGAAGCAGAGTTCTCATCAGGCTTGGATGCTGCGAAATTTAAAAGGATGTTGTGGGTATTTCGTCTTTTGCGTTTTTGGAGAACCTGTGACGGATGCAGCAAGGATCCAAGGCAACTTGGGAATGACGGAAACGCGGTCAATACCGTTGGCTCAAGTGCCATCAACTGTATCAGGAGCAGCCAGGATCGAAGCAAAGGACCGGTCATCATTGCATCCATCAATGTATCATACATGTAACATCGGTTCTGGATTCTAGCTATGATAGATCTGAGGATCTGAGGATCCGGTCGATTGTCGAGGGGAGGGGGAGGAAAATCCCGCGATCTTTCTCTTCAATTTGGTGACGTCAGCACCGTGAAAGAAAGATACAGCTCGTGCCACGAAGCCGAGATTATCCTCATGCGGTTGCATGTTTGCAATCTTTTTTTAAGCACATCGCTCCGCTCAACAGGCAACCACGCTAAAGGCTGACTACGGTAGCTAGTGCCAGAGTGCGAGATGAAGTGGAAGATGACAAGATTGCTTCTCTTGAGACGAGGAGCGAGCAATGAGTGACAGTCTGCCTGCCTGATATATTTGGCTGTGGATATCATAGTTAGCACGCATCGAGAGCAATCTCTGGCCAAAACTAGGAGCCAGTTGGAGCTACACTGGAAACAAGAAAGAGGTACGACTGTACCGGAAAGTCCATGATGTTGCCTGTTGGTCACTTCAGATCGGACTCGAGAGAAGATCCTCTGGAGTCTGGAGTCTGGAGCAAAGCAAGACTAGATCTACCAGATCAAGGCAGTTGCGATGTTGTGATGTTTCTCACCTCTTGGTTGGTATTTACTGTTTATTCCTTACTGCCATGAGGTCAGTAAAAGGAGCAGTAATGGCAGTAATGCAGTAATTCCTCAGTAGCAGTAATTATGCACAGTAATTTAAAGCCAATTGAAGGCAGTAAACTACAGTAATTGCAGTAATAAAGGCTAATTACTGTGCTTTTACTGTCATTTACTGGATATTACTGTTGCAAAGGCAGATTACTTACTGCATGGGATTACTTACTGCAGTAATTAGGTGGCCAACAATGGCAGTAATTGGACAGTAAGGAGCCAGTAACCCGGATTTACTGCAGTAAATACCAACCAAGTCTCACCTGTCGGAAGATTGGCCTGTGATTGCCAGCTCTACGGTTTTGTACCAAATCTTTGATCTTCTTTGATCCAACGTCAAATAGAAGCCTTTTAAAGATTTATAGGACCATGTCATCCCTGTGTCATATACACCGTACCGGTACCCTATTAATAGCTATTACCGGTATGCATAGCTATTAATAGTAGAGGGTGCAAAAGAAGAGCCTAAAAGTTCGGAGAAATCCGCAGTTCCACTGAAACGACCCCACGAGTTATGGTGGCACGTGATCATCATCAAAACCGCAATTTTGATGGCGACCATGTGTGTTCGTGTTGGACTCGACCCGGAAGTTGACCTCTCACAATTTCAACTCGCCGCATCCGAACACAACAACAAGCAAAGAACAAAGATGGGCAAACCCGCTGAGCTCGAGACGACGCCAGCTGTCGTTAGTATGGAGCAACCACCACCAGAAAACTTGTTGCATGCTCGAGTCGAAGACTTTTTGAAGTGTCATTTCTCTGTACAATGGGAGAAGAACGCGGCCGATGCCGCCGAAATCAACAACAAGGACAAGGCGCAACGGAGAAAATTCCAACGGGTTGCCGAGAAAAGGCGTACTCCTGATGCCATTGACAAGGCTGGCAACTTTTGGCAGTCATGTGCCTTGCACTTTCGTGCCACTCAATTGGAAGCCATGCTGCGACGCAGTAGCAATCAGGGTTTTGGCTGTCAAAGTATGGATTCGGTTGACTTGCTCATGTCCAGGATCCATTCCAAAGATGCTCAAGAAGTCTTCAAGGCTAGCGACTTCTTGCTACTGGAAAAGATTGGATCCGGTGGCTATGGTTCTGTCTACAAGGCTGTTCATGTGGCTACAGGTCACATTGTAGCTCTCAAGCAGCTGGATCGTGATTCTAGCAAGGTAGAAACACAGGGTCAGCTCATGTTGCCACTGGATTGTGGAGTGGTCCCTTGTTATGGTACATTTCATGCAGTAGCTCCAGTGGAAAAGAACGACAACGAGAACATTCCTCTTCTTCAGTCCGAGCTCAAGCTATGGATGATTCTGAAGCTATGCGGTGCTTCTCTCAAGGATCGACTCGTTGAACAGGGTGGTCCACTTCCAAAGAAGGAGGCTGCTTTCATCCTCCGGAAAGTTGCCAAGACACTGTCCTACCTCTATCAAACACACAGCATTGTCCACCACGATATCAAACCTGCGAATATTCTGTTTGACACAGATGGTTCTGTCTTGTTGTGTGACTTGGGAGTTGCCAGAAAAGGAAAATGGCAAAAAGAGCGAATAGGAGGAACGTACTCCCACATGTCTCCTGAAAAAATTAGAGCTCGAAAACAGTATTCTGCCAAGGATAGATGCTGCAGCGACGAAAAGATTGATGTTTGGGCTCTGGGTGTCATGCTCTATGAAATGTCTTTCTTTGCTCATCCATTTATTGGATACAAGGCAGTTGCCAAATGCCCGACTGTGCGTTTTAGAGATGCCAAGGACACCACAGAACTCTCCGAGTTGATGCAATGCTACAACTACTTGTCACTGCCCGAGCAACCCTGCAGCAACACTGATTTGGATGATGGCCAGATTCTGTTGAAGGACATTCTCCAGTCCATGCTCAACCCAAACCCTGCAGAGCGATTGAACTTGGCCAGCATCAAGGAACATCCTTGGATGAAACGTCATGGAAAATGGAGTGATCGAGCTATTCTCAAACTGCAGACTGGATTACAATCTGGATTGTTGGCGATGAGCAACCACAATGTGATCTTGGCCATGCAGAAACAAGACCACGGCAAAGGAGACGAGGCCAAACTAAACACCAGAAGAACCAGTGCAACTGCCAGAACCGTCACCATTCGACGTTTCTCGTTTCCTTCAACCCCATCAGAGATGAGGATGAGCAATTCTTGCTAACATAAATAGTGTACACTAGCTAGTATCAATAAACACAAGCCATGCTTGAGCAAGTGCTTAGACAAACAAGCCATATATCATCAAATATCAGGAAACAGAAACCAATCTTGTAGCCATAACACAGCCAATAGGAGGAACGAATCTAGCCACCGGTACCTGGTAGCGGGATCCATATATAGCAGGTGATGCCAAGTTCGGGTAGCTGTTGGGAGGTATCATCCCGCTATCCTGAGCCTGGGCCGATTCGATCCAATGCATCTGTGAGGTCAAAACCACCATACCGGCAATCAAGGGCAAGCCACGGCACAGACCCTCTGGGATGGAGAGCTCATGGAGTTGTTTTAGCTCTCAGCATTTGCACCAGCTCTGCTACTCAAGCCATAGCTAGACCCAGCTAAGAGCTAATAAGGAGCAAGGAGCTTGTGGGGAAAACAGAAGGAATTTTGAAGGAATTGTTGCCAATGGGAGACTTATGAGACTGGCACCCTTTCTCCGTCAGTTCGGTTCTTGACAGTTGTGAAATTCGGTTCCGATTTGATCTCACTGGATTCTTGATCCGTCCCCTTCTTGTTTCCAAGCATTCGGAAGATTGACGGCTGACGGTTGATAATGACTGTCAATGGACTTCCTCACTCGTCACTTCCTTGATGCCACACTCCACACTGCTTACCTGCTCACTCATTGCAACGCACACATCAGCACAACACAACAACAATATGGCAACCCATCCCAAGACCACACCTATTGCTGTTATGGAAGAGAAGCAGCCAACGAGGGAGGCTGACATCGAAAACCTCCTCAGACGACTCTTTTGCGTGCGATGGCAAAAGGAAAAGACTCATGGGCATGACAATGGCAAACAACCATCCCATGCGAAGGCGCGCAAGAAGTTCGAACACCTAGCCAAAAATCGACGTTCTCATCAGGCGGTTGCTAGGGCCGACGAATTCTGGAACTCTTGCAACTCTCACTTCCATGCCATTCAATCCGAGTTGCTTCAAGAGGATAAGAGCAGCAGAGACATGTCCAATTCAGCTGTGAGGGCTCTTTCATCCAAACTCGAGTCCAACGATGCAAAAGTAATCTTCAAAGCAAGTGACTTTCGGCTGCTGAACAAGATTGGCAAAGGTGGCTATGGCTCTGTTTACAAGGCTCTCCACCAACCAACTGGTCATATCGTGGCACTCAAGCAGCTGGATCGTGACTCCAGCTCTGTGGAGACGCACGATCACCGCATGCTGCCACTGGACTGTGGAGTGGTCCCGTGCTATGGGACTTTTCGGGCAGCCGCAGCAGCTGAAAACAATGAAACAACAAACATATTGAAAGCAGACCTCAGACACTGGATGGTTCTCAAGCTGTGCAGTGCTTCTCTCAGAGATAGACTCAGAGCCGAATCTGGACCCCTTCCCAATAAGGAGGCAGCCATGATCCTTCGAAAAGTTGCCAAGACGGTCATGTACCTCTATTACACACATGGGATTGTCCACAATGACATTAAGGCAGAAAATATTCTGTTTGATGGGGATGGGCACTCCATTTTGTTGTGTGATTTGGGTGTGGCACAAAAGTGTCAGCAACAGCAGCAGGAACGGCCTGGAGGAGCATACAGTCACATGGCTCCAGAGAAACTAGCAGCCCGCAAAGGTGCTACTGGTGGAGCAGCAAGATACCACAATGACGAAAAGATTGATGTTTGGTCGATGGGTGTGCTGCTTCATGAAATGGTGTTTCGTGCTCATCCATTCGAAGAATTCAAGGATGTCGCCAACTGCCCCACCATCCACGGAGAAGATGACGACTCGACAAAACTGGACAGGCTGATGCAAGCCTACAATACGCTCTCGCTTCCCAAGCAATGCAACACAGGTGCAGACGGACTACTGTTAAAGGACATGCTTCAGTCGCTTCTTGCAGTTCAGCCCAATGAGCGCACATCATTGACCAGCCTTGTGGATCATCCTTGGATGAAACGTCATGGAACGTTGGGTGACCGCGCAGTCATCAAGGTGCAATCTGGGTTATCCGCCATCAACAACCTCATCCAGAGGTGCAACCCAAAGGGCAGTTGTGCCGCCATGGCTGGCAAGAAACAACTCGAGGCCAAAGTGGCGCCATCCTGTATGGCCAGTGCGAATACCTGGGCCAGTTTTTCATCGCAGTCAACAAGCATTCATTGATTCACATGTATCTTTCAAACCTTATTAGCATAGTCAAGTGCCTCATAGAAATACAGCAGCTCATGCACTGGGTTGAACATACCGGTAGCCGACCTTGGGATGCGGTTTCAGCCATCGTGGTGGCGCTGCAGTGACGCAATCACCAATGATAGCAACTTGGAAGTTCACCTAGCTGCTTAACTCCTAACAAAAACAGTAATAATATATATCTGCTATACACGTACTCTTTACTACCAAAATACAAATACCGTACATATCTTCATCCAGCGAGGGCATTTGCTTGTAAACTCCTCCAATCATTTGTAGCTGCATCATTGCGCTCAGCTTCTTTCTTCCTTCTTCGTTGTCGCCCGAATGACCGCTACAACAGTATTGTATCCTGGCTACGCTGTTTGTTGTCGACGGTTGGTTCGCCTTGGGTTTCCTGGTGCTTCAGCCGTGATCTTGTTGTGTTCCCCGTTGGCTATTGTCGTTTCATATTTTGCTGGACTTCGGATGCGGACTCCTCCAATCGCCCAGCTAGTAATAACTTTTCTCTTTATTCCTTGGTTTCTTCCTTGTCGTCATTGTTAAAGAATCGATCCACAATGTTTTCTTGAATCCACGGTGTGGTCCCCAGGGCCAGTCCAATCCTCAATGGCACGGCGAACCTGGAAAGAGTAATGGCGGACATTTGCATGAGTTAATAGTTGGATGTCGTCAAGTTAGTCAAACAAGGACTTTTTCATGTTTTGCAAGCGTGCTGTGTATACCTGGCAAAATTGACAAAGGCAAAGGCTTCGGCACCCAACTTGGCTTGATCGTCGGCATTGGTCAAGTCAGGCCAATGTCCCGTGACTTGTTGATAGCCAACAATGCAAATGGGCACCGAGATGGCCCAAAAGCCAAACTCCCAGAGGGCATAGGAAACGACACCGGCTGTTCCCGCGTCCTTGATTTGTTGCATCAAGTTTTCTTCCTTTTCTTCTTCTTCCTTTTCCACTACGACAGCTTTGGAATCGGTGGCTGGATCCCTTGGAGCCGCTACAAATTCAAAGTCAGTCGTAGTGGTAGCACTACTACTGTCGATGGTGTCAGTAGGAGTAAGTGCGGCAGCTTGTCTCCCCGAGAGGCGGCGCATGATAGGCTTGGGAATGACCACAGAAATCCGGTCTCTCCAGGTTTTCTATGGATGTCAATTTTTGTGTGGTTGCCAAGGTCAGAAAATGGAGTCCTGAGCACAGCACAAGTACTACTCTCAAGGAAGGAAGAATCATTACGTACCTTGGGTTCAGTTTCCTCCACTGCAACAACAGCTACGGCTGTTTCTTCCGTTTCTACAACTTTTTCTTCTTCTTCTGCTACTGCAACCACAGAAGGTGGCACGGATGCCTCATCATTCATCATGCTTTCAACGTCCATTTCGGGAACCACAGGCGCCGACAACAACCAACTGTCATCTCCCTGCATGGCCTTTTTCTCCAATCTTACAACAGTCGGAATTCCAAACTTGTTGGGACGCACAGGCATGTCCGCAATCGTTTCCAACACGGCCACCAGCGCTTGGCGTCGCGATGGACTGGCCATGTTGAGAATCCGACGCAGCGATGCCCACCGTGCGCGTTTGGATGTTCGTGCCATGCGTCGAGAAGTGGTCCAAAAGGGGAGTGTGGCATCGGGACCACTTTGCAAGAGACTGTCCAAAAAGGCATCCTTCTTGTCGTCCAGACTCTTGATGTGGTCCAACAAGACAGTGGCGGCCTCTCCATTGTCCGTAATGGCATCCAGCAAGAGGAGGGCGTACGGGTCATCTTCTTCTTTTTCTGTATCGGTCGTCACTGCTTCCGTCTCGGTGTCCAAGGTGGCGGCACTCAAGGTAGTCACGGCAGGCTGGGTCGATGACAAGTATAAGGGAGCCACAAAGGAGGATGCCTTGGAAGACAGCTGCACAGATTGGAAAGCAGATACATCCCCAGGCAGATTGCTAACCACACTCAACAGGACAAGAGCAGAAATGGAAAACCTCATCTTTTCTTTTTTCTTGTTCTTCTTTTTACCACAGAACCAATGACCTGGAATTATCAAAAGGCTAGCTAGATAGACAGATAGCTGTTTTGGAGTTTTGGTTGCAATAGATATATACAGCACGAAGCATGCAGGAAGGGCCAAGCAAGCACAACCAAAGCTAAGGAGCAAAGGTCCTTCTTTTTCTTTTTGTGGCCACTTTGCTGCAGAACAAAACTGAAGAAAGGTTTTGGCAACAGTGTCTCTCTTCGGTAGACTACCGGCACCAGTACAGCCCTGTGTCTCTCGACCTGGATGCCTTGCCTGTCAAGGAAACAGAAAACAAACGATAGTTTCTTCTGTCCATGGATCTTCATTGGTTGTTCTGTTGAAGTTTCCCACCAATCAGCGTCCACGCACTTGGTGATGTCATACCTTCTGTCACGTCATGCGAGTGAATTGGTGTAGTCGAGTCGAGTCACAGTCTTGTGTGAATAAACGTAGAGTTAAAGATAACATCACAGGATCTGACTCGACTCGTGACTCGGAATGATCCTGGTAGTAAGTAGTACAGTCGTACCGGTACCGGAGTAAAGGTGTTGGTACCGGTACGCGTTGGGGGTAGAGTGTCACTCTACTACTAGCTAGTAGTATCTTCTATCTTTGGAGCGATTATGCTTCGGATTGCCAACTGCAGCAGGGCGAAAGGGGTAGAAGGCAGTAATGTGATTGGCTAATCAACCTATGACATCAGCAAATGCGTCAGGAAAGATTCAAATATACTTAACGTACCATTTATAGTTATTACGGATACAGTGTGCTATCAAGTTCGAAATTTCGTGTTTCTGTTTTCGCGAAAGAAGGATTCCATCGCGAAATCGAAGACAATGACATCCTGCGCTCACTCGACAGTCATTAACTCGGCCAAAAAGCCAGTAGCAGCAGCAGCAGAAGAGAGCATCATGGAGCCACCAACAGCAGCAGGAGCTACCACTCACAATGGAGGAATGGGCTGCCAAAGTCAACAGAGGAACTCGCAACAGAAGAGAGCCTACCAACTGGCTGCCAACAACAACAACAACAGATCAAGAGAGCCAGAGAAGAGGACCCCAAACAACGCTGGGAGGAGGGTAGCAGAAGTCTTTGATCCACTCAGAAGTGTGTCATCTGTAAGGCCAGACATCTTGGTTTCAGAGTCCCAAAAAGATCACACCACATTCTCTGTATTAAGAATACAGTAACAAGAGGAAGAGGAGATTTGAATGAGCTGACAATGGAAACTATCAGAGAGAGCAGAAGACTTACAAGGCACTTCAGTGCTCCTCTTCCATGAATGAGAGAGGAAGCTGGAAGCATTCACAAGAGAGATGGAGATGCCTTCTTCACTGCTAGAACGAACACAGCCAAACCAAACCAGAGCCGGCAACAGAAGAATCCACAACCAAACAACTCCAGTAGCTCTTTGTCAAAAGGTAACCACTCTTGTAAAGATCTGCCTTTGTGGAACAGCACAAGACCAAGGAGCACCACTGGCAATGCTAGCAATGGCACAAGTAGTGTCAGAATCCATTATTCGGCCTAAGAATCAGGAGCTATTAGACAACACTTCCAAGGACTCACCATGACAGTTCCTCCACAGAGGAGAATTCAAATCTCCACACTACCACTCCATTGTTGGCCAGAAACTACTCCTTGTGGACTGGATCGATGTGGAATTACTGTACCTTGTCCCGATGGAAGATGCTCTGGCCAACTCAAAAATGCGAGGTACAACTGGTCCAAGAACAAGACCTTGTCCCTATCTTTGGCATCACTGGTCCTCCTTCTTGTGTATAGTCATGTCCATGGTTTGTGGAAGCTGCAACAGAAGATTCGATGCCAACTCTGCAGAAGTGCTGGTCTCGATCCCAGACCATGCTTCATTGCTCTATCCAGTGGAGTCCAAGTATGCTCTACCTAACAAGGCTTTCATTTGGAGCGAACAGCAACAGAAGTATTTCGATTCTATCATGTTGACCTATGGAAATGGAGACCTATGCAGCCGACTCATCTACAATGCAATCAACAGAGAGTATCTTAGAGCCATGATGTCTTACTCTCATACTGGCAAGGAGGCGACACTGATCCTGATCCCTTCCTTCAAAAGGATGGCACTTACATCAGACAGTTTCCTCCTCTTGGTGACACCATCCGTGACATCTATGATGCTGCTTGTGCTTCAAACAGGAATGCGTGGAGATCAGTGAAACCAAAGGCACACAAGAGAGATCCAAAGTGTCAGTTGCAACAAAGGAATCTTCTGCCAAGACCATACCTTTCAGGTGGTGAAGAACTACTCCAAGAGTCTTGGTGCTGCTGCTGTTTGGGATGCTGCTACTGAGACTGGAGAGATTGCTTCAGCAGTTCTCGTTCCTACCACCAAGACCATTCACTTCTCCCATGCTGCCATGCAGCTAGCAAGGAGGACACACTTCAATCCAGCTGCTATGTACAGTGACACCTGGCCCCACAAGGATGACTACTGGGAGTTACTCTTTCCAGGTATTGAGGGAAGACTTGGCTGTTTCATTATGAGAAGAGGATCCTGTCAACTTTGAGGAAGGGTCACGTTGATTACTTTCAAGCACTGACAGACCTCTTGGATTGCTTGTATGAGTACTCACCAGATGACTATGAGAAGGTCCTCCATGCATTGAAACATGGCCTCTTGTCCTCAATGGCAAGCACTACTCCATGCAGAGATCTCCGACATGCAAGCCTCCAAGGTCTTCAGAGCTCGGTACTCCAAGTATCTAAGGAAGCAGATGAGGTCACCAGAGAACAATGAGGCAGAGGTTGCAGCATGGTTCTGCAGGTACAAGGTGACAGCCAGTGATGGTTGCCAGCCAGGAAAGGGCGACTGGATCCAGCCAAGAACATACCTTGTTCACTTCTGATACCAGCCAGCAGTAGAGAACTGTGTTGACAAAGCGGCTCACTTGGCTGTCCCCTGGCACTGGAAGACTTGTATGACACATCCTACCATCACCCAATTCCAAGCACAGCTCCCAGAGTACCTATCAAGGAGAGGAGAACCAAGTTAGAAGCGTTCCATGACAAGTTTGCCCATTTTGGCAATGGTGGAATGAGAAAAGCCTTGCTGATGCACTCAACTTGGCTGGAACTGCAAGATACAACCTCAAGATTAGACACAGAGAGCCTTCCTGTCAAGAATCAGTGTGGCAGAGAGGAGGTCAATTCCAGCCGGATGGGAAAAGGTTGTACCTTACTGGAATCATTCAGAGTTGGCTTACCTCAATGACAGCAGAGGCTGTTGGTCTAACAGCAATTTCCAATGCAGAGCCACTGCACAGGATAATGGAGAGAGTTTCTTTTCAGAGTTCATTGTTGCATTCAAACCACGCGGCAGAAGTATGCTCCAAATGATTGTTGTCTTTGTGCAGCTTGCACTGGAGCACCACCGAGTCCACCAGCAATCGAGGCACCAATCCACGCAATCGATTCACCGACTGCAAAGCAATGTTCCACCGCCGCCACCACCACCACGCCAACCACCCACCACCACTTCCACCACCTGCAGTGCCACAAACAGAAATGTTTATGTTGGTAATTGATTCTATACCAGCAACAACAACAAATTCAAATGATGCAACTTGCCATGCAAATGCGGCAATTCCAACCCATACTGCCATTCCTTTCCAGCCACCTCCTCCACCGAATGTGCTGTCAGAGATACTGCAGTGGTTGACCAACAGGAGAGGAAGACCACCCATGATCAATTGCCAATCTAGATTGACTGGATACTCTGCATAAAATAAGATAAGAAGTATTAGATGTGACAAATTCGTTTCTAATGTAGCCATTAACTTACATTCAAGGTCCTGGTTGGTTGTTAGGCTGTCTCCATACTCTAGAGTGTCAAAGTCTTCAAAGCAATCTTGAACAAATCTCTCACTCATGGAAACAAAGCTACCAAAGAAAGTTTTGTTGTTGTAGTCATACCAATGGATAAGATACTCATTCCAAGCTTGCACAATCTCTTGTCCTTCATTCGAGTAGAAGTCATACTGCTCTCAGCCTCATAAGCCTCTCCCTCCCAACCAATAGTGCACTCAATGAAGATGTCTTCCTCTCACAGGCATCTGGTCCCAACAACATTTCATAAAGGGTGGAGAGAACATGCTTGTACCATTTTGGACCGACACTCTTCTGAAGACCCCCGGACTCAAACATGTAATCCATTATTATTGTCATGTCAGGAGGAAGAGGCTTGCATGCTCCTTGCAACATCATCTCCTCAAGAATGGTCACTTCCATGGTTGCTGTTGGCAAACAGAAGTTCTCCTCCTCCTCACTGTTGTACCCACAAATGACATACTTGCAGGTGAATCCATTCCTTGTGACCCTCAACTCATTGAATGGGTATTCCTTGACACTTAGCAGCCACTGTGAGAAGACCGGTGTAATTGCGATCCTTATTGTCCAGTTGTTGTTTGTGGTAGTCGGTCGGTAGTGGTATCGGTAGAGGAAGACCGTAGAGGAAGAAGCGTCGGTAGAGGAAGTAGTAGTTGTTGTTGTTGCCAAGAGTCTTGCCCCTACCCATGTAGGCGCTGACTTCAAGACAATATAGCGGAGCAGTAGTGGTAGTCGGTCGGTAGTGGTATCGGTAGAGGAAGGAGCGTCGGTGGACTGAGCGGACTGAGCGTCGGTAGTGGACTTCAGGAGCGTCGGTAGTGGAAGGATAGAAGGACGACGTTAGTGGAAGGATAGAACGATTAATAGCATGCCATTGTCGCCAAACAACAACAACAACAACAACAACAACAACAACAACAACAACAACAACAACAACGACAACAACACCGACAACACTCACCAGCGACTGCGCTTTCAACAGTGGTATCAAACAAACAGGGATTTGAATTTATGGGAGGGAATTTATGGGAGGGTTTGGTTCGAGCGAAGGATTGGGGATCCGTTATATCCGTTGCATCCATTTGAATTGAGAGACAGTGTGAGACCAAATAGTTCGCGAGCCGTTGTGATGCATTTGCTGACACTTACACTGTTCTTCAGACACATGAGACTTAGGTGTCAGGGGCGATGACCATAGTCATTGCCATATCCCCCTATCATTGGTATCCCCTACCAGTGCCGCACGATGCCCTGCCGACTCTCAAATTCGGAATTGGGAATCCAACGGATAACCCTCTCCCTCTCCTTTTTCTTTTCCCCTCCCCCGCGCTGCTGCCTAACCCCCCCATAATCTCTGCAGCGGAGGTTTCCTTCCAGCAGGCAAGAAGGCATTGGAAGTTGTGAGCACCGGGCCCACGAGGGCTCAGCAGTTGACGTTGCCTTAGGTAGCGCTTTTTCTCTGAACACCAATGCGAAGAAATCACAGGGGATTCAAGTACGCACCAACTGCCTGGTTGGTAGCTAGCTACGATCTTGCTTTGTATTGTCTCCAGCTTTTACGAACAGTGCCATGCACCTGTGAATGCATGCCCGAAGGAAAGATCTCGTCTTCAAGAATCCAAGCAAAGCCAGATCCCAGATCGCTCGGCTAGTACTGTAGTACCTAGCTACCTGGCTGCACTACAGTACCACTCGATCCCTTGATTTGGATCGACTCAAATCCAAAGATAGATTTCGGATCAACCATGAACCGAAGATCCGCCGAAAGTCTAGCTAGATCTCTATCCTGGTGGCTTCGATCCATGTATGTATGTATGTGCCGGATCACAACTGCCTTCAGCGACCAGTAAAAGGAAGCAGGTGGCTAATCTGTGACCAGGTCTAGCTAGTTTTGGCTCTCTAACAAAACTGTCAGGCTGTCGGATCAACCGCTGAGACCCAACTGGGAAGCGTCATGAACAGGAGCAATGCTGCCGCATCCCTCGAGGGAACGGGGAGGGATCGGTGAAGGAACGAAGGAGCAAAGGATACTGGATCCAAGCAGATCTTGGAGCGTGACAGCGTGACAATCCTTCGACTTCCGCGAGCTTCCCCGGCTAATATGGTGGCTTAGCAAGGTGTCACGCTTTTAGAATTCTACCGTATTTCAATAAAATCAAAGGGAAGGGAGCAACAACGCACGCAAGGATACTGTACCCAACCACAAAGTTCCAGTCACATCTTGCGAAGAGAACAGCTTTTAGCACAGAAAAAAACACAGAAACCAATTTATTTGGTCACAAATTCCGCAGCCGAATTTGATCAAGTTGTCAAGGCATCCACAAAAGAAGAACCCCACAATTACCAAGGCATCCACCAAAGAAGTACACTATAAAACTATGACAGACCTCATCACCACCACCATGCCAGAGACCACTGCTACTGCTACTGCTACCAGTACCACCCCACCACCCGAGACGGATCCCAGGGTAGAAGCTTTCTTGAAGCAGCACTTTAGCGTCCCATGGGAGCGCAAGGGACAACAACAACAACAGCAACGCACAACGAAGAATGTTCCGCAAGTCGAATTGGCCCGACAAAGACGCTTTGAGCTGATTTCCACTCGTCGTCGAACAAGGGTACAAGTGAATCGGGCAGAAGCCTACTGGAGATCCTGCCATGCTCACTATCGTGCCGTCAAGCAAGAAATAATCGTCCAAAAATCTGGATCCACTAATGTTTGGGAATCGGCTGCCATCCAGGCACTCCTCCAGCAAAAGATCCAGTCTGCTACGACCAAAGACCAAAGTCGCTGCTTTTTCCAACCATCGGATTTCCGACTCATCAAGAAACTGGGACTGGGTGGATATGCCAGCGTCTACAAGGCTCGCCACGTCCCCACCGGTCATATTGTAGCTCTCAAGCAGATTGATGTCGAGTCCAGTGAGATTGAAATCAAGGAGCATCCCTTGTTGCCTCCTAACTGCGGAGTGGTCCCTTGCTATGGATCCTTTCTAGCAGCCGCCAACAAGGAGAACCCCATCGATGAGACGACGGACCTCAAGCACTGGATGATTCTCAAGCTGTGCAAGAATGGCACATTGAAGGATAAAATGATCAAGGAAGGTCCCATCTCTCAAAAAGAAGCTGCACACATTCTCAAACGAGTCTCCAAGATTACCACCTACCTCTACCACGTCCATGGCATTGTCCACAATGACATCAAGGCCGATAATGTGCTCTTGGATGATGGGCATTCCATTCTCTTGTGCGACTTGGGTGTCGCCAAACGGGGGCAGTGGCACTGTGCTACCAAAATGGGAGGCACGTACTCCCACATGGCACCCGAAAAGCTCGTAGCTCGCAAACTGGCCACGGGCATGTACCAAAATGATGAAATGATTGATGTCTATGCCATGGGTGTCATGCTCTTTCAAATGCTCTTTTTGGAAAATCCATTCCACAACGAGCCTTTGGTCAGCTGCAAGACGTCACCCGACAATGATCCCCAAGAAGTCCAGGAGCTTGCCCGGAACTGTTTTGCAGCAGCGGCTACAACAGCAGACTTGTTGCAAATACCCGAGAACTTTCGTCGGGCAGAAGATTGCTCCTACGGGGATGCCATGGATTTGCTGCAGACATTGCTTGCATGGGATCCGCAGCAACGAATGCCGTTGGACTGCATCAAAAAGCACCCCTTCATCAAGCGTCACGGACGATGGAGTGATCGGGCTGTGTTGCAGCTCTGGACAGGATTGGGGTTCCGCAACAGTAGCAGTAGCAAGCCACGATCGGTAGTGACGGTCCGCCACGCATGTCCGTTTACTACTCCCACCGACACCACTACTGTCAACCACAACAGCTCACGGAAAAAGCTCGAGTTGGACGACGAATCCGTAGAACAATTTGTGGTTGTTGCGGACTGCTAATAATTGGCGGGCAAGATAGCCAGCTAGCTAGCTAGATGTCCATTCTTCTCCTTTTAAAAGGTTCGCTAATCACCTACCGTACGCAAAAAGATACTTGAACAAATAATTATAGTGTGCCTATGCTCTTATTCACTGCCTTCCATACCGGTACTGTAGCACCTGACACCAACTTCATAAAAGAAAACTGTACTAGCTAGCTAGTACTAGTAGTAGATTTGTATCTCGTGCACAGTGCATGTCTTCAGAGGATTATCAGACAGTTCTCTCCTTTAAGCCATCATAGAAATGTCATTTTACTTCTTTTCTATCAAATTGGCCTTTTCCAGTGTATTACATGTACCTCGAGGTGCAGCAACAGCGGCGGCGACAGGAAAGAGGAGAAGTGAAACGGAAAACCATCCATTATAGTTATTTTTATTTATTTATCCATCGACAGCGTGTTACAGTATTCCCAATTCCCAACCACAATCCCAGGTATTAGAATAACACTAAGCTACTCTGGCGAAAAAGTTGAGAATTTTGAAAATGGTGAGAAGTCGCCTGGAACACTGTGGAATCACCAGGTGGTCACACTTTTGAAATTATCTGCTTGTTCCTGCCTGGGCACATCCCCATCAACAAACACACCACAATGGCTGTCAGAGATACCCTAGCAGTTTAACCAATAGAGCCACCCTAGCAATACTTTGAGATAGGGAATACATAATTTGGATGTGGCGGTCGCACTGGTGGTAATGGCTTGCCCATTTGGTGGCCGTGGAAGTAACGAACGACTAGCAAAGTTAGGTGGCCATCTTTTGGAAATTTTTACTATCACCAACAGGTCGACCAGTCTATGTCCCCACTCTTTGCCCCATTGGGCCCATCTGATGGATCCATTCCTTCAGGTAGACAACTCAACCAGAGTGGAATGGCTAAAGCCATTGCTACTATCAGAAGAACCACTAGAATAGATGCTGGAGTTGACGCTGACTCATTTTGGATTTGCAGTCTGAGGTGCCACTTTTTTCTATTAACTCGTTGATCCTACTCACTTTCAATTATATCATCCTCTCTACTGTGCTCATTAGATCAATATGCATGATTGGGTTGATAGCAGAAGGGTGCCACAGTCCGAAACGAAGGTGAATCAGAGCATTTGGAATTTCTGGAAGAAAAATGAAGCACCCAGTTTCACATAAGATAATGCCTTCTACATGGCTGTTGACACACACAACCAGCACATGGCTGTCACAAGCAGAGAATGTAGACAACTCTAGATAGTTAGTTCGTTTGTGTAGGTGCCATATTGAGTTCATCCTGTAGTCATCTTTGCAGTGCCTTCACAACATCAATTTGTGATGCTTCAGGGTGAAAGATGATGGATTGGTAGTACATTGGTACGTACGGATAGGAGTATGGGTAGGAACTTGAGAATTCTCAACTTTTTCGCCAGAGTAGTAAGCAGCAGACCGGGAAAAACAAGAGGCACAACAACAACAACAACAACAGGAGCTCTGTGGAAACTCGAGTCGTGCAACCGATCGTCTCCTAAATCCTTTCGATCGTCTCCTATTTAATGGATTTCGTCTCCTAAAAATAGGAGACGAAACGGATCGTCTCTTAAATCTTTCGTCTCCTCTTGAATCGTCTCCTATTTTCAACGGATCGTCTCCTATTCTCAACGGATCGTCTCCTAAGTGTACCATGTAAACTGTATGGTATCGTCTCCTAAATCTTTCGGATCGTCTCCTATTTCGAAACGATCGTCTCCTAATTGGAATGTCTCGTACTGAATCGTCTTCTCAATATAGGAGACGATTGCTTTCGTCTCTTTAATCCTTTTAATTGTCTCCTATGCCTTGGTGTATCGTCTCTTAAGTATTTTGCCACGAATGACGTTTCCACAGAGGTCCTGTAGCTGCGAGGCACCCATCTGTTGTTCACTTGTCATCTGCGTGCAGTAGGGGGGGTGTACCAGGGGAGAGAGCAGAATGCACAAACGCGGGCCGAGCAATCGAGCGAGTGAGTAGAGCAGCAGCAAAACCAAAGAGGGAGGGAAGGCATGGTGGGGGGCAAGAAGGATCAAGGGGAGAAGACTAGCGGAAGAGATCGAGGGCACCACAGTGTTGCTTTTGGCTGGGTGCCAAAATAAGCCCTCAGCGCTGCTAGCAAATCTTGTTCTGCTACTAAGTCGTGGCATGTTCCTCTTCTAAAAGTCACCCACAGGCCCATCGCAGCTTTGGGATCAGACGGAGCCTTTTGTTAGCTAGCTAGGAAGTCAACCAACACGAAGATTAGTTTCTGGGACAGCAATCTCAAATGCTCTCTTATTGGCTAGTGTAGGCCAAAGAATAGGGCGGTCCTGCGCTCTTCCCGCACAGTCGCTGTTGTCCTCCCCGGTCTGGGTTGCTTGCTTACTGAGACTTGTTCTTATCAACAGCTCTTCGGTTCGGAATGTTGTTTTGTTTTGTGACGTTGCACGTCTGCTGTCACTCCGAAGAGAGGTGGTTCTTATCCTGCTTCGGTTCTGTGTTTGATTCGGTTTGATTTGAATTTTGGGGCTTCAACAAAAGGTTTAGAATCTAATGACTCTTCCATAAGTACATTTTGGATAAAGAATCCGAAGTCACCGCACCGGAAAGGCTTCTGGAATAAACTTTGGAGGATTCCGGTGCGGTCACTTCGGAATTTCTGCAGTCATTGAAGGACGGTGACGTCACCAAGGCAAAAACAAAACAACTTTCCGAACCGAAGTGCTTCGATAAGAACAAGTCTGACTGGCTAGAGATCTAGTAGGCGTCAATGTTGCCTGAGGAAAGCTGCGGGTACACCTTCACCTCCGAGTTTCGCGCGACCTACGGAAACTTCCCTCGCACCATCGGGTGCCAAGTGCAGAAGATTGCCTGGAAACTTGAAAGAGTCTCAAAATGCGAAGGGGCTTTAAAAATCGTTTACTCGGGTACCAAATAATGGGGTCTTTCTCCCCTTCCCCAGTCTACTCTTGGTCTTTAAAACTCAAAGCGAATCGGTAGGCCACAGGCAGCATCTCTGTTCTTTGCCGATTAACAAACAAGGGTTCTTTTCGCTTTCCAAACCATGACTGATAGCTGACTGAGTTTCTCGAGATCAGTAGTTTTTGACCACGTAAGCCTTCTTTTCTTTTTTTGGAAGCCACAAGGGCCTCCAATTCACTAGAATCTCCCTCCTTAAACAAAACCTTAAATGAAAGTTCCTTGAATTCCCAGTGAATAACAGGCCTGCAGGCAGGCTTTAAATCACAACTTTTCCTTATTATTTCGATGGTTCCTTGCAACGAGAACAGTCGTGTACTGTAAGTGGGTCAGGTCACCAAGGGAGGTGTTTCCTCCTAAATAAAAATTTAATTAATCACACATTTTGGTGGTCAAAACAAAGAAACCTGGCATTTTGAAGGTCGGAGTCTGTTGGAGGTTGGAGGAACTGGGAAGGGGTCTAGCTAGCCACAGTATTGCCCTACATGTAATCTGCAAAACCTCGTCGATTCGTTCCTCGCAAACCAACCAAACATCTCCCTCCCTCCAAGCTCAAGTTTAGTCTCTCCATTTTGCCAATCGAACAATCGAACGACACCGGACCTCACGACAATGGATGCAACTACCGCTACTGGAACCGGTGGAATCCTCAAGGATACTCACGTCGACTTGGAAGCCATGGATCCTTCAGATGACTCTTCGTACATGTCAAGCCAGATGAGTGGCGCTGCTGTGGAAGCGGAGCAGAAGCGCCTTCGTCAAGAGATGGCCGAGAGTCTTGCCACGAGAGAGAACAAGGCGGTCTGCATGCTTCGGTTCCTCGTCATGGCATTGATGATGACTGTCACTGCCCTTGTCTTGGCGGGAGTCTACATCTACTCCAGCCACACAGAGCAGAGTGCCTTTGAAACTGGCTTTGCGATTCATGCTACTCAAATGACCCAGTCCTTCACCAATGTGGTGGAAAGCAAGCTGGTGGCCATTGGGTCCATGTCCAATGCCATTACTAGTCATGCCTTGTTCACTGGCTCAGAGTTTCCCTTTGTGACACTCCCAGACTTTGCTGCCCGAGGATCGGACATTCGAGTCATGGCCGAAGCTCTCGTTTTGGGTTGGTGCCCCCTGGTAACCAACAACAACCGCTTGGCATGGGAAGAGTTTGCCTTTATGAATCGATACCAAATGAACAAGAACTTTGAGCAGGACAATCACCTGAGACAAGATCAGGATGAGTACTTTGAAGATCTGGCCATGGAAAGTAGCAACCCAGTGGACGAGGATGACTCTAACAGGATGCTCAAGGAGGAACAAGAAGAAGAAGAGGCTGTTGATCCTGATCTCTTGCAGGATGGGTCAAACTATCATCTCAGGATCTACAATCCCTTTAGTGGATTGGCAGAACCAAATGGAACTGGTCCTTTCCTTCCTGAGTGGCAGAGATCGCCTTCCAACAATCAAATCCAAAAGCTTATCAATCTAAACTGGGACAAAGCAGGGGTCTTTAAGGGTGCAGACATTGCCAAGACACTTATGGCAAACCCTAGAGTTATCATCAACAAGCTGACTGTCATTCAACCCAAGTTCTACAAGCCCATGACAGCAAGTCTCCAAGCCAGCCAGTATCGAAACAGGGTGGATACGTATCTCGAAGATCCTCTATCCTTCTTGGCGTATCCAGTGTTTGACAGCTTCAACAGTACCACCCGAAAGCTCGGTGGGGTGCTCATTGCTAACTTGTATTGGCAAATCTACTTCCGGAATGTTCTTCCGCCCAATGCCAAGGGTGTCATATGTGTCTTGTCCAACAGCTACAACCAGACATTCTCCTATCTGGTCAATGGCCCCAATGCAACTCTGTTGGGACCTGGAGACCTCCATGATCCTCACTATAATGACATGGGTGTGTCCCTGGATGTTTCATCCTTTGTCAAGCGAATGGCCAATGCAGAGACACGCGCCTACCTGACTGTACCCTTGCATGAAACTGTGGGCCTCTACACGCTAAAAGTCTACCCAACAGATGACACTAGAGACGAGTACACTTCCAACAACCCTATCATCTACACTTTGGTGGTGGGTGTCATCTTTGTGCTCACTGCAATTGTCTTTGGGTTGTTTGACACGTGTGTGGAGAAACGCCAAAGGAAGGTCATGAGTCGAGCTGTGGAGTCAGGAGCCATCGTTAGATCTTTGTTTCCAGAGGCAGTGCAGTCCCGCATGTTCCAAGATGAGCCCACTTCTACTGCTGACACCAAGACAGAACAAACAAGTTGGAAAGTGAATGCCAACCAGGGGCACGGCTTGGAGGCGGTTAGTGCATTGGAGACCAAATCCGGACACCTGAAGCAAGGGGGCCAGATTGCGGATGAATACATGAACTGTACTGTCATCTTCAGCGATTTGGCTGGATTCACAGCTTGGTAAGTTGTACTTGTCTCTCGTCCCTTGTTTGTAGTTGTATATCTGTGCTGTGGTTTGTTCCTCTCAACTCACTCTGCTATTTCCAGGTCTTCAACTCGTAGCCCGTGTGAGGTTTTTGAGCTGCTTGAGACTATCTACAATGCAATGGATGGGATTGCCCTCAAACGCAGAGTATTCAAAGGTATGTCCAATCCAAAGTGACTTGCGGCGGTCTTGGGCTGTTGCGTGGCTAGAAGTAGATGTCTTACTCAACCTGTTATGCCTCTTGTCTACCCTCAGTGGAGACCATTGGAGACTGCTGGTTGGGGGTATGTGGCTTACCCAATCCAAACCCAAAGCACGCAGTTGCAACTGCAAGATTTGCTCATGATTGTATGAAGAAGGTACAGGAACTAGTCATGTCACTGTCTGATCGTCTTGGTTCCGACACAGGATTGCTTCAGCTAAGAACAGGCTTGCACAGTGGGTCAGGTAGGCATCAGAGAATGAGTTGGTCTGATCATTGGGTTTCTGCAATCTTGGTGCTAATATTGGTGTCCACCCTTGTGCTGTTACTGTAGTGACTGCTGGAGTTTTGCGTGGACAAAAGTCTCGATTCCAGGTAATTGCTTCTTCCCCCTGTTGATACCCCGCTGACGTACCAGGCGTCGATGCTAACAGACGATTTGCTGTGCCTTGTGTATGTAGCTCTTTGGTGATACGGGTAAGTTCATCCTGAAAGCTGCCGCTCAAGGATCTACTGTACTCTCTGTAAATGCCTCTCACGACCTGTCTTCCTTTACAGTAAATACTGCAAGCCGGATTGAAACAACTGGCAAACCTGGACGCATTCATGCGTCGAAAACAACAGCTGATATTCTGATGAAGCATGGAAAGGAAAGTTGGTTGCAACGTCGAGAGAACAAAATCACAGCCAAAGGCAAAGGGGAGATGCAAACGTAAGAAAGATGCATGTTACTATTGTAGTTGCTAGTGCCATCTTCGGTTTCTAACATTGCCTCGTCGAATCGACGGTCTCTCGTTCAGGTATTGGATTGACATGGCCAATGACAACCAGACTTGTGTCACCGGAAGCTCGCTCGATACCTCGAGTGTGCTCATGGCACTCGACAATAATTTCTTGGACGAGCACGAAAATGACGCCGTGCACGATAAGCCACAAACAGAGGTCTTGGGGCAAATCGCTACCGAGGCCTGGACGTGAACCGGCCAAGCTTACTGTTGCTTCTGCAAGAATAGCTCTTTATTGGTGACAAGAGCTGCATCTACATTACGGCCATCCGTTACATTTTGCTATTACACAAGTCAATCAATAAGTATAATTCGCCTAGTAGCATCCTCTACGATGCACAACATCTAGAATGAATGCCATAGCTGACTGGGCCACCACCTCTGTCCAAGTATGCTCTCGTACGGTCATCGCAAGCTCGATCGGTTGGTAAGCACCGGTCGACAATGCGGGTTCTGGAGCGACTACACGTGTACAGCAATGCAGCTCGTTCTGTTCCTTGCACACGAAAATCCGCAAACTGAGGCAAAGACCTGACTTTGCTGGTGCAGGTCTTCACTTCGAGTTTTGCCTTCGCATACGGTAAAGTAGCCGAAGAGGGTGGTTGCGTCAAGGCAAACCGCCACAAATAGGTAGTTGAGGTAACAATTGATAGTGTGAAGGAAAGAAGAATTTCGTCTCCTGGAGACGATTTGCTTTTAGGGGTAAGGGTACTGATGGGGAGTGGAGGTTTGAATTATACCCCGCGTGCATTACTTAGAGGCCTCTGTAGAAGTCTACGTATTCGACTAGTATTGTATTGACGGGATACAGTCAACGCATGTACATGCACATGAAAGTCGCCTTGCGTTCTTCACATTTTTCGCATGAATGAGGGATCACATTTTTTGCATGAATGACGAGGGAGCCGTTTCGGGGCGAAGCAGAGAAAGGGATGAGCGCGCGGAGCGCGCGAATACTGTTTCAATAAAGCGAGTTAGGTGTTGGTAATAAAAGATTTATGGAAACGGAGACGAGCCAGGAGGCATATGAATATTTTGGATTTTGTGTTACCCCATCTATCTTACTCATCCAGTCGCGTTGTTGCGCTTCGCCTTCAGTCTTGCATCCACGACAACATACACCCGTCCTCCGACCTGTTCATTCTTTCCAATAAAAAGTAGACAATCAAACTCAACAACAGCAACTGCAACAGGAAAATGAAGATAACAAGCAAGACGATCCAGAAGCGACGTGGATGCTCTCCTGGAAAGAGCAAGACCAGCCATGAAGACCTCTTGGCAGTGATTGAAGACCCATCAAAGTCCCAAGCCCAAGAGGTGATTGGAATCTTGGTGGAATATGCCGCCCAATTGAAAGATTTCAATCTCAAGTACAAAGCCGCTGATACCGGTACCAACAAGAAAATGGAAGTGTCACCCAGTCTCCTGGATCAACGAATGGAGAAACTCTGGGAGGACCGCGAGAAATGCATCCGTCGTTTGGAAATTCTAAAAGACAAGAAAGAAAAGCTGCAGGTGTTGCTCAAAGAGCTAAAGCCAATATCCAAAAAAGTGAATCGCCTGTGTCGTGTCGCCAAGGAAGACGAGGAATTTGCTCAGTGCCTTCGCATGGTCGTTGCGTCCAATTGGGTGATCCTTCAAGACTTGATATTGGAAGGGCACAGAACAAATCCAAAACTGTTGCTCAATACCGTTAGTGATGTGGTTGACGAAAACCTGAGAGAAAAGCAAAAGCTCTTGTTGTGCTGGCAGGAAACATATCTGGGCGATGGTGTGCTGGATATGACAGTTCTTGAAAACGAGACGCCAGAGAGCAGCGACAACCAGTGGGTTCCTTTGGATGCCAAGGAAGCTCGTGGCTGTGATAGTTTGACTGATTTGGCTGGCAATGGAGAGGTTGAGTTTGCCGCTATCAACAGCGCCACGGACATTTGTGACACCTGTGGTTGGCGCATTGGCTTTTCAGACCCAAGGTGGCGTTGCACGGTATGTCTCCAGACTCAATGTGACAGCTGTCACCGCCACTTTTGTGAGAATTTCCATGGTCAACACATTGACAAGGTCCAAAATGGCAAGTTGGGGATGGTATTGGAAAAGATCCATCCCTCCATGGCTCGATTGGAGGCATCTTCGTGCCAGAGTCTGGCAGAAGCCATGTACACCATTCTAGACAAATGGGGTGATCGACCTGCATTCTGTGTCTATCCTGACAAGGGGCGCCATCCGTCGTGGTTATCGTACCGCCAAGTGTTGAATGCAGCATTGAAACGGGTCACAAAGCTCCGCGAGCTCCAATGCAATCAAGTTGCCCTGTGCTTCCCGGCTGCATCGATTGACTTTTACCTGTGGGATATTGCTTGCATAATGGCGGGAATCATCACAATTGGCATCCCTTGTCCGCCCCCTGCCGTGGAAGATTGGCCAGACTCGGTGGGTTGTGTGGTGTGCTCCGGGGCCACACAGAAAAGGTACAACGACAGGATTCCGTCCAAGGCCTGCTGGATCGATGCTTCCTCTGCCGACGACTTGGCCCCTTTCGATGCTTCGAGACTCGTCCAACGAAACAAACCTGACCCAGAAGATTCCATCTGCACCATATTCTTTACAAGCGGAACCACAGGAAAGCCAAAACTGGTCCCAGAAACAAGGCGTAGGTTCAAAGACGACAATTTCAATTCGTCCTTTGTACGGGGCAGGCTCGAATGCTCGGTGAGCTTCCTTCCGCCTTGCTGGGGAACTGACCGTCACATAATCTACTGGTCGGTTGCTTTCGGAAATCGAGTGGGCTTTGCGCCACAAAGTCCCACCATGCCACAGCTCGTCGAAGCCATGGAAATGTACAAACCCACCTGGATGGTGATCCCGCCCACAGTGGCGCAGTTCCTATGCTCTCTGGGTGGCGGCGACAACCAACCGCCGTCTTTGGGTGGAAACATCGAGTTTCTCTCTGTGGGAGGCGGTCCCACGTCGCAAGGCATGCTTCGGGGTCTGAGAGACATCTATGGCATCAAAGACGTGAGGGAGGGATACGGGTCCACAGAGGTCGGAGGAATCGCGTCCAATGGGTGGTTTCACCTCGATATCCTGAAAAGCGTTAGGATTAGAGACCCCAATCATCCCAGCGACCAGGAGGGTGGTTGGTTGGACAAACGAAAAGAAGGCGTTGTTGGAGAGCTCTGGATTGGAGATATCAACACCAGCGACATTGTGGAAGTGACGAGTTGGGGACAGCATGTGAGAGTCATTGGGAGGTCCAAGGATGCCGGAACCTTCAAACTGGAGAATGGGAAATGGTGCGCCCTAATCGATATTGAAGACGAGATTACACGTTCATGCTGCCCCGAGCTGTTTGACGAAGTTATGGTTTGGGTCAACCACAAAGGAACGCTAGTCATGTTGGGCTCCAGGGCAGCTCCTCGTTGGGGTAGCGCTGGGGCTGACAGAAAGAGTCTTCTGCAAGAAACCATCAAACGAACAAATCTGAATCATGAGAAGAGACCCAAAGCTTTGCTTCTGACCAATGAGCCCCTTCCCAAGACTGTCACGCTCAAGGTTCAACGAGGCAAGGTAATCCAACAGTTTCAGCAAGTGGCGAATTCCTTGGAACTGAACAGCCCCAGCCTGTCAGAGGACAATGAGGACGTCCCGGCTCAGGATGTGGCGGATATTGCTGCTCTTGTTTTGGGTGGACCCGTTGATAGTTCCAAATCCTTTATGGAAAATGGCGGAGACTCGATGACGGCTGTACTATGGTTCAAAGAAATTGAAAGGCGGCTAGGGAAAGAGGCAGTATCGGATTGGCGCGCACTGCTTGACAATCCACTGGAATGCCAAGGCGCCCCTATTGACAAAACGGAGGAAGAGGAAGTTACGGTCGAGCCTCCCGCGGCTGTGGACTCCACTGCAGATTCCATCCTTCTGACTGGTGCCACAGGATTCTTTGGCAAGCACGTTTTGCAGGCGATTCTGCGCAAGCACGAGGACGTTGTGGTAGTTTGCCTTGTCCGAGAAGCCTCCGTGTCGGCGATAGAAGCATCTCGGCGCGTGTTGGTCGTCACCAGTGTACCAAAGGAGAGGAAGTATTGGTATGTGATCCATCTGGCGGCAAACGTCAATCATGTTTTGGGTTACAGAGCCCTCAAGGCGGACAATGTTGACATGACTGAATACCTGCTGCGCCTTCGTGTGGCGCCCATGATCTACTGCTCGAGCATGAGCACCAGGGAAGGAACCGCACCGTTCCCCGATGGTTACACGCAATCCAAATGGGTGAGCGAGCAAATGGTACTGCGCAGCGGGGGCAAATGCTTTTGGCCTCCTCTTCTCGTTTGGGGCAATCGCCGCGACTGGCTGACTCGACTGCTGCAGCATAGCCTGCGGACGGGGTACTACCCATCTGACCTGGGCTTTGTGGTTGCATGTCCGGTGGATGTTGCAGCCCGGGACTTGGTGGAAGGGCGTCCTTGCTCTGCCTGGGATTTGGATCTGTCCGAGCTCTTTCTGCGGCTTCGTGTGGAAACGGGGACTCTCCAACCCTTGCCGCTGACATCGTTTGTCGAGGAGTTGCAGAAAGACCAGGAGAGCCCAGCATATCCCATCCTGCCGTTGCTACGCGGCAAAGCCATGGTTGGCAACACCAGAACACGTTCTTTGCAACCATTAGAGATTGATGCGAAACTGGTTCTGTCTTCGTTGCATGGATGAGATAGTAAAGCCCACGGACTGGGGCTTCACAGAAAGTTGGTTGCCGTGCGGTGGGATAGTAATGTTTGTAATTGCTAGCTTGTGTTTCATTGAATAATGTCTTTTTGTCCTCTAAATATGTAATTTTAAGTAAATGTAATAATGTACACACACAACACGCCTTTCCATTTTGTCAGCGTGGCTGCTTGCTTACTCAAAGTCAACAAAGTATCCCCAGTCGTTTCCTCTTCGGGAGTATCTGGATTGGAGATCCGTGTACTTGCTTTGCATGGGAGCAAAGTAGAAAGTATCTGCAGGTTCCATTTCTGGTTCTTCAGGTTCCATTTCAAGACCGGGAAAGAAGGGGCTTTCGTTTTGGACAACTGGTGCAAAGTGATCGAATGGCGGGAATGCCAAAGGAGCTTCTTCTTGCTGTTCCTGGTTTGCCATGGCAACCAGAGAGGCAGTCGACGCCAAGCTGCTTAGGTCTCCGGAGGATTCATGGGACAAGTAGCTGTCAGAAGAGAGGGAAGCAGTTGTCAGAGAAGGAGAGTCTTCTTCAAATTCCAGTTGAGGAATAAAGGGAGTCGCTGGCTCCTTGGTGGGTGTGGTGGAGTTCTTGCCAGATCTCTTGCTGCCGCGTTTCTTGATGAGGCTGGGGATCTTCAAGATGGCTTTGACGACGCGGGGAGTTGTGCGGGGGCTGGTGATGGCAGATGCGGAAACTTGGGTAAGGCCTGTCATTGTGGTTGTTTGGTTTTCGAATGGATGAGCTGTTGTGTTTTTGTTTTGTGTTCAGAGTTGCTGAAGATTGAAATTGTGAGATGACGATGAGGATCCGAGAGAGAAGACATGGATGATGATGGATGAGCCATCAAAGTCATCGCAACCACCTAGCTGCCAAGGTCTTCTCGACAATCAAGGGGTATCTTTCACAACCTGTTCAGATAAACTGCAAGGTCTTGTACTGTTCTCGAGACAAAAGTACTGAACCTATGATAGTAACCTGATGAATACCAGTGTGCTGGAGCCGTCCTTTATCCTTATCCGGCACTGCTGGTACCGTCCTTGGTCATTCGCAATTCGCAATAGCTCAAGATCCGGTTGTCGCGTCTTCCTAACGCGCTCAGCTACGAGACAGAAGATCTTGTCAGATACTTTATATCCTCCAGTTTCTTGATGCAAACCTGGTGTGGTAAAAAGAGAAAAGGCCCTTATTTCTGCCAAACCTTCAACTGCTCATTCTACAGTACGATGCAACAGAACGGCTAATGGAGGATCCTTTTATGTCCGCCAGCATCACTTTTAGAAGGAGAGAAACAGATTGGACGATTTGTTAGTTAGTTGTGATCCGCTTGCATCCAAAGATTTACTGCATGAAGCAATGTGAGACGCCTAGCTAGCTACAGCCGTAGTAGACAGTAAACTCTCCCCCCGAAATATGCGATTTAACATGGGTTCAAAGAGACGACAAATCAGCTCGCATGAAGTCAGAAACGAGGCAAAGAGATTCGGAAGCCTAATGATCAAGTAAAGATACTGTTAATTAAGTGTGAAGCTGTATGTAGGAATGAGGATGCAACTTCGAAACAGCATAGAGGAATCATTTAATTGTACCAGTATGCTATTCGGTACCATAAAACCGGTACGGTACGTTCTCTTGGAGCTGCTCACAATTTCCGCAAATAATTTCGGCGAGGGTGCGCCGAGTCGAGTTGGACTTACAGTCCTAGGCCATGGCAAACTCTAAGTATACCTCTCAACGGAGAAGCGTCCCGCACAGCCACGACAAATAAATTTATTGCCAGGCAAATCGCCAAACAGCAGCTGAAGGACCGGTGGAAATTCAGGGGTTCAACGCACCGGTACCGTACCTTTTGTCGTGGTACCTTCACGGATCGGAGGCAACTTCAAGCAAGAGCATCCAGTGCCGTCATTGGAACGTCGATAATTATGAAGAGACGAGGGAGCTTTCCTTCACGCAGCCTCCCAGCGGTACCGGTACATCCCGGCACTGCTTCCACACTCTTGCTTGAGGATCCGATTTTCGGAGAGCACCTCACTGGTATCGGGATGCCATAGGATTACCCCACTGGTATAAAGCTCACAATCAACAAGATCAATCTAAGATCAGGCCACCGGTACAACAGCGACACAAACCCAAGCTCTTGTCCATTGCATTGTTGTTCCTATTTTAGGCCTTTGCCAAGGATAGCATCTTCTCTTCATCAGCTTCTCTTGTTCTTCTCCATGTTCAGCCTCAGCCTCGGCCATGACAGTCTCTCTCACCGATTCGTCTTCCAACGTAGACGATCCCGTGGCCTTGGAAGAGGGTCGTCTTGGAGAAAGCTCCAACAAGGGCAACAACAACAGCCACAGCAGCAAACAAGGCAGCAGCAGCAAGCTGTCTACGTTCTTCAAAAAGACAACGTCCGTCATTGGTAACCAAGCTACCTTTCTGCGAACTGAAGATGAACACCGAGAACGACGAAGACAGTTATCGTACGAACCAACTCATCATTGGTGGGAACCACCCCTGAGAGCTTGGATACCGCAATGCAATCGAGAAATCTTGTTAATTTTGGTCGTCTACAATACGGCTGTCACGGTCTTGGCTCGCTACTCGGGCATGTGTGGAAACCCATCACACCACGAACCAGGTCATATATTCTGCAGCGATGATTGGATATTATTGGAAGACAAGGCATTGGTGGGCTTTGCCGTAGGCATGTTTCTCCTTTTGGCCTTTCGATCCAATCAAGCGTATGGTAAGTCTTGATGCATGCTATGGAGTCAATCCAGATGAAGATCCCTGCCTGCTTCAGGTTGCTCACATACTCCGCTTGTTGTGCCTACAGAGCGTTTCTGGGAAGGGCGACGGCTTTGGGGTAGGACACGGGAGGTCTGCCGGGACTATGCATTGCAAGTATGTTCGGTGGTACGAGTAGAGACAGAAGACGACAAGGAAGACCGGAGAAGAGCCGTGGACTATCTCACAGCTTTTGGGGTGGCCATGAAGTTGCATCTCCGTGGCGAACGGCACATTGTCAGTGACTTGTCCGAAGGGACCATTGGCAAGACATTGTCATTGACGTTTCAAGACATTGCCAACATTCAACAGGCCAAAAACATGCCCCTGTTCTGCTTGGATGTCCTCTCGGACTATCTCAACAAACAGCAGCTTGCAGGCAAGTTGTCTGATTACCAACTTGGTATCATCAATGTGGGGTGCCTTTCGGTCATGAGTGACACTCTTGGATCTTGTGAACGCATTCGCAACACACCAATTCCCTTGTCCTACGTCCTGCAGCTGCGATTCTTTCTCATCTTGTGGCTGGTCCTATACCCACTCCACGTGGTTGCCTTTTATGGATGGTTCACCATTGTGTTGGCCAACTTGGTCTCCTATGCTGTGCTTGGTATAGAGTCAATGGCCAGTGAGATTGAGAATCCCTTTGGAAACGACAAGAATGACTTGGATCTGGATGAGTTCTGTCTTGGCTTTTGCGAGGATACACATGAGATCTTGCGACGCCATGAAAGTGAAGATCGGGAGATGCTCTTTGATCGTCGTGCCATTATGGCACTGGACCAGAGGCGGGATTTCCGAACTAGTACCAGGAAACTACTGACCAGGCAGCAACCGCCTCGTCAAGTTTCTCAAACATCGGTCATGACAGATTTCAAAGAAACAGACTGGGCTCAAAACTCATCTTGGGCTCAGCTGACAACATCCTCTAAGGAGATCTTGAGGTAGCAAAAGGCCATGACAAGCGCCCATGCCATCCATGATGGCTGGAAGCAGCCAATCCCCAAATTGAGAGAGCAAAAGATACTCTTTGGGGTCGAGTTCCGAAAGTCCCATTACATTCCACCTACCTGCATAACAACACACTCCTATAGCTAGCTACATGTAGCTAGCTAGAGTGCATTACATGTGATTCTAAAGATCCTTTTTGAATACGTACTGTTTCTTGGCTTCGCCCGAATCCATCATGCATCGTCATTGGCTACTCAGCCCTATGATAGCTACGGCATCTGCTCGGTCGACCTTGCCCGTCCTTCCCAGAGAAAGTTTGACCTGGTGCTTGCGTAACACTGTCGTTGCCCAAGACTGTCTGCGATGCGTGTTGGGAACATCCGTGCTGGTGACTCGAATCTTGCACTCTCCAGAGGGACGAAGCCTACTTACCATCATTGTATTGACAATGTAGAAGATTGATGCTGCTAAGCACTCGTGATTAAGCTCTATGACGTCAGTCTAAACAATGACGAACGAAGAAATCCAAGAGGCTACCCTGATCCACATTGAGAAAATGGAGCTGATGGCGGCACCATGAGATTTGCATTCTCTGTCCCCAACATACAGAGCTAGCTAGAACGGCTGTGGACACAAATCTTTTTTGAAGACTACAAGATGTTTCGGTTTGCCTCTCTCTTGTTGCTGCTGAGCAGCCCTGCGGCTGTTGTGGCGTTTGCCCCCGTCAGTGGTGGCCAGGCCAAGTTTCCCACGGATTTGTCCATGGGCAACACCAAGCAACCACCCAAGTTGCCACCTATCCGTGATATTTCCTACGGAGAAGCGTCCCGAAAATACCGTCGTACCGTGTATACCCATGACGATTGGGTGAACCATCGATCTCCCGACCGATTCTGGCGTAACCTGAACGCCATTTTCATCTCTGGCGTCTACAAGAACTTGTACAAGGAAGTGGGAGCCACTACTGCCGTCGCTACCTTTGTGGTGCTCTGGAATGCCTTGACGAATGGATACGATACTCTGAGTGGAGAACACATGAATGCAATTCTCAGTCTGCCAATGCTGTCTTTGCCTTTGGCACCCTATACCTTGTCCAGTCCTTCTTTGGGTCTGCTTTTGGGTAAGTTACAGTATCTGAACACCGGCAGGCAGGATATCAAGATATTCCAAATGTACCCATGACTGATATCTTATGATCTCTTTTTGGGTTTCAGTCTTCAGGACCAACACAAGTTACCAGAGGTAGGTCACTATCTGCAACGTTGGCTCGGATCAAAGCTTTGCACGCAAAATATGTGGCCAATGAATGATATCTCAACTAACTATACTATTGGATATCCCTGCATGTATCAATCAAAATAGGTGGGACGAAGCACGTAAAAACTGGGGAATGAACATCAACCACACTCGTGATTTGGTCCGTATGGCAACATCCTTCTATGATCGCACCGGGAAATCTCAGGAGCAAGTAGAGAAGGACTTGAAAGCTGTCAGTTTGGCCACTTGGTCGTTTGTCCGTGCCATGAAACGTCACCTTTCTCCTCCTGCAGAGGATGAAGAAGACTTTAAACGAGAATTGTATGAACGCCTCCCAGCGGCGCAAGCACAGGCCATCATTGATGCTGTCCACCGTCCCAACCGCGCTCTCTACGACTTGTCATTGGCCATTGAAAACTTGCCCATGCACTTTTTGAGAAAGAACCAAGTCCAATCGGCAGTAACCATCTTTGAAGATAACTTGGGATCCAGTGAACGGTTGCTGTCCTCTCCCGTGCCATTGTTTTATTCCAGGCATACCGCTCGTTTCTTGTCTCTTTGGTTGTTGCTCTTGCCTATTGGCTTGTACGAACCCTTCAAGGATTCCTGGAATCACGTTGCCATGATCCCGGCCACGGCCGCCATTTCAGTCTTTTTGTTTGGTATCGAAGAATTGGCCACACAAATGGAAGAACCCTTTACCATTCTTCCCATGCAAGCCTTTTGTGACAAGATTGGAAACTGGTGTAACGAGATTGTCTCCTGGACACCCGGTGACAATGGAATGCCCGTCAACGAGTCCACACCAAAACACAACAATATTGCCATTGTAGATGGAGTTGCCGTTCCTGCCGATGACAAGTCCGTCGTGATGCAAATGACGGCACCTGCCAATGGACACGGTGTCAATGGAGCAGATGAAAAGTTCAGCGAACCCGTCAGCAACAATCCCAGCCGACTTCGCAAGCTGATTGGAGGACTCAACATTTAAAAGTACTACCAACAAATTAACTCAGCTATGAAGAAGAAGAAGAAGAAGATGGATGCACTATCGAGGAGTCCGGTAGGTTGTGGAGAGTTTGGTCTGGCAACAGGCTACTGAACTATGTAGATGAAGAGAATAGAGAATCTGTAGTTTATGAACCTCCGGGATTGGCAAAATATCTCCGCCGAAGGCTGAGGGCCATACTATAAAAGGTAGCTTTACTTTCTGGCACGCGAGTTGTGGCGATGCTCCAATCCTGTTTTATTCTGGAGGTGGAGGCAGTTCCATCTTTCCTCCGACCTGCAAATAGAATCCTGGAGGACCAGTTTGGGCACCCAACAAAGATACGAGTTCCATCGCTGTGATCCACACTCGTTCAGGATCGTTGATGACATGGTTTGCGCGTGGTTGTGACGGTGGAAAGTGGGCAAAGGCATATATGGTTCTCCAGTGTGTGTGCCAGCTCTTCCACGAGTACGTTTCCACCGCCCCTCTCTTGGATGGATTTGTACTGGAATCTCGTGTTTGGAAACTCTTGACACTGGTCCCAACAGCAAAAAGCCCACCGCTCACACTGAGCAAGACGCAATATTATTGAATAGTTTTTGTTCAAAATACTCCCCAAGCATCATTTCGGTGGTAATGTTCCGGATGTCCAGGTTCGAAGGCAACAAGCACGCCAAAAGTGGGGTTTTCCTCGGCATTGACAAAGAGAAAATCTACGCGTTCATCAATTTCGTGGTAAAGCAAGCACCTTACCATAGATAGATGTGCCCTTCAGGCCCCATGTTCAAAATTTTCTTCACGCCTTCCAAAATTGAGGGGAAGTGTACACGAACCGTGTCGTCGGACAATCGAGCCCAGTTAGAATAGTGCGTTGGTGGTGCACAGCATCGCTCTGGTAGCTGGGATTCAATTCAATGCGAGCTCTCCACGAGGGGGGTAAATGAAACCATCATTTGAAAGTTTGATTTCGATGCGAGGACACACAAGACTGTAGATCGGTACTTGTAGTTGTCGTAGTCATACAAAACGACCCGACTTTGACCAATAAACCCGCCAGCAGGCGGATTGGCGATAGAGACTGACCTTCAGATGAGCAGGAAGGGTATCATGACCTTGTTTCCAGGCCAGAAAAATTAAATGCCATCTAGTCGATTGAGGAGAACACGCTCAGGGAAGAGAGAGCGGAGCGCCTCAAAACTCACATTGAAGATGCGTTCGCTGCTGGGGTCAGCCGCCGGAGGATCGTTGGTACCACTGGTCATTATCTCATTGGTGGATGTTTGTTACACCGTACTGTAGTTTTTAGTAGCTGCGTGTTATTATGGTTGTTTGGGTTTACAAGTGTTTGCTCTTTGCTTTTAAGCTTGTTGCTGCAAGCAATGCTGTTGCTGCTGTCGCTGTTGCCGTATTGCTGTTGTTAGTGTAGGGGACGGCAAAGCATTATTAAAAGCGTGGACTGGCTACGATTCAGGATTTATGGTCCAAACTAAAAATAAAGCTGCATGCAGGAAGGTGAACGAGAAGAGTAAAAGCACACCCGTACCGAATGCTGCATTCGCCGAGCACCGCTGCTTCACACAAACCCAGGACGAGAGAAAGACGAAGTTTTTGTTGTTGTTGTTGTAGAGAGTACAGTACAAGCATACGATACGATACCTGATCAGAGCATGTCACTTTTGAGCAGACTCTGTCTATTCGCAGGGCTGGTATACACGACAACAACAGTAGCAACGGCATCATCGTCATCGATTCGGTTAGATTGCGATCCCTGCATCGACCGAACCGTCACTCGTTTGGGCGCCATTTTGCCTGATTTCGTCCCACGAGATGGAGTGATCGCGTCGGCATTTCACCAGGCCGCTTCCGACATGAATGTGGACCTGTCCATCTATACTGATAGCAGTTTCAATTTCAACAACGATGAAGAGGCAGGTGCAGTGGACGCTTGGTTGGTGCATTTGGGGGCACAAGATGCCATCATGGAGTCTCGTGTCCGAGATTTGGCCCTGGCAGGGGAGATTTTTGTGGGCTGGGGCTGGGGGTATCAATCCACCGTGGCAAGACAAGCTGTCGGATGGATGGCGTCCAACGATGCCGAGGGTGGACGAATGGCAGCCAATGAGACCTTGCAGTTTCTCGGGTTGTCCAGAACCAACCCTACAAAAGAATTGCGGGTCGCATACGTAGTGGATCCGACATCCATCCCAGCACAGGCTCAGCTACGATCGGACACTTACAAAGAGCAACTTATCACACTGCTGCCCAACTCGACCAACGTTATGATGGACACTGTATCCATTTCTGATACAGATATTACCAGTGATGCCAAGTTGGTGTCTCTGTTCCAGAACTGTCCTCGTCAGGCCATTTTGTTGGACACTCCTCAGTCCGTCACAACTGCCCTGCAACTCAAAGAAACACACAATTGCACCCACACGTCTCTAGGAGCCTTTCTCGACAATTTTCAGTCGGATCTCAATCCTACTCTCTATCGAGCCATCACACGACAACAGCTCCAATTTGTACTCGACCCGGAAATACATTTACAATCCAGCATGGCGGTGGTACTATCATCCCTCTACCTCACCACGGGAAAGAAACCTGCCTTTCCCAGGGATATTCCCACCTATTGGACCGGCCCCACACTCATTCATCCCCGCAACGTTCCGTCCGATACCACGGCGGTCTGTCAAAAGACGGCCTTTCCCGTTTGCGATCCCACTACTACTACTCAAGCTGATGATACCAGTATGGCTGCCAATGCCGAACGGGTCGATTGGTGGGGCCTCGATCAGTGTCCCTGTACGCCGCGTCACAGTCTTCGCATTGGCGGCGTCTTGCACGGGACGCCGGGAGGATTTTGGGATCCCGTCTTTGCCAGTGCCCGACAGGCCGCTCGTGATATGCGAATCGAACTGGAATTGACACCCTTTGATTCCAAAGAGGACTTTGACTTGCTCGTGGATCAAATGTCGGCGCGGATTCGCAATCTCTGCGAAAGTGGACGGGTCGATGGATTGGTCGTTAGTATTCCGCATCCACGAGTGGCAAGGGCCGTCCAACGGTGTCTCGATTTGTTTACTCCCGTCATCTCCGTCAATAGTGGCATTGCGGAATCGCAACGCTTGGGATTGATGCACCATATCGGACAAAATGAATATGCGGGAGGATATGAAGCGGGACAGCGGTTGATTCAAGCCGGCATGACACGAGGATGTGAGTACTAGCTAGCAAAACTCATGTCACTTTTGAACCACACCAAAAGGACACCTCACGTATTTGATTTCGTATTGTCAGTTTGTGTGGATCACGAATATGGAAACTCGGCCTTGGCCGAACGATGTCAAGGATTCAAGGATGCCATTGCCGACAGTGAACAACCTGTGGAATTCCGGAAACATGTGGCGGTACCACGCGACAATGATGCCGAGTTCCGAATCGCCATTGAGAATGCAGTGGGAAGGGATTGGAAAGGCGTGGGATTCCTGCAGTTGTCAGCTTCTAGTTTTCGTTCTCTTCGGTCGCTGCTTGAAGAACACCCGGGAACACTGGCAGGGTCGTTCGACTTGAAAGATTACATTTACGAAGCCATCCAAGATGGCGTTCTGCTCTTTACGGTGGATCAACAACCCTTCCTGCAAGGAAACCTACCCATATACTTGCTGACATATTACATGTACACACGACAAACGATTTCCAATCATCTGATACAGAGCGGGCCCAGTTTCGTCGAGTCCCCGCCTTCTGAAGCCCAGAAAATATGCGAGGCCAACCACTTTCGCGTGTGCCCCGATCGACCCGAAGAGGACATGACTTTCATCTCGGATGGTTTTCTTACTGTGGGATACGTTCTCTTCTCCATTGTGGCGGTATGTGCTGTTGCGGCCATGGCTTGGACATGTATAAACCGCAAGTTGTGGGTAGTGAGGGCATCGCAACCGCTATTTCTTGGCTTGATCACTGGGGGAGTCTTCATCTCCAGTTTGTCCATCCTCTTTCTGGGTGCGCAAACGGCCTACCGGTTGGATCAGGATGAATACGGAGATTTCACGGATGCGGAGAATCCGGATATCCAAAGGGTGGACGCGGTACGTAAACCAATCGCCAGTTGGATTCACGTTTGCAAATCATTCACAAAATGCATGCTTGACCCAATGCACACAGAGTTGTATGGCTGTCCCTTGGCTCTATGGGATGGGATTTGTCATTATCTTTTCGGCACTCTTTGCCAAGATTCATCGTGTGCGTATGATTTGTCAAGCCGGTCGTAGGATGACGCGCAAGGCAGTGACTGCCAAAGACGTACTCCCGATCATGGGTTGCCTACTCCTCGTGGAGGGTGTGATTCTCGCAAGCTGGCAGATTGCAGCGCCACTGACATGGCAGCGAGAAGTGAAGGATGAAGTGGACGGATATTCGACAAAGTCAGTGGGGGGTTGCACTTCAGGCCTAGACTCCAATGAAGGATGGGGTTTCTTCCTTGGTCTGATGGGTTTCCATGTCATCTGCCTTTTATATGCATTGGTCCTGAGCTATCAAGTCAGGCATCTCGACTCTGATTTCGCAGAGAGCAGCTATGTGTCTCTGGCTGTTGCCTTTCTCTTTCAGGTTCTGGTTCTGTCTATACCACTGATGGCCCTCGTCGAAGGTAGTACGGATGCCTTCTACTTTGTGCAGGTGGCAGCCATTTTCCTGCAGAATTTCACTGTGCTTATCTTGATCTTTGCTCCAAAAGTTCGACGAATGCACGAAGTACAGGCTGAAATAAGAAGATCCCAGCAAGAAAGGTCCCTGAAACGAGCGTCTTTGGTGGCAGCAGCGGCCCCAGCACTGAATGAAGAAACCACTCCTGCACCCCACGGACCCCTTTTTCTTGAATCCGACCATCAGTCATTGTCTGGTCAAATAGAACAGGCATCGAGACAACTAAAACTGGAAACGGGGGATAAAGGTGACGGCGAAGTGCTGCGTACAACCAGTAGTGCGGGCATGGAGGAAATGGTTTTGTCGGAAACGGAACGCGCATCAGAGACGCAACATCTGGGAGGGGATGGAATCAACGGGAGTACGGCGGAGTCAGGATCATCTCAAGATTGCCTTACAAGGCGACATAGTCCAAATAGTACTACCACTGACGTGATGTTGTCTTCAGATGAAATTTTGTCGAGTTGGGAAGACCTTGGATTCCCCTCTGAAGATTTCACCCAGCGCATCGTCGAAATGTTGAGCCGGTCAACAGATTCATCAAGGCGACAAGCAATTGCATCTCAGTTGCTGGGTGGAGAGTCGAAGCACTTGCTAGCGAGTTGATAACCGTACGAGAGATACAAGAGTCCGTTGGCTGATACCGAGAGGTCTGGGAGTGGAGAGCGGTCCATGTTCCATGTGTTTGGCTGCAGCGCCTTATCTCGGAGTTTTCCGTCGCTGCACGCTTTTAAAAGATTTGTGGGACAAAGCTGGCAGTCGCCAAATCCCCAAGCTTTGGTGGAATGATCGAATGATGAATCTAACAAAGCAAGGGCATGACGGCGGCTTCGTTGTTTCTTGGCTCCTCGGATGCTGATGCCCTACCGCATGTGTTTTTGTCCCAAAGCGTGGAAAAGGTTCCACGATCTGCATAGAAGTCCATGCATTGTCGTAACCGCGGCGATGATGCAGAGCCTCGGCATCCTTACACTTGGCCGAGCTTAAATGACGTCTTGTTTACATTATGTTACCAGATGAGCCGGTGGAATCCGTAGAAATCTGCCGAAAGGTGGACCTACGGTAGCTCCACGACCTGCAAGGTGCAACCCTTCCATCCTCCACGAGCTACTCGATCAGGTCGCACAGAAACAACGAACGAGCCAGACCCCAATTAAGCTGTTTCTTTGTGGCTGGCTATTTGCCGATAACAGATAGATCATGTGACTGCCTAGCAAGCCGCGTCCCGAAATGGTCCCCGTTAGGGGACAACAACGTCGTGTCGCAGTTGGCCGACTGACGAGGCCACCAGCAAGAGTTCCGTCCTAAACGAATTCAGCGTTGCACGCATTGCGGCATCTCATCACTACAGGAGCACCAAATGAGGTGCATAAGAATCCCTTCACTATAGTAGTAGTTAGCAGTAACCAATAGTATGAGAGTTCTTACCAGTTGTTCATTGGAGATTATTTGTTGCACCATCAGCAGAGAGTGAGAAGGATTCTTCCATATCATATCTCCGCTGCAAAGCCAGATCCAGACTTTGAAGGAGCCGCTGATTGGCAATTTCTACTGTTGGCACCATGTATACAGAATCTAGACGACCATCGAATCGATACCCTGTTTCAAATTTGCTCCCCATTTTGGCAGGTATAATCTTTTTGAGCATACTCAAAAACACATTGAACATGACCCCACCATTGTAATGCTTTTGTGTTTGATACTCAAAGGGGTATGCCCATGCTAGCTCGAGCCATACATTCTGAATCATTCGAATGTCCATATGGCGCGTCCAGTCATACCCATCACATTCACAAATCACAATGACTCCTCGTCGTATCAGTTCAAAGTCGGCACTCATGGCGTGACAGAGATAAAAGGCGCCAGCATTGGAAGTGGTGTACATTTCCGTGCGAGTCATTTTCTTTCCGGAAAACTGGGTAATGTCATAGACAAAATTGTAGTTGCCATCGTGAGGGTTGAAAAAGTAGGACAGGAAGAGCCGTGGAAACAGATTGACATATTTGGTCAGTGCCCGTCGACTGTCGCTCAGTGTGTCCAATAGATCATTGTCCTGGCGATATCCCTGAAGTCGAAGAGCACTCTCCACGGCAGATTCAACGTCTGCTTGAAAGTGAATGGCCAAATGAGCACACATGAAATCGGTTATGGGATCAATCTCACTGTGCGCTTGGATAGCTGTCTTGATGTTCAATGCCCATTGATGTTCTTGACTTGTCAGCTTCATCCGGGATGGATCATCCACACGAAATGGTGGAGGCCCTTGTGGGGATGGTTGTTGAGCTTGGATGCCATTGTTGTTGTGGTCATCATCATCATTCCTGCCATTCCCTACTTCTTCTTCGTGACCTTCTACATGTTGTGCTGCTGGACCTTCCATAGCGTTTTGTTCTTCTCCAACGGGGAGGTTGGCATCCATTGTGGGCGAAGATAAGAGTGCGTAGTGGGTAGAGCAGCTGTAGAGTACTAGCTAGTACCACTTCCTTGAGCTTGGTTGATACTGGTACCAGGTACCGACAGCTGAAGTGGAAAGACGAACAGGAATGTTGCAGCTAATGTTGCGGAGCTCTTGTGGAATTTGTGGAAGCGAAGCTCAGGGTGGTTTCGGGTGTGACAAAAGAGCTACATGTACGACACTCTAAGTCTTGTTAGCTGTCTTGTTAGTACTAGTACTGTACGACTCTACAGTACCGGTACCAACCTGGAGTACGGTACAAGCAAGCTTGTCTGGAGGGCTGTGACACGTATAGAACCGGCAATACTACATGTACGTACAGTGTACATGTACTTACCGCAGGTCGCACAGGAACTGTGTTCTCTTCAATGTCACGGTGAACGGGCCGGTGTGGTGGCTACAGTCACCCGAACCCCATCCGTCACACCCACTCGATGATTTCACAGCCCAACTGTTTTTGTTCGTCAGTCTTCGATTTCTTGCCTTGTGTAGCAACTGTACCCTTATCCACGTGATGAAGGAGGATACTAGCTACTAGCTAGTAATATTCACGGCGCGTTGTCTTCTGGATTACCAGTAGGTCTGTTTCTTAATACAGTAAAGGAGGTGGAGAATGGTTCCAGCGATGCATCGATTGCAAAGTACACCGGTAGCTGTAGTCTAAGTTTTTCGTTTCACATTCAAGGCTTTGAACTTTTTGTCTTTCTCAAGGGACGGATTTCTGCCGCTACTGTAGCTAGCTAATAGTACAGCCGTATGGTATGCATGCATGCAGTGCGTGCCATTTACTAAACTCCATACATCCACTACTACAGTACCATCCACTTATAGGGTGGAAGACTGTGTAAGATAAACATGGTGAACCAATCAATCCAACCCAGTAGATAGATTTCTTGATAATCGTAGGTAATCTCCTCTCCTGGTTGAATATCGCGTTTGGCATAGAGTCCATAGGCACCTGGTATATTGCGTGCCTTCCATATGGTATCTGGCAATACCGCTCGAAAGGGCCCACCCATCCAGGACCATGCGGATACCATGTACCGATCCGTGTCCAGTTCGTGCTCAAAATGATGAATGGCATTGGGGTCATCACCGTCATGATTGATATATCCGTGTCCATCCAAATCGAGCATGTACTGAATGCCATTGCCATAAAAATCATTAATGTATCCCCAAAACAGGGCGTCACATTTTTGTTCGTCTGTTAGGGCATTCAAAAACAGTCGTCCCACACATTCATTGGGAAAGACAGCTCGATACCGACTGTCCCAAATTTGGGTTCCCTTGGGAATGACTGCCGTGGCAAAGAGTCCACGTCCTTTGGCCAGCGAGTTTTGAATTTCCAGACTTGCTGTAAAGGGTAGTAGAAACCCCGTAGCATCGGGAGTGTCCCATTCAGGAGCCAAACTGCTGCGACCACTAGAACCAGCAGTAGCTATAGATTGTTGGTATATGGTTCGAAGTTGTATCCATTCTTGTGACGTGAGTGGAGGAGGCAAAACGCGGGCGTGTAAAAAGCTGTGGGAACACCATGGATAGTCAATTTTCTTGGCCGGACAGTGTGGATCTGGATTGTAGAATCCCAAATAGACAACAACTCCATAGAGAAATGCCCCTCCAAAGGGTGCGAGTGTGACTGCTGCCAAGATGAGAAACAGCATCCATCGACTTTTTGCGGGTTGTTTGTCTTTTATTATTATTTGAGAAGATGCTGCATCTGGATGAAGAATCAGTGGCTCTGCTTCGGCTCCATTATTATTGTTTGGACTGTTGTGTTTTCGGTTGGATACGGGACTTTTACTACGACGTTGACGCAATGTACCAGTCCCATGGCTACCAGTACCAGTAGTACCTGTATGAGACAGCATTCTGATGTATTTAACTTTTTGCGTCAAATGACAGCCAAAGTTGTGAGTATTCTTCTGTAGTAGTCTACCGTACGGATCGATGGGTGCAATGCTCCATCAGTCTAGTGGCCGTGGATTGTAGAGGTGGCAGTCAAGTCACGGGTACTACAAGCTCCTGCCTGGACCTTTTTCGCCTTGATGCTGCGATCCTGGCTGGACCGTTCTTTCTTGTTTGGGTGCTGAAGCGGACGATTGTACAAGTCGAGTGACACTGTCACTCACCAAAGACCCTCTGAACTCAAGGTCTGTAAGAAGATACCGTCAGTGTGCCTGGGCAAGCTGCGAAACTTGTGTGAGAAAAGCAAGCACTGGTCGTTCGAATGAGCCCAGGCTCCTTTCCAAGTGAGTCTGCTGGTTGTTTGTGCTGTTACTTGGTAGTGTTGTTGTTGTTGTCTGTTGTCTGATGATGACTTACTTGAGTTCGTGGATTATGACAGAGCTCCATAGCCACCAAAGTGGCTCCACGTGCGATCCTGTAATATTATTGTTCTCCTTCGTCGGTTGAGTTTCGTAATTAGATATTTTCAAGTTAATAATGTCTTCATGATTGTATGATCTATTATGCGTGACACATACAACTCCGTCGCCACAATTTGGTGTTTAATACTCCACTTTTTACAGTAATTGTGTGCTCGGTGAAGGTGGTCAGCAAAAAAGAAGAAAGCCTGACCATGACGGATGACGGTGGAAAAGTCTGAAATTGCCCGAGCATCATTTTTTCGAACCGAAGCGCTGACTAAATGAATAAGAAGCAGCGGTCCTGCCACCGCAGAAGACGAGAAGACCGGTCTTGATGAGAAGAGGCGTGACATTCAAATGATGCCCGACAAGTCTTTGTGTTCTCTTGCATGAATGCAAAATCACAATAGACTAGAGCTAGAGTGTGAGTCGAGTCAAAACACAACGGTCTCCCTCATTTGTTGGTTGTGCTACAGTACCGTACCGTACCACTGCTTTACTATCGTACCAGTAGTGTCCTTCCAAGTCGTCGTCTTCTGTGACACTCACTGAGCCAGCCCACCATGACGACTCCTACTACTGCTACTAGTACTACTGCTACTGCTACTAGTACAAGACCAGACAGCCGCCCCCCTCTGTTTGCTCCATGGAGTCGCGTGACCAACGCTCTTCACCGCGGCATTTCCTGGTGGGTCACCACATGTGCGGTCCATGCAGTCAAGTACCCCAAGACACACATATGTGTCATTACCGTCCTCTCGCTGGTACTGTTGGGGATTGGATTTGGTACGAATTTCCGATTGGTCTTGGATTTGGACGCCATGTTGACACCTCTCGGGTCGCGACCGCAACTGCATGCGGAATGGATTGCCGCTCCGACGGAACCATTTGGCGTCCATCCCGTGCGATTGTTGCAAATTGTACTGCACAATCATGGCGCCAATGTGCTGCTCGACATAAAACAAACGCGACGCGTCTTGCAAACTGTGGATCGCATTCGCACGACACATGGCTATGAGGAGTTGTGTCAACAGGGCATTTACCGCAATTTTGACAATCAAATCACGTGTCGCATTTTCAGTGTCAGTGGATTTTGGAACGATCATTCATTGGACCACTTTGATGACACTGTGTCTACGACGCAAGAACTCCATCAAATCATTAGCGGTCCCACATTTGCCGATGGATCTCCGGTCCTTCACGATTCCATTGTTGGTAATTACCAGCGCAACAACAACAACACGCTCATTACATTTGCCCAATCCTTTTTGGTCCGTCTCGAAATTCCCGATACCGACGACACCAATGCGTTTGAATCCAAACTGCTGGGAGGATTGGACGAGTTGCGTCGAGAATGGATGATGGATGACACTGATCCAGTGCTCACGATGGATTTCATGACGGTCTTTGCGTACCAATTGGAAGCCCTTGTCAACGTCATTGGAGATTTGTATCTCGTGGCATTCTCGGCACTTCTCATGGTCGGATTCACGTGCTTGCTCTTTTACAAACGCAATCCAAGCGAATCGAGAATGCTGTTGGGAGTCGCATCGGTCACTACCATTTGTTGCAGTCTCATGGCGGGAAATGGACTCATGTTTTTGATGGGTGTCCCCTATTCGCTCATTCATCAAATGCTGCCCTTTGTCATTTTCGGAATTGGGTTGGATGATACATTCATCATCACCGGGGCGTACTTTCGAACGGATCCCCAGGCACATGTCCAAGACAGAATCAGAACCACCATGCAAGAAGTGGGATGGAGTATTTCGGTACGTACATCATCAGTACATCATATGTACACCACCAATGAGGTCTGATGGATTGGTTCAATGACTTGCTCACAACTAACGATCCCTGTTTCTTGTTTTCGTTTCGTTTCGTTTCTTTTTGGTATTACACAGGTCACTACCTTGACGACTGTCTTTGCCTTTTCACTGGGATACTTTACCTCCAGTTTTCCAGGAGTGCATTGGCTGTGTCTTTCCGCCATGGCCACCATTTCCATTGATTTTTACTTTCAAATCACATTCTTTGTCGCATTGCTCGTTCTAGATGAACAAAGGGTACAAGCCAAACACAAGGATTGTTGTTTTTGGATTCCACTTGTAGTAGAAGATACTACTCCACAAGAACAACAAGACGATGACATGCTTGTGCTCCACGCCAAGAATATTGTCGATGTGGATGAATTGTTGGAACTAGAAGAAGAGGAGGAGGAGGAGCTTGAAGAAGAAGAAGAAGAGCAAATCAAGAAAGTCTCCACGAAGGATAATGTCACTTCTAGTTCCACTACCGAAAAGACTTTGGCGGCCGACGAAATGGAGCGGAACGATGTCGTACACAAAGGCGAATCGATGGGCCACGAATCTGGTGAAAACAATCACGAGGACAGTCCCGTCGACACGCGTCCTATTCCCGAACGCATCATGAGTCGCTACGCCGATATACTGCTATGTCCCAAAACAAAAGTATTGGTACTCGCCGTATTTGCCACCTTTTTTGCGTATTGCTGTTGGAGTGTCACTTGTCTGACGCAAGAATTTGATGTTGGAGACTACGTACGGGATGACTCGTATCTGAAAAACGTCTTTACCAGCCTCCACGAGTACAGCAGTGTCGTCCGACCCATGGCACTTTACTTTCGTCATGTCGATCAATCATCACCTGCGATGCAACAGCAAATGATCGACTACGTAGAAGCCATGGAGGCACTGCCACAAGTATTGGCATTGGAAGAAGACGACAATAATTTGACATCATCGACATTGGAAGCGGGCTTTACAGGAGGAGTGGACAAGATCCGTCCGTTTTGTTGGGTCCGAGACTTTCAACAACTGGAACAATTGCTGGTGGATCAGCCTCCCATTGTGCTGGCGACGTTTCAAAACATGACCTTTAACGAAAAACTGGACTTTGCACTGTCTGACAAGATTCTTCGAGAAGTGTACGGTCAGGACATCATCCGGGATGACGAGGGCAACATTCTCGCGTCGCGGTGCTTTCTCTTTTTACAAGATTTGGATTTGAAAGATGTCGAAGCACAGATTGATATGTTGTTTGATCAACGGAGTGTGTCGGAAAGTCAACCTGTCAATCAACAAATACACCACCAACACGATTGGGCGTTCTTTGCCCATGATGAATTGTTTGGATATTGGGAAGCGGTAAGGCACAAAATTTGTGTTTTTGTTTTCAATGCTTGCCCGTCTTTTTCCCTCCGTTGCTCACTTGAAGTAATTCTTTGTCCGTTTGCAGTACGCTGTGTCAGTTCAGGAACTCTGGTTTACTATTGTAGCTGGAGTCATTGCTGTCACGTTCATTGCCTTCGTGTTCGTTCCTCATTGGACTGGAGCATTTTTGATCTGTCCGCTGATTGTCATTCTTTACATCAACATGCTGGGATCATTGCAAAACCTTGGACTACACATCAATGGCTTCACATACGTGTGCGTGGTGGTTTCCATTGGACTGCTTGTGGACTTTTTGATTCACGTGCTGCTACGATACTTCGAGTGTCCTCCTGGACTGACTCGCGACGAACGCGTCAAGCAGACGCTGGAGACAATGGGAGCATCCATCTTAATTGGTGGAACTACAACCTTCCTTGCAGTGATTCCTTTGGCGATCAGTTCCCTCAAGATCTTTCAAACTGTCTTCAATGCCTTCTTTGCCATGGTTGCCTTGGGAGTCACGCATGGGTTGATCTTGTTGCCCGTGGTGCTGTCGCTGATTGGGCCGACAACCAATGTCGACCATAATATGAGCACAGGCGGTGGCGACAACGCGGAGGACCCTTCATCCAAGGACGACAAGGATCTGCAAGGTAGTCCCGCGAGTGCTTTGACCTGGGCAACCAGCGCTAGCTTTGTGGATCCCGTCGATGTGGATAATATGAATCTTCACGTGGAGACTTTGAAAGTCATTGCTGAAGCAAGCGAGCACAGCGAGGAAAGTCTAGAAGATATGGGCTCTGAAAGGTCCGCAGAATCTGATATTTTCCCTTCGAGCACAATCAGCGAGGCGAGTGCGTGAGGCTCGCTTCGGGTAAGCAAAAGAGACACAAGTCCCTTCCGGTTGCGTGAAACAACGGCGCCTGGTTCAGATTGGATCGATGCAGACGATACGCCCACTACCTCTGCACCCAGCGGGCGACGATACCAATAGATTGTAAATGAATACTAAATGCATAGAGCTCAGATACGATCGTAGAACAGCTCTTAGGTTATTTCAATAGAATTTCCTTGTACTTCCGCTGTGCTGCATCATTGATCCGTCTTCATGCTGCCATGAGCCGTTGGCTTGTTTACGTCCCTCTACCTCGTCCGCCAGCGCATAGCTCGCCGTTGGTCTATCTACCGGTAGTGCTGTCGCTCTCCGAGACAAAGGTCGCACCATTCAGGGTATCAACGGTAAGATAAAGAAGATTTGTTTCTAATACAGGTTTTTATGTACATGTTCTGTCTGTGCGCCACAAACGAACGATCTGATATGAATTGGACATGGCTTGGTTGTGTGGGCATGGTTGTGTGGGCATGGCTGCAAGCGGTGATTTGCAATGATGTGGGCAATCAATGAGTTAGACTCTAGTGGTGGCTGGCTAATTCCGCTGGTTGCTGACTGCCCAGGAGCTTGCGTCTACGGTGCTTGCTGTTGACAGCATTCATAAAGCCTTCCATGGCCTTGAGGGACTCTGACACGGCTTGGGCATCTTTGTGGACAATTTGCTCCGCAGAATCGCAAGATGCATTGGAGTTGCTTCGTCGATAACCGCGCAGCTGACGACGGATTCCTTGTGATTCAGCATACTTTTGGCGGATGATTTCTGCACGTGTCTTGGCTCCTCCTTTGCTCTTGAGGGAGTGCGAGGATTGACTTGGACGCCGCTGCCTTCTGGTGTTCTTGTCATGAATTGGACTTGCTTGGAGCTCGCTGCTCCAATCAGAGGAACTATCAGACAAAACCAAGGATCGGGGAGAGGACATGATGTTTTTGTTTGTTTGGAAAAGTGAGAATGGCAAGGTGCAAGGTGTACAAACTATAATGGATGGAAATTCAAATTGTGAGAGAAGTTTTGTTTTGTTTTGTTTTGGGCTGGATCTTGCTTTTCGCTGAGCTTCCAACGATTGTCCAAGAGCTTTTCACTTCTAATTACTAAAACTGCTTCCTCTTGAAGCTTGAAGCACCTCCTTTAACTCTCCTTTTGACTTTTGACCATTGACTCTGGGTAACATGTTGCAGCAGCCTCTGTTCTTCCACGAGCAATAACCCTCAGAATCAAAAAGAGATATTGCATAGCTTCCCCAGAAGGTGAATTCACACCGACATTATGTCATTCGGAATGCTAAGGAAATGACTATTAATAATAGGTGTTGAAACATTGAAACATTTATTTGTTTTGTTTGTCAATAGATGACCGATTGTTCGACGAAAGGGATCTTGCGCCTATGTCAATACTCTGAGTCAGCTTCAAGGGGGAGTAGTTGCCGAAAACATTCAGTCGCTTCAAACTCAGGGGGAGCCTGCTGCATTCTTGTCTGGACGGCTCCTCCACCAGTTCCGGCTCTGGCATCACATAGATGATATATAGGATGATAGCTTGGATGATAGAGCTGATGATGGTCTTCTTCTTGTTCTTCGACGTGGAAGGAGGCACGCGGAAGCAGGCAATTGCTGCTCAGTTCCTGCGTTGGTGCCATGGAGGGAATGACTGCTTACCAACCCGAAGCAAAATTTACATAGCAATTTAGATAGACTCTGCCTTGCTTGGCTGCCTTGTTGCTTCTCCGTGTTCGATTGATGTAGACTGCAGAATGCTAAAGGCAATGCCAGCAAGGCTTTTACACTCCACAAGCGGCTTAAATTTTATGTTGACGGATTGTTTCAGGAAAGGGCTATTGCAGTATGTCAAGCTCAGTCGCTTCAAACTCAGGGGCCTTGCTTCTTTCTTGTCTGGAGGAGCACAAGGAAGTGAAGATTCAAGATTCATTATTTATTTATTTTGTGTCTTTACGAGCTCTTTACGTCTTTACAGTGTCTTTACGTTGTCTCTCAACATCATAGAGCTACCGCATACCTGGTACCGGTGGCTCTTGTGCTCTTCTGCTCTCCAGCTTAAGTAGTCCTAGCTAGCTACTAGCACTGGTACTGCACCGCTCCTGGCCAAAACAGCTCCAAAAGCTACAACAATGTCATGATGTATGACGACGTCAATACTCAAAACAATTCGACCAGATCTTCTTCTTGTTCTTCTTGTTCTTCAGCTCATCCACGTGGACGGAAGCATTGGCGGTACCGGTACAGGTACGGTACAGGTGGCATGCAATAATTGCCGCTCAGTTGGTGCGTCCCACGGAGGGGAATTGGCCGCATACTAACCAGAAATTACATGTAGTCTACCTTGCTTATGCATAGTTGCAATGTAGTGCACGGAAATGGCAATGCCCAACGCCCAACAGCTTGCCCAACCCTTCTGGGCTACAAGCACACAAGCACTGTAGTCTACATGTTGTAGACTAGTGATCAGGCTGGATGGCAAAAGTTGGGGCTGCACCAAAGCAATAAACAACTGAATCGCTCTTCAATCTTGTCTGGGTCGGATGCAACAGTAAGGATTCAAGGCTTCTTCGGTCGCTCTTCTCATTCCGAATGGACTTGAGAACGGCTGTTGCGAAGAGTGCCACCACCATAAACCATTTCTTGGTGAAACGTAGGCAATACCGTACCGCTGAAGCTGCCAAATGACTTCCCCTTCATCGTCGAACAAGGAAGGGACAAGTCCGCCTAAACGCCAAAAATGCTAAGAGCGGGCTTCGTCCATCCATACTAGTACTAGCTAGAGGGTGTCATGGCAGTCGATTCAAGGGTCACTATTGGTCAGGTCGGGCTCATACCGCATGGAATGGAAAGGAATTGAATTGAATTGAATTGGAGACCGAGAGCGAAGCAGAGCCATCAAACAAGACCGCTGATGAGAGTGACAGTCATTCTCGCTTCGTCTCGTGCTTTGCTTGATGAGGATCCGTGCGTAAAGCCGCCTCGAATACATGCGCATTTACTGCTTTGGAAGTTCCTTGTGCAATGGGTGCAGCGCTGGATCATCGCCGCGTTTACGACAATGTGTAGACGCTGAAGATCGTGGAGCCTTTTCCACGCTGTGCGAAACACCACAGACGGATACACATCCACTTCCATGCGTCACCTCTCTCTGCCACGTTCAATTCACCACCAACGAATGATGAATCGAATCCACCCGTTCGGCATTGCCAGCCGTATTTTCTGAGTAGTGGGACCCCCAACTAGCCCCCTGGTATCGGACGGAACGTTGCGGGGATGAACGAGGGTGGGTCCAATACGGCAGGTTTCTTTCCCGATGCTGAAATATCACAGACTGGTAAGAAAGCTTCCCAGTATTGAGACTTCAAAGCGTAAGAAATACACTACTACTCTACAAAAACAAGATGCCTCCGGTGGCGCCAACCATGGAAACAGAAATAGCAAAAAGGACTGACAGTCCGTTGGCAAATAGCTAATACTGGTACCAGATACCAACTGCCATGGGCTCCAAAGGGTCCGAAATCGCCATTTACAAGTAATTCTGCTTCATACTTGGGTTTCGATTTTATATTTGGGTTTTGATTTTATATTTAGGTTTCGATTTTATATTTGGGTTTCGGCTTGATTTTACTAGTTATATACCATAGTAATTTGGTTTCGGTTTTATATACCCTCATAGGTCAAAGTTGACTCGTGCCAAATTTGACTCAGAGTCAAACTGACGCTCCTTGACTGGGTCATAAAGATTTTCGCGCGGGGGTGCGAACCCTCCTTGTTATTTGAATAACGACCCCAAGTCAAAAAATCGTGGACTTAGAAGATAGATTAAGAGACATAGAGAACGGTACTGCATTAACTCTAGCTAGCTTCCTTCAGTTGGCGCCCTCTTAAGGCCTAACTCGAACTCTAGTGGTTCCGTACCTTGAAATCGTGGAGAGTCGAGGTGTACCAATGCCAACGAAACACAACCAGAGGCAGGAGAGTTAACAGCAGTAGACAACAACAATCAACATCAAGATGACCTCTACTACCAGTGCTATTGCGAATGGTTTACCCTCTCCAGTGAGGCCAGCACAAGTCCGTGTGGTGGAGCATAGGATTGGTGAAGATGGGATGAGAGAGGCTGTTGTGACAGTGAGGGATGATGGCCAACTCAACAGCAATTTGCAACATGTCTTGTTGGAGATGGCAGAGGGTGACAAGCCAACCTCTACAGGAAAGGCGCTGGATCCCAAAGTCTTTGAATACTACCAGTACTGCGACCACTGTTATCCCAATGATCCAATGAGGAGAGTTGTGGACTTTGAGAAGGTTTACAGATTTATGTTCTACACTGCTTTCAGAGAGCCAAAGAAACATCCAACCAAGGCTGAACTTGCCAAGTCTGTGGAAAAGAGGAATCACTTCAACAAGAAGGAGTTTGACACCCTAATGGTGGACTACAAGGACTCTGCCAAGGCTAGACTCAACCGGCCCAATCCCAAGAATCCAATGAGTCCCCCCTCCTTTGAACAGTACAAGCAAATCATCCGCAAGATCTGGAAGGTACAACTCGCCAAGGGATTGACCAAAGACAGCTTTGATGCTATCTGGAGGCTCCCATTGGATGATCTATTGAAGTTTGTGAAGCACAGGAAGCCCATCCAAGACAAGAAAAACTACAAAGAGAAGATTAATGGAGAGTTTTCTCCCTACATGATTGTGGAGCACTATACCAGCATTGAAGCTATTCTGTGGAAACACAGCCATGATGCTGTTGGCTACAGATCTGTGGCCTGTCAGCTGCGCCACAGGTACTGTTTTCTACATTTGACTTGTGGCATTCTCAGGTGTGAGAGTCTCCACCGTGCTGAGTTCAGCGACTTCCTTGGATTGACTGTCCCCAAGGACGAAGACAGAGATGTACACGACACCTACATTATGGTTAACCAGATTGCATTGGGCAAGACAGCCACCTATGGCAGGAAACAGTATGGCAGAGCCACCCGCCACAAGGATGTCAATGTGTGCTGCATCGCTGCCTTTGCCTTCATGGTGGAATACCGTCTCCATTGCACTGAAGAGTTTGCCAGCTTCACTGTGGATGACTGGGTGAACAACACGAAGTGGTTTGACATCAAGGTCCTTGCTGATGTTACAGTGAGCGCTGACAGGTCCAAGGAGATGGAGAAGGATACTTATGGAAACCACATCCGTGGGATCCTCAAGGAACTCGAGCTGGACTGCTCAAAGGTACTCCATCTTGGCAGAAAACTTGGTGCATTAACTCTTGAGCTGCTGATGGAAGAGCGCTCTGAGATCCAGCAATTAGGAGGCTGGTCAGAGGGCTGTTTTGACAAGCATTACAGTGGCAAGATGCCTCTATCTCCTGTGAGGAGAATGGCCGGTTATGGCGGGAAGAACGGCTGTCTCTTCTGCCCCAGATCTGTTGTCTTTCCACCCAAGGAGTTGTTGCTCCTTACACCAATCGGAAAGTGGGTGTACACCGCCTTTGACGACGTTACATCTCACCCCGGAAACAATCCAACAGCCATTGCCTTCCTCAAGTTCTTTATTGACCTCAACACACTCTTTTTACAAGACGCAGCAGCAATGATGGTTCTTCATCCAGAGCGAGAGGAGCATCCTTTATTCACTGACCTGAACTATGTATTCAAGACCGATCTCTTTGCTGTAAGTGTCACCGTTCGCACTTGTTCATTAGCTCTTGTGCCACACGCCTCTCACTACTGCTTCTTCTACTGTCCGTGCTGTTACTAGATATTCAAGGAGAAGATGAAATTGGCACTCGAGTCTGCAAAGAATCCAAAAGAAACCACTATAGAGAAAGTTGTCCCAACGCTGACTGCCTGGCAGACAGCAAACAACCAAGCGTTATGTCTTTTAGATTCAAAGGTTGACAGTGTGTCCACTATTGTGTCCAATGGGATCGCGCAGCTTGTTGAGTTCACTCAGAGAACTGAACAGCGACAGTTGCAGAGAGAAAGGCAACTAGGGGCTTTACTAGTGAAGATGGGCAATTCTCTCAATGTCCCGCTAGAGAACAACGAAGAAGAAGGCGAACTGCTTACACCAGACACACCAGAAGAGCTGGACTATATGAATGACAGTGGCGAGTGGGAGCCTATGCAGGATCCGGCTGGTGCAACTTTGGAAACGGGTGACATGCATCTTCAAGTTGGTGCTATGGACACCACGGAAACCGTGACACGACGTACGATATCGCCAACAGCAACAGTGGTAGCCCAGCCCAATGCTGAATTCAGGCTCTCTGTGTGCATCAAGAACTTGAGCGAGCTGATGGACGAGTGGACTGGTCGAATGGATGGATCCTATCCAGATCCTCTTGGAGGCGTGGAAGGCAGAAACAACAAGTATGGTGCCAAATGGAGGGCGCACATCCCTGCCAAGCAACATTCCAGAAGAAAGCAAGCCACTGAAGGTATCCGTGCTTATGCAGAGAGGCACAATGTGGATGAGTTGGATGCATGCACAATGCTTGACTACAACTACAAAGAAGACTGCAAGTGCTCTATTGCAAAGTTTGTGGACTACTTGAAAGGCGAGGGGCTGCTGCAAAAAATGGCGTCTCGTGGTCGTACCAAGAAATGACTACTTTACATTCTATTTGGTGGGCTTCCAAGCTCCTTGGTCTTTGACCTGTTGGGCTGTCATGGGCTGTGGCACAGAGATGCGAGCAGCCATCATTCTACATTCATTTAAACTAGCACTACATTCATTTAAACTAGTAGTAGGAGCTTTCAATTGCTCTTGTAGCCGTTGCTTCTCCATCGTGCTGTTGTGTTGTTCGATCGTTGTTGCCGACTGCGATTGTTCTTGTTGCCTGTTGCTGTTACTGTTGCCGTAAGATAGGTGCGCGCCATTGAAGTTCGAAAAGTGAGAAGTTGTCACTGACGTCAGTTGTAATCCAGTACCGGTTCTCATTTGAGTACCGGTTTCGAGTCAGTCGCCAAAAGAGGTGCGAAGTTCCAAAAGATACGCGGAAGATCGGTGAGGTGACTCCAGTTTGATTTCTGCTCAGCAGTTTCTCGTTTGGCCTCTCCAGAGTCAGGGGGTACTGTTTTCGGCACAGTAAGAACAGAATCTGGCCAGGTCAAACGAGATACTCTGAGTCAAAATCCAATTTTGACTCACTCGATGGCACTACGTGCTTTTGCCTTGACTGAACGATCCTACGAAGGACAGACTACTATTTTACCAACTAAATATTTAGGTTTTCGGTTTTATATTTAGGTTTCGGTTTTATATTTAGGTTTGGAATTGATCAATTTAATTGGATTCTTAAAATCCTGATTTCGGGCCCTTTCCTCCCAGAATCTTGCTTTACAAGAATTTCTTAACAATTTCTAAAAGCTCAGGGCTCGCTTTCTAACTACTCGTAATGGTGGAGTTGCTCAAAATTCGAGTTTGGAGTACGGTACCACTACTAGTAGTACCAGTACCACCAAGAGCGCGCAAGTGCATGACTGGTTGAAAAATTAAATAATGACTTTCAGAAGCACGCCTACACATTTGATCTCTTGTGTTCTTACCGGTACCGGTATTAAATTTGTACAGTAGCCAGTGGAATGGGACTTAGAGGATCCCAACCGAGCTTTGCAGATTAGCTGGAGATTCCAGTAAGCTACTCCCGTCAGAAGGTTCCAACAGTGCTCCCATCTTCGGGTGCTAAGGTGGCCAGCCAAAACCGCGAAACCCGGCTCAATGGTCAGCCATGATCTGCTGTGGGAACATGGCACTGAGATGATCCTCAGAATTATTCTGACAAGCCCAACACTTGCCTTGTCTTAGCCCAAACAAAAGTAAACAAATAATAGATCTAGTAAACACAATGAAGTCTCTCTTGAAGTTCATTACCGGTGCGTCCAAAAAGGAGGACAATGGCAGCCGAAAGAAGAAGGACGCATTGGATAGTGAAGCTAAAAGCAAGAGTAAGGGTACAAGCAAGAGTAACAAGGATAGAAAAAGCAGGAAGGAGGCAAAGATCAAGAGGTCAGCTAAAGGCTCTGTCGTCAGCGAACAAACCGAAGCTACTACTCTCAGTGATGCTGCTGTGAACGAACACTTGATCCAGGATTACATTTCCAAGGTAAATGAACACGCATCAGTAGAAGAGCTGCTCCAATTCTACGCCCGTGAGGACGCGCCCATCAAGTTTGACGACATGGCCCCCATGCCTGCCGTGGCAGTGCAGACAGAGATTGTGAACCTCACCAAGAGCTTTAAGGATTTCAAGTTCAGCTATGACTCTGTCAAGGAAATCAAACCAGGCGTGGTGCAGGTAGACGAGTTGGTGGTGTCAGGAACTCACAATGGGGAACCTTATAAATTTGCAGTATTCCCTCCTGTCCCAGCCACTGGCAAGCATGTTGTGTTAGACCCAGAGAGGTCGTGGTTTTACATGAATGATGGGAAGATTGTCAAGGAGGTCATCACGGCACTCGGCAACCTCACAGGGCCTCCTGGCATGTACATTTCTATTGGAGGAAACATGGACATGGCACCCCCACCACCTCAAGAGGAGGAATCGCCTTAGGAGCATGCGTCTCCTTGTAACTACTGCCTGACTGAGGTTTGCTTTGGGATACTTGCAATAATGAACACACATGTATTTGATATGAGGTTGCCCATCGTCCAGCCATGTGCGATTTCATTGCATTGTTATTCGATCGAAGGCTGTAGTCATCTTCCGGGTATGAATGACACTACAACTGCATACTTGAGGCTTTGTATTCTGCCATATATCGCATTGCCAACCTTGTTGGTCCACTGAACGTTATCGAGACTGTGTCAAATCATCTAGGACTTTGAACCAAGAAACCAGAATAGCTCACTGAGACTGAAGTTGGTTTGGCAGCATGACGGTCTCATTTTGGATCTTGTTGCTTTCTTAAAATAATAGCCATACGCTTGTAGCTACTAGTATCTGGGTGGGATTGGCAGTGTGCAAGGAGGAGCACCTACAGGGTCAGTGCGTCAGAACGCGGAAACTGAGAGTGTATGAACCAATAGAGTTGCCTTCCGACATGGACGCACGCTATCTACATATCATAATGCTATCATACCAATGCTACCAAGGGGGGGTTTAGGGTAGGGAAATTATCTACGGAAGCCAGCCGGGGTCAGGCTTTTAAAAGCAAAGAACAGTCGAAATTCAGGACTAGGTTCTGTGGGATCAGGGGCAAGAAATTGAGGACCATTAAGGGGGGCAAAGGGCTTTGCGGGATCCACGGAGACATAAATGGCCAATGTTACATTGCAGATTTGAGCCTCTGGCTAGTAGCTAGTAGAGAAGATGAGCTAAAGTATATTGACAGCCTTTCCGGTCTTGCTACCGGACGGTACCGAGGCTCATGGGCAAATCGTTGCATCGGCCGTGATCCATTCAATGACGTCATTGGCGCCCAAAAGTTTCTTGATCTCTCTAGCTAGGCTGCGCCAAAAGCCCACCAGCAGAGCACATCAAAGTCAAATTTCACAAGAAGCCAGACAAAGAAGCAATGAGGTCCTCTTATTCTGTGTTATTGTTGCTGCTGCCGCTATCGCTATCAGCTCTGACAGTGTCGGCATTTCAACCATCCAAGTTCCCTCTGAGCCTGAATCGAGCACTTGAGCCACTGCCACCATTAGCTTCAGCTTCAGCCTCAGCCTCAGCCACGCCAACAACACGATGGACCGCAGCGACAACGACTGATACTCGATCACGGGGTAACCACGGGGTGCTCTATGCCGGACGATCACCCAAAAACGCTCCCGTAGAGAAAAGTGGAGCAGCACCAAGCACAGATGCTTCCAATGCTACCGGTAATACCAAGGTGATTTACAAGGATGACTGCTTTGGCCTCATGTCCTTCTTGGCGGGCATTGGCACCCGCGATCCCGTCTTTACGGGAATCTTTTGCTTGCTGTCCTTGTTGGCAGATGTGGGAACTCGACAGCGATGGCTTCCTGCCGACTACAAGAATCCCGAAATCGTTTCCCGTAAAGTTCCTGCTGTCATTGCCATTCTCACGTTGGTCTTGACCCCTGTCCTTGTGGAACCATTGACCTCTGTGGACGCGTCTTTGTTTGGAGCCGAGCCGGATCCGATTGCGAGACCTGTGCAGCTCGTCATTGGTGGATTCTCCATCGTCACGGGGCTTTTGGATATCCGCTGGAGAGATCGATTTAATGCCTAGATAGCTAGTAGCATAGCCTTATCGTACATGTACATGTAGCATCCAATGTTATAATTAACTACTAAGGCTGTATTGATTCTCCAGTGCTCGTCATCGCACGCTGCCAATCGTAGCTCGCTGCGTGCATACGACGGCGTAAAAAGCTACGAGATCCAAAGTTTACCCCCCGACCCCGGGGAACCATGTCCTGAATTCCGCCTCTTCTTTGCCGAAGAGGTAACTTCCCAAATATGACCGTCATGCCCAATCCTACGTTTGTCTCAGTGAATATTCTGGTGGATCATCATCAGGTCGGCATGGCGATGCGTCGGAAAAAATCCTAACTTGAAAGCAGTTGTAGCAGACCTTCATACCCGAGGATTCGAATGCGTGATTCAATGAAATCAGATGAACGACCGGCTTCCGGTAACATACAGTACAAACATATACAACCGTGTTCATTATCATAACAATTATCCCTAAGCTAACACCATGCAGCACGCAGCCTAGGGCGCTTCCTCTTCAGCTGGTGGGGGTGGCATGTCCATGTTTCCTCCAATAGAAATGTACATGCCAGGAGGCCCCGTAAGATTGCCCAGTGCCATGATGACCTCCTTGACAATCTTCCCATCCTTATTCATGGTGAACCACATCCTCTCTGGGTCCAACACAGCATGCTTGCCAGATGCTGGGACGGGCGGGAATACGGCAAACCTATAAGGTTCCCCATTGTGCGTTCCCGACACAACCAACTCTTCTACCAGCACCACACCTGGTTTGATTTCCTTGACAGAATCATAGCTGAACTTGAAATCCTTAAAGCTCTTGGTTAACTTCACAATCTCCGTCTGCACGGCCACAGCAGGCATGGGAGCCATGTCATCAAACTTGATGGGTACTTCCTCACTGGCGTAGAATTGGAGAAGCTCTTCTACCGATGCGTGTTCATTTACCTTGGAAATGTAATCCTGGATCAAGTGTTCGTTCACAGCAGCATCACTGAGAGTAGTAGCTTCGGTTTGTTCACTGACGACAGAGCCTGGGGAAGACCTCTTGCTCCTTCTCTCTTTCTTGCTCTTTCTCTCCTTGCCACTCTTACTCTTACCCTTAATCTTGCTTTTAGTAATCTCACCTTCCAACATGTCCTTCTTCTTTAGGCTGCCATGGTCCTTCTTCTTGGACGCACCGGTAATGAACTTCAAGAGAGACTTCATTGTTTCTATCTGTTCTTCTTTTTGTTTCTATGGCAAGTGGAGCGTTTGTGAGTTTGTGAGTTTGTGAAAAATAACTATGAAAAAGATTTCTCGGTCTGGCCAAAAAGGAAGGTTTGAGGAATGGCATGCAAGCTGAACTGGGTCTTGGATCGAAGTGAATACCGGTACTAGCAATGACAGTCGCTTGTCTTGGATTCTCTATAACTAATTCCCTACAATACACTACTAGCTAGCTAGGTTTCTTGAGAAGAGGTTGAACCATCTCTTGCGTCTTGCTTGTGCTTGGTGCTTGGCTTCTCTTTTTTCACGTTCCCAAATAAATAAATGAGTCGAGTGGCATGAAGCAAATTAGTTATACTGAGTAGTGTCGTGTTTTCTTTAACTCGTTTTCAAAAGCATTCGTGTGAGCCATTCTGTCAGACACGGATTTTTAAAGAATAGTAACAATGTTCAACGAGCATTAATAATCATAGTCATTAATTTTACAAATTCACCAGACATTGAGAAGGCAATCAGTGAGTAAACGATAATAATAATTAAAGACTTATCTCAATATCAATAAAGGCTTTATTGATACAGTCGTATTGATTACTAGGAGTACTGAGTATTATAAAGCTGCTCTCTTCAAAGCACTCTATGTCACTGAGTACAATGTCATGTACAATGTCTCTTATGTACACTTACAAGCTGTGCCCACCAGCTGCCCACAAAGCGTTCTTGCGTTCTTGAGTTCTTGAGTCTTTATGATCAGATAGATTCTCTCTTTCTGAAAAGCTTCGGCCACGTTGTCCGTTACAGGTCTTTCTTTTATGTCCTATCTTTCCTTTCGTATTCCTTGGAGCGACAGTGCGACAAAAGCCTCACGAACTCACAGGTGGCCAAGCTGAATGTATGTAATCAGCTGTAATCAGATCCCAAAATCTGAACTCTGAAATCAATATAATATGGTGGCCATCTGCTGTTGAGCTCGTGGCTATGGTTGACAGTTTTGTTGACGTAGCTGTTGACGACCAGATCCTGTTGACGAAAAGGAACAACAAATAAATCTATGCTATTGCTGAGCTGGCAATGTGGGGCTGTGCTTTTAAAAATATTGTACATGTACATGTAGTTACTCGCTCGAGTAGAAAACGGTGTTTTCACTGCGGTACTGGGCATCCTGAATTCCTTTTTTTGAGCGCTTCCCAACAATAAAATATTGAAGGAAAGGAAGCAAGAAGCAAGGGCAGGCCAAAATGCCTTGACAACAATGTCATTGCGGTCATTGGTCTTCTCTGCAGCTGGTCAATTTTTTTTTTGCTTGGAGTGGCAGGTACATTTTCGCTTGTCCTCAGTCCAAATGGGGCTCCATCACCCCCATCCCCTAGAACAGGTCCAATCGTCCAATCGTATTCTGGATCAAGGGGCGAAGCTAGTCTAGGGACGACTGTGTGGCGGTGTGGTGGGACGATTAGCTGACGATTCCAAGTTCCAAGCGACGTCTTTATGACCTCCCCCTGCTAGAGGGCTTCAATTACGGCCTTCGAAAAGGCCTTACTTGAATGAACGTCTCCTTTTTCTATATCCTCTCTTTCCTCTGGTCCCATTCTTTGGGTGCTGTTCTCGAGATCTATTGGATCAAGGGAGCTATCATAGACTTCAAGGACGATTTTGGTCTGCTACGTGTAGTACGTTTATGTCTCCATTGAGCATTGGATTGCATTCAGAAAGAAGTAGTCATTGGCAATGGGAGTGTTGGGGTGACTGAGTCGGAACCTCACGAACGACGGTGGCTAGTACATGTATAATGATCTGTTGTTGCTGCGGTTCATGTCCTTCTGGCTAAAAGTAACTTTAATTTATGCTGACTAGCTTGTAGTGCAGGCTCTGTGGGGCTTAGAATACGGTTTCTCACTGCAGTAGCACTGACAATTTGGCATTTGGAAACTATGAGAAGCTGACACATATGGGGCCGGAAGAGGCATCGGAATCAATTGTGTAGTCTGTGTCACTACCATCAACAAACCTGGCAGTGCTCACTCCCGAGAGAGATGAGTGTGCAAAGCACACTTGTTGGCCCGACGCAAATGGCCCGACCACAAATCCATCTTCACAACAGGGTACCCAAGAAAGAGTAACCGGAGAGCCACTGGACACATCACCAGTATCAACAGCAGTTGGAAACTGACCAGCACTGCAAGCACTTCCATTGCAGTCAACTGATACAGTAGCACCACCAAAGGAGCCACCCGCGCTGGCTGCTGCATCATATATGACAGCCACAAAGATTCCAATGTCATTTTGAATGGCAGCAAAGGAGATGATTCCAGCATTATCAGATTCAATGGTTGGAGGGGTTGCGACACCACTCCCACTGGTGTCAAACCAAGAAGTGATGGCTGTGGATCCAATCTGGAAAAGACCCTTATTGCTCTGAATAGTGGCAGCGTTGAATGTAACTGTAGCTGTAACAACCGGGGTTGAGGTTGGAGAAATGGTAGGTGCTTTGGTTGGGGCTTTAGTGGGAGTTTTGGTAGGAGCCTTTGTTGGGGCTGTTGTAGGTACCTTGGTGGGGGCTTTGGTTGGGGCCTTTGTTGGTGCTTTAGTGGGTGCCTTGGTAGGGGTTTGAGTGGGTGCCTTTGGGGCTAAAGTTGGTGCCAATGTTGGGGCTTTAGTGGGAGCTTGGTAGGAGCCTTGGATGGGGCCTTTGTAGGTGCCATGGTGGGGGCTTTGGTGGGGGCTTTGGTTGGTGCCTTGGTTGGTGCTTTAGTGGGAGTCTTGGTAGGGGGTTGAGTTGGTGCCTTGGTAGGGGCTGAAGTCGGTGCCGATGTTGGGGCTTTAGTGGGAGCTTTGGTAGGAGCCTTGGTTGGGGCTTTTGTAGGTGCTTGGTGGGGGCTTTAGTGGGAGTCTTGGTAGGGATTTGAGTGGGTGCCTCGGTTGGGGCTAAAGTTGGTGCCAATGTTGGGGCTTTAGTGGGAGCTTGGTAGGAGCCTTGGTTGGGGCTGTTGTAGGTGCCTTGGTGGGGGCTTTGTTGGTGCTTTGGTTGGTGCTTTAGTGGGAGCTTGGTAGGGGCCTTGGATGGGGCTTTGTAGGTGCCATGGGGGGCTTTGGTGGGGCTTTGGTTGGTGCCTTGGTTGGTGCTTTAGTGGGAGTCTTGGTAGGGGGTTGAGTGGGTGCCTTGGTAGGGGCTGAAGTCGGTGCCGATGTTGGGGCTTTAGTGGGAGCTTTGGTAGGAGCCTTGGTTGGGGCTTTTGTAGGTGCATTGGTGGGGGCTGAAGTTGGGGTTATGCTAGGTACTTTGCTTATGCTAGGACTTCCCGATGGCATCATTGATGGGCTATTGGATGTTGTTGGACTTGTAGTGGGATTCCCTGGGGTGACAGTGGGGTTTGATGAAGGGGAAGTTGTTGGTGTTCTCGAGGGGTAAGAAGAAGGAGTTGATGAAGGGATGGTTGAAGATGGTGAAGATGGGCTATCACTTGGTGCAGCGCTTACACTTGGGCTTTCAGATGGGATTACTGAAGGTAAGTTGGATGTTTTTGGACTGGTACTGGGGGCTTGCGATGGGGCCTTCGAAGGCAGCATGCTTGGAGTACCAGATGTGGCCATGGATGGCACTGTGCTTGGCGTGCCATTTGCTGTTGTTGGAGCAGAACTAGGACTCCCAGTTGTCACTGTTGGAGCTTCTGTAGTAGGTAGTTCAGTTGGGGCCCCTGTGAGTACTTCTGTAGGAGTTCTAGAGGGACGAAAACTGGGTAGTTCTGATAAAATGCCGGTGGTTGGAATTGTTGTACCCTGTGACACAGAAGGGCTGCCCAGGTATACGGTTGGAGCATTAGTTTGTTGTATACTCGGTAGTGTAGTCACAGATGTGGTAGGAGCGAGTGTTGCTGGTGCTGAAGCTGGAATGCTTGACAAAGAAGTTGGCGCAACAACAGTGGGTGGGAAAGATGGAAGCTCTGTTGGAGATTCATTGGGAAGAATAGGTTGCTCTGTTGGAAGCTCAGTGGAAGTTCCTGTTGGTGGGAGAGATAATGACTCTGTTGGAGAGCTGGTAGCAGTCCCTGGCATACTTGGACCAACAGTAGGACTTTCTGCAGTCACGGGAGGGCTTGTTATTGTCGGTGCAAGTGTGAATGGTTCAGTGGGAGTATGCATGGGTGAAGTTCCTGTGGTTGGGAGAGTTGATGGCTCCACTGAACCAATTGCAGTGGCATTCGACGTTTGATACATTGTGGAAAATTGGCTTGGTTGGCTTGAGATGACAGAGGTTGGATGATTGGTGAAGTAATGTGAAGGATCTCTTGTTGGGCTTCTTGTTGTTGGTGTGATACTGGGCATACCAGTTGTCAGAGTGGGGCTGATGGTGGTTGGACGACTAGTGGTAGGGGGACTATTGCTGGGGCTGATTGCAGGTGGCTCAGTGGGCACTTCAGTTGTAGGTTCTGTAGGTGATAATGTTGGCTGTTCAGTTGGCCTTGTTTCCCTGATATACACAGGTGAAGTATCAGTCAGTCCTGAAAAGGCTGTCAGAAAGTCTCTTTTATCCAAGGCATTCCCCAAAAAGGGATTGGTGCTGGTCTGATCAGTTGTCACAGAAACTTGAAGAATTTGATGATTCCCCATCGCAAACCTCTCTTGGATTGTAACATTGGTAACAACAGCCGAGCAAGTAGCATCTGCTACAAAGTCATAAGCCCTGGCAAAGTTAGAACTCAGAAAATCCTCTCCCAATTCTGATATGTCACTGGTGAATCCCATGTAGTAAGTGGCAGTCACTGCAGTGAATCCACAGGTGGGTGCTACTGTTGGTGAACCTGTGTTTGGAATCGGTGTGGGACTAGCTGATGGTACAACGGATGTAGACAACGATGGCTGGTTTGTAGGTTGACCAGTAGGTGCAGGTGTAGGTTGGTTTGTTGGTCTGGCAGTGGGCTGGCTGGTGGGTATAGGAGTTGGTGGCAACGTTGGAGAACTAGTTGTGGGGCTAGCTGTGGTTGGAGCAGCACTCGGATTCCCTGTTGTCACGGTTGGACTATTGGTTGTGGGTGGAGTCGTTGGGGGGGTTGTTGGAGTTTTTGTGGGCTCTTGGGTTGGTGGCTGTGTGGGAGCATTTGTTGGTGGCTGGGTTGGCGGGTTGGTTGGAGAAATGGTAGGACTTACAGTTGGTGGGGTAGTGGGGGCATTGGTTGGCAGTTCTGTTGGTGATAAGGTGGGGCTGCTTGTAGGAGATGTAGTGGGGCTTCCTGTTGTAGGAGAAGCACTAGGACTGTGTGTTGGTGTTGTGGGGTTCAAGGTTGTGGGAGTTTGAGTGGTGGGAGGATCAGTTGGTCTTCTAGTTGGAGATTTGCTTTGCAGAAGAATGGGTTGCTCTGTTTTAGTTGCTGTTACTGGGCTTCCTTCGTTTGTTGTGCCAGCTGCTGTGCTATCTGCAGAGGTGCCGCCAGAGGTTGGTTCAGTTCTATCCGTTGGTACCTGCGGGCTGACAGTTGGCATTCTTTCTGTTATTGGGACACCTGTTGTTGTTGAGTCTTTAGGGAGAAACACAGTGGGCCTTTCTGCATCAGGATTGACATCCCATTTTGGCGCAGCAGGATTGGTTGTTACTGGTCTCTTGGTTGCAGAAATTTGGATCAGTGGAGTAGAAGATGGGCTGAAGCTATTCTTGGGTCTAGGAAATGTTGGTGTGCCTGTCACTGACGGTGACTGAAAGGGATTTTGTATTGTAGAACTGGAAACTATGCTTGGACTTGAACTTGGCAGAACAGTTGTGGGCCAAACTGTTGTTGGGTCATCTGTTTCATGAGTATCGTGAACAGAATAAGGTGACAGCGTTGGTTTGGGAGAATAAAATGACGGGGTTGAAATTGGCTCTCCTGTGGTCTGAATGATGCCAGGCCTCATTGACATTGGTGCATTTGTCGACGAATCTGATGGCTTTGTGGTCACGGGTGAACCTCTGCCGGTGTACTCCACCATGATTTCTTGTGGCCTGATTGGATTCAGGACAGCACCTGAAAACAACCTAACTTCATTTTGTTCAACTTGCAATGCAAGGATATACCCTATTTCAAACATGAAATCTTCCACAAAATCAGTGAAGAATGAGAAAGGGTCTGATAGCCTTGGGATCCCACTGCCTTCTGTGGGGAAAGTATTCAGAGCCCTGTCAACCTGTTCTGGCACTCCAAAAATGGGGTTATCATCGGAGCAGCCCAGACATGTGACTTGCACGACCCACTGAGTGTAGGTAAACAGAAGATTCTCACCAGCAGATACATAGTTCACTTCTTGAAGTCTCACATTCTGCAAGACACGCTGGTAATATCCAGAGCACATTCCTGACAAGTCATTGTACACCAGCTTGAATATTTCCTCCAGCTCTCCTTGCCTTTGGGTAGTAAAATTGAAGGGCAATCCCTCAATGACAAGGTCCACCAGCCCTTCTTTCCACTCCACAAGATCAGCTGTTGCTTGGCAGTAGATCCCATCCTGTTCTGTCTCGGTGTTGCTAGTCATCCAAGTTCCATTGTACTCAGTGGGAACCTCAGTCCTGTTTTTTCCTGTGCTTAAACTGGAAGCGTTGGAGTCTCCTAGAAGCTCCTTGAGAGCAGCAGCAAGGGCAGCTGGACCAAACACATTGCCTGGTAGGCCGGTGCCTGGCAATGTTCCACTGTCTAGGGGTGGAAATGGCTCTGATGGAACTCTGGGAGCAGCCGTAGCATTACTGGTTTTGAAGCCAAAAGTGCTGCTGCTTCTGGCTGCTGCTTGGTTGAAGGCACTGGCAGAAATGGCTCCAGTGGCAATAACGGCAGCAATGCCCAAGGAGGCGGCAACTTGGGTTGTCATGGATGCTCCTGCCACGGCAGCGGTAGCCTGGGCCATGACTCCAGTAGACACGGCCATTGTTGCGCCTACAGAAGCCTTAGTCGACAACCCTGCAGCTGTAGAACTTGTGGCAGCTTGGGCGGCAGCTGTGGCCATCTGTTGACTGGTGGTTTGTACAGCGCTATTGCGGCATTCAAGAAAAATAGGATGGTGAGAAAACAAAGCAACATGGATGTATAGCGCTTGTGGCCTGAGAAATGCTTACGTGGCTGCAGCGTTTGGTGCCTGTTGTTCTATATATAGGAAGTTGGAGCTATGGTCGGCTGCATCCTCGACAGCTTGATGCGCTTCCAGATCGTTGGTCCTGTACTCTCGAATCTTGGATAGTATTCTGCTGATTAGCTGTATACACAGGACCATACCACAGGCTGTCATGATAGCAACACAAAGAGTCTTCTTCACTCGTTGCTCTGTCTCTTCTGCGCGGTTTGCAACAGCAGGTTCCGAGTCACTCCGATAGCTGTCGCTCAAGTCGCTCTCGAAGTCCACGTCTCTACCGGAGCCAGTACATGTACTGGAGGCTTCTTTTGTCTTTGATTTGTTCTCTTGGATCTCCATGTGTATTTGAAGAAACTCCGGTGGCTCAATGTCATGAGCCCAGCTACTGTCGTCTTCATGAGAGACGAGGGACGTTTCAAGTTCGAGCTCGTCCGGTGGCTCAAAGTCGTGCGCCCAACTGCTATCATCTGGGACACTCTCAGTAGTATCAACCTGGTCCACTCCAGCAGTATCTGCGATGGTCCTACGCGAATACCGAATGCAAAAAACTATGGTGAGTATGTTTCGTCTTTGCCTGACCTGGGATGAAACTAGATATAAGCGGGTCTGACTGCCATGGTCGTGTACGGCACCGAGTTTCAGTCAGCAGTAGCTAGAAGCTGAGCTACCTGCACGTACCGGTACCTGCTAACGATGCTGCCGTCCTCAATGACAAGAGATGCCACGAGCGCCTCTTCGGCTCGAAGCAAGTGCAAGGATTCCGGAGAGATGACTTCCTCTCGACACGGACGAGAGAGATCCGCTATTTGCCCCGGTTCGCCCCCATTGCAATCGCTTCGGTTGTCCTTGTAGTTGCTCATCCTTCGTGCATGCATTGACGAAACCTATACTAGGAGAATATTTGGTTGCTGAGTTTTGACCTGATAAAGGGGAGGGGAGGGGAGGTCCGCTGCTTGCTGCTGGCGGATTTGATTGTGATTCAGTGTGAATGCGGTGATGGAACCTTCCCCTTGAACTCGTCCGCCCTCGTATCGCTGCAGCATCACAAGTCACAAGTACCACCAGGTCTATGAGCCAGCAATCACCTCCAACCTCCAGAACGCATCGTAACACAAAGATTGACCGTTCGAAAAAGCCGCATAGCATGAATTTGTGATTTATTGTTGATATTCTCAACCATGACTGCCGTGAAAAAGATTATTTATTATAAGGCCTGCGTTCGTAGAACCCTTTCCACAAAAGGTGAATGCATTCACTAGGTTGGAGTCCTCGAGAGGGGTTCACGTCGCGTGTTCTTGCTAAGTCCAAACAGCTCCGACTTCCGATTGTTAAATCTACAATGCTCACTAGCTGGCATTCGGAATTAACACTCATTCGCTATGATGGCATGGTTGAAGAGAAGAGGCGGGAACAGGGTGGGCAGTGGGCAGAGAGGGTTGTCCTTTTTTTGCCATCCAGAAGCCCATCCAGAGCAACCGGGAGCTGGTTCCGCGTGAGCTCGTTATGTTTCCACAGTTTCGGCCGGCATTTGGGGCGACCGCCATTGCACACTTTTGGGTCCAGGTAACCAACCTATCAACCTATGCCTTTAGTAGCAGAGACTGTGGAGACGAAGGAGTCTGCAAGCGGACATTGTAAGCTCATGGGGACATCATGACTATAGCATTGTTGCATGCATACCGGCAGTTTACGACCAGGACGCTCTTACTCACAAGAGATGTCTCCGGTCCGTTTTTTAAAGGGCATGACCTTCAGTAACTTTTGCCTCTGAGGACAGCTAGGATTGGCGTACGATTCCCCAGAAAGATTTTTCTTTCCACCTGGCTGGCAGGAGGGAGGCAGACCCTTGCCCAGCACAAGACCTGAGTGTGAGCCGTCATACAGCCTAGCTAGTGGAATCAGAACAGCGGTTTTTGACAACTATGCTAGGATTGATTCAGCAAATAAATGCTGATCACTAGCTAGCAAACAGCTGCTTTGCCATGAGCATTGGGGTAACAACAGATTCACACAAAAAACCAAGAATGAAGTTTCAGTCATTTATTATAGGCTTAGTCTTAAGGTTGGATTGTCAGGCTTATTGAGGCAGTACCTTTTAGCTCAGCACCATCATTGTATAGCTCTGCTTTCAGGGTGAATGGAGTGCTGGAATAGCCAGCTGATCCAAAATCTGATGAAGCACATGCACTAGGGCAGACAGCATATGCTTCTGCAGTGTCCTCCTCCACAAGTTCATTGTTCACATAAAACTTCACAAACCAAGTTGCTGCCCCACCTGTTTTTGCCACATAAATGTTGTAATCATATCCCAATGAGGAGACAGTGATAGTTTCACCACCTGACAATGATTGCTTCACATCGCTGTTGCTCGCATCAACAAGAAAGAAGCCTACTAGCTGACCCGATATCACCGTAGCTGCGGTTGGAGTTGCTGATGGCATGCTTGAGGGGCTAACGCTTGGGCTTCCTGATGGCACTGATGAAGGGCTTTTTGAAGGCTGCTGTGAAGGTTGTCCAGATGGCATGACTGATGGTAATGAAGACAGGGTAATGCTAGGGCTTTCTGATGGCGTTTGTGAAGGGCTGCTCGAAGGCTGCTGTGAAGGCTGACCAGATGGCAGGACTGATGGCGATGAAGATGGAGCAAGGCTTGGGACTGATGATGGAGCTGCAGAAGGAATCATGGAAGGTCTACCCGAGGGAACCCTAGATGGTGGAATAGATGGCACTGTTGATGGTTCAATGCTTAGGCTTGAGCTTGGGGGTGCTGAAGGGTTGCTGGATGGCACCCCAGATAAAGTGGGAGAATTTGAAGGAAATTCTGAAGCCGGTGGAACCTTGGAAGGCATTGAAGAGATAGTAGGATATGAGGAAGGAAGAGGTGAAGGTTGGGCTGAAAGAGAAGGAAAGGCGGAGGGCAGTGCTGATGAATCACTTGCACCTGTCGTTGTTGGGGAAGATGAAGGCATTGAAGAAATTGTTGGGGAAATAGAAGGCATTGAAGATCTAGTTGGATGTGAAGAACTGGTTGGATTTGATGATATTGTTGGACTTGAAGAAACAGTTGGAGACGATGAAGTACTTGGTGGATTGGAAGGCCGTGAGGAAATCGTTGGGCGTGAAGAAATAGTTGGATTTGTAGAAACAGTTGGAATTGAAGAAATGGTTGGAGCTGATGAAGTAGATGGACGAGCAGAGGGCTGACCAGACAATTCAGAAGAAGCAGTAGATGGAGAGTTGGAAGGAATGCCAGACATGATGGTTGGAGACATGGAACTAGAAGGAACCTGTGATGGCTGGTCTGTTGGGTCATTTCCTGATGGGGGACCGGAAGGCACGGAAGAACTGGTTGGATTTGAAGAGCTTGATGGATGCGCTGAAGGTTGATCTGAGGGATCGCTTCCGGTGGTATTGGATGGTGTATCAGATGGCATGGAAGAGGTGCTTGGAGATGTTGAGCTCGAGGGTTGACCTGAAGGTTGCACACTTGCACTTGTAACGGCAGATGGTGCACTTGATGGGATTGTAGAGCTTGTTGGTGGGTTGGACTCAGCAGGCAGCAATGATGGCTCCGATGAAGCAGGCAGTGAAGGGACAAGTGATGGCATGGCAGATGCAGTTGGAATAGCTGACTTACTAGGGGCTAAGGAGGGAACATCTGATGGTGTGGCAGTTGGAGTGTTCTTAATCAAACTGAAAGTTACCTCCAGAAATACTCCAAGTGCCAGATTTCGTCTCACGCTGCCTGAAGAAGGAACGGCCTTGACTGTTATATTGATGGTTGGAACTGTTAACTCTGGAACTGCAAGGTAGTTTCCCTCAAATGCATTCTCTCCATTCATCAAATATGTTGGCCAGGGATCGTTGTTGTAGAATGTCCTATTCAAGTAGAAGTCAACACTCTGAACATCCAATTCAGATGATGGTACAGCTCTGATAGTAAGTGATGATCCCACAGGGAGTCTGATCACATCGCCATCTGCAATGCTTTGAATATCAGAGCTGTTGCTGTCAACATCTACAAGAATCAAGTCAATAATTGAGAAGCTGCCTGCTGTGGGGGTTCCTGTTGTTGGGGTGGCAGAGGTAGGAGTTGATGTGGACGAACTAATCGTTGGTGGGTTGGTCATTGCAGGAGCTTGTCCTGGAGTAGGTTCAATTGATGGTCTGCGACTAGGCTGCCTACTGGGCACAGAAGAAGGGCTATTTGTGGGGGGTCTGCTTGTGGGATTCTGCGTAGATGGTCTGTTTGTGGGGCTTGGTGTTGGTTGCTTACTTGTGGGATTGTTTGTTGGTCTGCCGGTCGGTCGCCTTGAGGTTGGTGCGGGCACTGGATTGGGAGTGGGCCTGCGGGTAGGAGGCCTGCTGGTTGGAGCAGGCACTGGGTTGGGTGTGGGTCTGCGGCTTGGAGGCCTGCTGGTTGGAGCAGGCACTGGGTTGGGAGTGGGTCTGCGCGTTGGAGGCCTGCTGGTTGGTGCGGGCACTGGATTGGGAGTGGGCCTGCGGCTTGGAGACCTGCTGGTTGGAGCAGGCACTGGGTTGGGCGTGGGTCTGCGAGTTGGAGGCCTGCTGGTTGGAGCAGGCACTGGGTTGGGAGTGGGTCTGCGAGTTGGAGGCCTGCTTGTTGGTGCAGAAGTTGGCTGTCTGGTAGGTTTCAATGTGGGCATATTTGTTGGCCTAGGTGTTGGCTGCTTGGTGGGTACAGGTGTTGGCCTTGATGTGGGGGCTGCCGTTGGTCTTTGTGTGGGTTTCTGTGTGGGAATATTTGTTGGCCTCGGCGTTGGATGTTTGGTGGGTGCGTTCGTTGGCCCAGGTGTGGGGGCTGATGTTGGTTTTTGTGTTGGTCTTCTTGTGGGAGAATTTGTTGGTTCATTTGTCGGCCCTCGTGTAGGCCCTTTGCTTGGTGCTCTTGTGGGTCCTCGAGTAGGCTCTCTAGTAGGTGCTTGGGTAGGATTTAAGGTGGGCCTTCTTGTGGGCTCTAAGGTAGGTCTTTGTGTAGGCTCCAGAGTTGGCCTTCGTGTTGGTTCAAGAGTTGGGTTCTTTCCACCTTGATTGCTCCCATCTGCTCCTTGTGCGTTGTTGTCACCCTGTACTGATATTGGCTCCTCCGTTGGCAGTCCACTAGTGGGTGCACTTGTTGTCGGCACAGCGGAGGGCTGGCCTGGCTTTACTGTAGGAGACAAAGTTGTGGGCGCAATAGACTCTGGTTCATTTGTGAGTCTTGGAGATGATACTGGTTGAGTAGGGACCGATGTTGTTGGAGGGCTTGTTGTGGGGGAACTTGTAGTTGGTGCAGCACTGGGTGCACCTGCTGTCACTGTGGGAGTTCCTGTAGATGGGATAGCAGTTGATGGGCTCGAGGTAGGGTTTGGCTTTGCATCAGAAGGAGCAAAAGTCTTTGTTGCCACTTCAGCTACAGGTTCACGATCCTTTCCATCACCAGTGTATTCCATGACGACCACCTGTGGGTCGATTGGATTCAGCACTGCACCGGAATACAAACGGACATTGGAACTTTCTTCTGACTCCTCCAGGGATGGGTATGTTCGCCTCATTTCAAACATGAATGCATTAACAAAGTTTGAAAACAACCCTGCAGAACTCTGAAGCTCACGTCCGCCACTTCTGGACATGGCAGTAACTTGGCTAATGTCGTTTGGCATTCCAAACAATGGATTGTCATCTGGACAACCCAAGCAGGTGAGATGGCAAGCCCATTTAGTGTAGGTAAAGATGAGGTTCCTGCCAGCTGCCACATAGTTGACTTCTTGGAGTGTGACATTTTGTAGAATGCGCTGGTAGTCTCCTGAGCACATGCCGGCCAAACCATTATATGTCAACTGGAAAATGGCTTCTAACTGCTCTTGTTCCTGGGTTGTGAAATTGAGGGGCAAACCTACAATGACAAAGTCAACCAGGCCTTCCTTTTGTTCCACAACATCCTCTGTGGCCTCACACTCGACCTCCATTGGAAACGCTGCAGCGCCGGTGTGGCTGGTTTCGTTACTGGTCACGTTGTTTCTTGTTGTGTTGAACAAAAAGGTTGCATTGGTATCATTGGTCATACTGGCATCGTCTTCTATGGCTTCAATCGCTGCCACGGCATCCAAGTTTGTCGTCTCGGCGACTTGATTGCTTGTCGTCGTCGTCGTCGTCGTCGCCGCCACAGGTACTTCTGCTGGCGCTGGCGTCGGGAATGGGGTAAACCGATTGCCATAGGCTGCATATGGATCGTAGCCGCCGGTGCTTCCGGTAGAGCTGGCGGTGCCCGTAGATAGAAACTGAGGGGCCGCAACCGCTGCTGCCACTGCAATAAAACCGGCGACCCCAATAGCCATGCCGATTTGAGCAGTCATGGAAGACCCAGCTACAGTCGCAGCGGCGACTCCACTAATCCCTCCAGTAGCAGCAGTGGTACCTGCTGCCGTTGCACTAGCTGCCCCTTGAGCAGCTGCTGCGGCCATTTGTTGCGTGGTTCCCTGGAGAGCCCTGCCCGATCATGCGGTGACAAACGAACGAGCATGGATGAGAACATTCGCTCGATCGACGGACAAAGCGCTCGATTGCTGGAAAAGGACGACGACGATGCAACACTTACCAAACTGTTGGATTTAACAAGTTGGTCATGGATTGTTGCTGTGCTAGGAGCCCCGTCCTACCAGCGGATGCAGCTTGGTTTCCGACTTCCACTGCTGCCTCTTCAGCAGCTTCGTCCACCCCAGGTACATCATCATTGCCTCTTTCAGTGCATCTGTTGACCAATCTGGTCATCAGTTTCATGCAAAAGAGCAACCCGCAAGCTGACAAGATGGCAAAGAAGAGTGATTGCCTGACTTGCTGTTCCTTTGCTTCTGCAGTGTCAGCAGAAGAAGTTTCATCTTCGTCACGGCAGCTGTCACTGAGCTGACTGTCGTTTTCCTGATCCGACCCATTGTTTTCTTCATCAATACTGTGTCTTGACCTCTTTTGGTTTACAACTTTCTTTCCATCCAGATCAACCTCATCCATGGGAGCAGCAGAGTCCTTGGGACCAGAGGACGACTGTCCTAGGCGGCACGCTAAGGTATCGTCGTCATTGTCGGCTGACAATGTGGTTCCTGTAGTGATTTGGATGAGTCTGATGAAGGCAAAAGAGAATGATGAGTTGCGTTTCCAGCCACAACCAATGAACTACAGCGAAACTCATCTGCCGTGGTGCCATATTACTACCCAGCAACTGAAAACTGAACCTAAGGAAAGGACAACTCACGTTGGATTCTCGTCTTCTGCCGCAAAGGAGACGTCATTGTCGCAGAAGGAATCGACTGAAGCTTCTTCTGCTTGATGCAGATGTGCTGAGTCTCTTGACATTCGATGAGGTCCTCGTAGTTGGTCTAGCGTATGTTCCACGTAAACGTCGTCATCATCGTCAGATGGTGCAGAGTAGCTGAGCACACTGCCATAGTCATTCGCATCTACATGTACTTCTGAAGCTCCTCCGGTCTTGATTTTCGTTTTGTTGCTCCTGTTGCTGCTCTTCTTCATCTTGCTCATGGACTTGAAATACATGTAGTTTATGAAGTTGGATGGTAATGATCCTCTATCTACATGTAGTTGAGCTAGATCCTGTGGCTCTTGTCATGCAGTGGCGGTGCATGGGGTTCCTTTGTTGTTCTGAAAAGTAGCGAAAATCTTACTGTAGTTCTCCTCCTCAGTGAACGAACCCAACCTTCAACGGCGGCACTCAGAGGATTAGTCAATAGTTAGTGACGTTTCGGAAAGGGTCACGCTGAAGTGCAAATATGATTTTTCCAATATACAGTACTACATGTAGCACTTTCTTTTCACCCCTGTTGCGGCAACCACTTGTATGGCTCTTGAGCTGCTCTTGACGTCCACTTTTGTAAATAAAGTCGATCCACATTTTCTACTTTCTACGGTGAGAGGCAACGAACGCCAACAACGACAGCCAGAGCCAGCTATACATCTACAATGTAGCAATGATAGGGGGTTTAGAGTAGGTGGATTAATCTACATCTAGCTGCTTCTGGCTTTATCGATGCCGTTCAAACAGCTATTTAGCTTTGCTGTTTCGACGAAACCATGGTTACGGGACATCAGCTACCGGTAGCCAGAAGCACGCTTCCAGGCTTATTCGAACGCACCGATTCCGCATGTAGGATTCTTAGCACACGATCAGATTTGATTGAATTCCTCCAGCACGAGAGACCCTATCGCAAATTTGATTTTGCCTGCATTCTCAAAATGGCTGGGTTGGGGTTGGGCACGACGGCTTTGGGTCCCTCGTGTTTTGACGCCGGGTATGCTTCAATGGTTGGTTTTGCAGAATTAATTAAAGCTACGAGACAGGCGCCATCGCAAGCGATGGAGATAGCAAACACCCTTCCAGCAAGATCATCAAAACCAGCTATAACAACTTGATATTAACTTCCTACAGATCCAAGTCAACAAAAATCCTCTTATCTTGAATTAAACTCTCGCGGAAAATCAGGAAGGGCGAATTGTTAAGCTTACTGTTGCTGTCCCCTGGAGCTGACCACCACTATTGTATAACTCTGCTTTGAGGGTGAAAGCCGTGCTTGAGTACCCTTCTCCTCCAAAGTCATCGGCTGAACTGCAGGAACTAGAGCAGACAGTATAATCTTCTGAATCATCCTTCCTGATGATGTTATCATTCACGGAGAATAGCACATACCACTTAGATGCCCCTCCACTTCGAGTTGCAATGATATTGTAGTTGTATCCTAACTGATCAACAACAATGGTGGAACTTCCTGACAACGTTTCTTGGACCTCATTGCTGCTGTCTGCGTCAACAAGAGCAAAACCAGTCAATTGACCAGACGTGACAGCAGCTACAGTTGGGCTTTCCGTAGGTGGATCTGTTGGAGGTGCAGTAGGTGAATCTGTTGGAGCTTCTGTAGGCGGATTTGATGGAGCTTCTGTAGGGGATTGAGTAGGAGGGTCTGTGGGTGGTTCAGTAGGGGATTTGCTTGGGCTGGAGCTGGGACTGCCACTAGGACTTCCTGTAGGTGGATCAGTCGGAACTTTGGTGGGTGACCTGCTCGGGCTGGAGCTGGGGGCATCAGTAGGAGGAAGAGTAGGAGGATTGGTTGGTGAACCACTTGGACTGGAGCTTGGGACACTGCTGGGGGCTTCCGAAGGTTGATAAGAAGGGGGTTCTGTTGGTGGTCTCGATGGGGGTGCGGTCGGAGGATCTGTGGGTGGGAGACTTGGGCTTGAACTTGGATCTGAACTTGGTGCCGAACTGGGGTTCGCACTGGGCCTTGGGATGGTAGGGTTGATGCTGGGAGAAGAACTTGGGGAAAGACTGGGTACCAGACTGGGTTTGGAGCTGGGCTTGGGGTTGGAGGGACTGCTGCTCGGAGAGGAACTTGGGGAAAGACTGGGTACCAGACTGGGTGTGGCGCTGGGTTTGGGGTTGGAGGGACTGCTGCTCGGGGAGGAGCTAGGTTGTGCACTTGGTAGGAGACTGGGTGTGGAGCTGGGCCTTGGGATGGTCGGGCTGCTGCTGGGGGGAGAACTTAGAGAATGAGAAGAGCTAGGTGCTGCGCTTGACTCACTGGGAGTGAGACTGGGGGTGAAGCTGGGGGCAGAACTAGGAGACTGAGAAGAGCTAGGCGCTGCGCTGATGCACTTGGAGCTTGACTGGGTGGTGAAGCTGGGGGCAGAACTTGGAGAAAGAGAAGAGCTCGGTTCTGCACTTGAAGCACTTGGTGCGATACTGGGGTTGCCGCTGGGGGCTGTGCTCGGAGAATGAGAAGAGCTTGGTGCTGCACTCGATGCACTTGGTAAGACTGGGGGTGGAGCTGGGCGGAACTGGAATGAGACGAGCTCGGGCTGCGCTTGATACACTTGTGCGATTACTGGGTTGTCGCTGGGGGCGGAACTAGGAGATTGAGGGAGCTCGGCGCTGCGCTTGACACTTGGTGCAAGACTGGGGATTGAGCTGGGGGCGAACTAGGAGATTGAGAAGAGCTAGGTGCTGCCTCGACTTGCGACTGGGTACGGTCATGGGCTGGGGCAGAACTTGGAGATTGGGGAAGAGCTAGGTGCTGCACTCGATGTACTTGGTGCAAAACTTGGGGTGGAGCTGGGGGCAGAACTCGGAGATTGAGAAGAGCTAGGTGCTGCGCTCGATGTACTTGGTGCAAAACTTGGGGTGGAGCTGGGGGCAGAACTCGGAGATTGAGAAGAGCTAGGTGCTGCGCTTGATGCACTTGGTGAAGACTTGGGGGTTGAGCTGGGGGCAGAACTTGGAGATTGGGAAGAGCTCGGTGCTGCACTCGATGTACTTGGTGCAAAACTTGGGGTGGAGCTGGGGGCAGAACTAGGAGATTGAGAAGAGCTAGGTGCTCCACTCGATGTACTTGGTGAAAAAACTTGGGGGGAGCTGGGGGCAGAACTTGGAGTTTGAGAGAGCTAGGTGCTCCACTCGATGTACTTGGTGAAAAACTTGGGGTGGAGCTGGGGGCAGAACTTGGAGTTTGAGAAGAGCTAGGTGCTACGCTTGATGCGCTTGGTGCAACACTTGGGGTGGAGCTGGGGGCAGAACTAGGAGATTGAGAAGAGCTAGGTGCCATGCTTGATGCGCTTGGTGCAAGACTGGGGGTGGAGCTGGGTTCTGGAATAGTGGGGTTACTGCTGGGAGCAAAGCTAGGAGGGTGAGAAAAGCTCGGTGCTGTACTTGGGACAGAGCTTGGTTCTGGAATGGAAGGTCTGCTGCTAGGGATGGTACTAGGATGTGTTGTGGGTGGAAGAGTAGGTGGCTCAGTTGGTGAGCTGGTTGTTGGGCTCGCTGTAGTTGGACTCACACTAGGACTCCCTGTAGTGACCGTAGGGGTCAAAGTTGTGGGCTGGGGGGTAGGCAGTTCTGTTGGATTCTCAGTGGGTGGCTCTGTCGGGGTTTTTGTAGGTGGCTCCGTTGGGTTTGCGGTGGAAAGAATTGTTGCAAGCGAGACTGGAACTGTGTCTGTGAGCCCTGCAAAAGCTCTCAAGAAGTCTGCTATGTCTGCTGGACTGGACAGAAAATGAGTTGTATCTGTCTGGTTTGTAGTCACAAGGAATTCAACAAAACTTGTTCCTGCCTGCAGCTGTCGCCTCCTAAACCTATTTGTGACCGACGCATTAATCATTACAGGTGAGCATTTCACCTGAGACACAAAGTCATAGGAAGTTTCGAAGGCGGTCACTAGGGCAGCGTCACTTAGTGTAGAAAGATCACCTTGGGCAAATCCCATGTAGTACGGAGCAGTTACTGTAATGTGCCCACAGAAACTTGCTAATGTTGTTGGGAATCCTGTGGGGGTGCTTGTTGGCTGATGTGATGGGCTCAATGAAGGATGATGTGAAGGAATACTTGTTGGCCTGTCACTGGGATGAGTGCTTGGCTGTGATGAGGGACCGGAACTAGGTTGACTTGTGGGAAGACTGCTGGGATGTTTTGTTGGGCTTCTTGTTGTTGGCGTGTTACTGGGCATTCCAGTTGTCACGGTGGGGCTGATGGTGGTTGGACGACTAGTGGTAGGGGAAATAGTGCTGGGGCTGATTGTGGGGGGCTCAGTGGGCGCTTCCGTTGGAGGCTCTGTAGGTGATTTTGTTGGCTGCTCAGTTGGTCTTGAGTCCCTGATATACACAGGTGAAGTATCAGTCAGTCCTGAAAAGGCTGTCAGAAAATCTCTTTCTTCCAAGGCATTCCCCAAAAAGGGATTGGCACTGGTCTGATCAGTTGTCACAGAAACTTGAAGAGTTTGATGATTTCCCACTGTGAACCTCTCTTGGATTGTAACATTGGTTACAACAGCCGAGCAAGTAGCATCTGCTACAAAGTCATAAGCCCTGGCAAAGTTAGAACTCAGAAAACCTTCTCCTAGTGCTGATACGTCACTGGTGAATCCCACGTAGTAAGTGGCAGTCACTGCAGTGAATCCACAGGTGGGTGCTACTGTTGGTGATCCTGTGGTTGGAATCGGTGTGGGACTAGCTGATGGTACGACGGATGGAGACAAAGATGGCTGGTGTGTAGGCTGGGCAGTAGGTGCAGGCGTTGGTTTGTTTGTTGGTCTAGCAGTGGGCTGGCCAGTGGGTATACGAGTTGGTGGCACTGTTGGAGACCTAGTTGTGGGGCTGGCTGTGGTTGGAGCAGCACTAGGATTCCCTGATGTCACGGTTGGACTATTGGTTGTGGGTGGAGCTGTTGGGGGGGTTGTTGGAGTTTTTGTGGGCTCTTGGGTTGGTGGCTGTGTGGGAGCAGTTGTTGGTCGCTGGGTTGGAGGGTTGGTCGGAGAAATTGTAGGAGTAGCCGTTGGTGGGTCAGTTGGGGCATTGGTTGGCAACTCTGTTGGTGATAAGGTGGGGCTCCTTGTGGGAGATGTAGTGGGGCTTCTTGTTGTCGGAGCAACACTAGGACTGCCTGATGTTACAGTGGGGTTTAGAGTTGTCGGACCTACTGTTGGGAATTTTGTAGGGGGTTCAGTTGGTGGCAGCGATGGCTGCTTTGTTGGGAGTGTCGTGGGTGGCATCGTGGGCTCGGCAGTCGTTGGAGCGGCCATGATACTGGCAGCCTCTGGAACTCGGGTGGGAGATCCTGTTGTAGGCATAGCCGTGCTTGGTCCACCTGTTGTTGGGGTGGATGTACTGGGCGCAACTGTCGAAGGCTCCAGCGTTGATGGACCCGTCGTTGCTCGTGGCATTGATGACACGGGCTGGTGGGACGGCGACAACGACGGAGCCAAAGAAGGATTAGAGGATGGCCATGCTGACGGTCCCGCGGAAGGCACAATTGATGGATTCAAAGAAGGGCTCGAGGATGGCCATGCCGATGGTCCCGCGGAAGGCTTGTTTGATGGAAGGTTTGAGGGGCTCGAGGAAGGCCCAGCCGATGGTCCCGAGGAAGGCTCGGTAGATGGATTTGCGCTGGGACTCAAGGTGACTGGAAGCGGAAGCGGTTCTCGATTGATGGTTTCCGGCGGAGGATCCGCGACGATCTCCACCACGATGTCGTTAGAGTTCAATGGATTGAGTACGGCGCCAGAATACAATCGCAAGGACGTGCCATCTTCGTCCGCTATCCACGGATAGGATTCTTCAATTTCAAACATGAACGCCCCGACAAAGTCATTGAAAAAGGTGGGGCCCAAAGTGTATACACTCTGTTGAAGCATCCGCTTGCTGTTCGCTGTGGAAATAACCGGCGCCACGCTATCATTGTGCGTCCCAAACAAGGGATTGTTGTCCGAGCACCCGACACACGATATCGTGCATTGCCATTTGGTGTAAGTGAAATCCAACGATCCAGCCGCAACATAGTTGACTTCCAAAAGAGTCACATCTTGTAGCACCCTTTGGTACTCCCCCGAGCACATCCCAGATAGCCCATTGTATGCCAAAGCAAACAGGTCCTCCAGCTGAGACTGTTCCTGTGCTGCAAATTCATACGGCAGGCCTTCAATGACAAAGTCTACCAGTCCCACCTTGAGTTCGGGAACCCCTTCGGCATCCTCGCACTTATGAATATACGGCACCGATGTGTTTGTGATGTTAAGAATTGTCGCATTGCTTGTAATGTCGAAGGGATCGGTCCAATTAGTCGGGGCAGCAGTGATGTTATCAATCACCGGTGGAGCAACCGTGATGTTGATGTTCGTCAAATTGACCAGAGTGAAATTGGTGTTGTTTGCGGTGATATTGAATGCTACCAAAGTTTCCCCTAAAGTAGTCATGCCACTTGGCTGCATGATGGCACCGGCCGCAAGTCCTGCCACGGTGACAACTGCTGCGACTCCCACCGCTGCCCCAACCTGCACCCCAAGAGAAGCTCCTGCGATTGAAGATGCTATCATAATAGGAACATTTCGTTAGAGACGAATTGCCAAAGCAAGCGAGGATATTATGCACACAGTATGAGACACTCTTACCAGCTTGCGCAACAGCCCCGGATGTCGTTGCTGCCGTGGCGGTTGCTGCCGCCGACGATGCACCTGCCGCCGTCGATCCCGACGCGGACTGTGATGCTGCGACTGCCATTTGCTGTGTCGCCACTTGACCCTGTGTGGCGCTGTAGCGTAAATAAATGAAACAACAACGTAGTATACATTGGTGTGAGACCTGCACAGATATCGTACCGTATCGTGTGGCATCGTATCGTATCGTATCGTACCTTGCAACGGCTGTATTGACCGCCAAGTTTTGGCTCGATTGCTGCAGCAGGAGACTGTTTTGCGATGCAATGAGAGCTTCGTCGACCACTTCGGCCAAAACTTCTTGTTGGATGGCATCTTCCGCGCCGCTGCCACCCGATAATTTCCGACAGAGCCACGAAATGATTTTGGCACAGAAAACGACCCCCAGGGAACTGGCGAGCGCAAACAAGAGCGAGCAGCGAACCTTTCTCTCTTGTGCTTCGGCATCGGAGAGAATGGATTCTTCGTCTTGAAAGCTGTCACTGAGATGGATGCTATCGTCTTCCTCCAACTCGTCGTCGTCGTCGTCGTCAAATGTATCGCACGAAATCAAGTCATCGTGACACGATTTCTTAGGTTTGTCTTCTGGCGTGTCTGTTTCATCGTGCCCCAGTTCACAAACAATATCTAGCTGGCTTGACGATAACGCTTCTATTGGTTCCTCCGATGAAGAGTTGCTGGTTATGTCGGATGGATTTTCTAGGTCGCCGTGATCGTGGTCTGGGTTGGACTGATCTCGAGGAAGCGCCACTATTCGTATTTGGCTGAGAAAAGAGAGAGGCCGAGAGAGAGAAACGAATGTTCAGGTGAGACAGCATGAAGGCATACAAATCAAATCATACATAGCAAGGCCAAACCAAAACTGGCTAGCTATGGCTACCCGCAAGCCGTAGCTATAGGTCCAGGGTCCAGGTCTAGCCGAGCTATAGCTTGGCTATAGGTAGGTAGGTAGGTAGGTTGCTGTCTCATGAGCTTACCTGCCATTGAGTTCATCCTCTTGCATTTCTTCCCTCCATGTAACACTCAAATCGTGCATAGCAGGTTGTGGCTTTGCTATTGATGGAGATGTCCTTGGCTCAACTGGGTGCTGCAGGCTATATGCATCCAGACACAGGCAAAACCAGAGTTAGAAAATGATATGATAAGACTCGGAAGGTTACAGAGGACACGGAAGGCAACCTGACTAAAAGCTGTGCCAAGCTGCAAGCTGCCAGGTAGCTAGCTAGCTAGAAGCTCTTAGGTGGTGCCTCCCACGAAGCTCGCTGTGTCCACCTAACCGGCACCTCTGTAGCTTCATAACCAGCATCCAGCCAGCATCCAGCCCATGCAGCCGCAACTTACCTAGTGGAAGCCGAACTAGCACTAACACTAGTGGCCATAGAGCCCTCTTGTTCCCCATCCGAATGGGAATGATCTTCCTCATCTTCTGTTGCATCAGACGAATGACAGTCCATCGCCATGAAGTCGGGAAAGTCTCCCAAGGAGGTCTCTGCCTCTTCGGCTTGTAGTAATCGAAACGAGTCTACTGAGAATGTGTACTCGGGGTCTACATGTTGTACGTGATGGCCGCTTGCAGCACTCGCGATTCCGGCGTCTTGCTGCTGAAGCTGAACGATCTCCTCCGGTTGGAGAGACGTGACGCTTTCATCGTCGTCTTGTCTCTGTCTCTCTTCTATTCGTGTCATGGTCGTCTCTTTGTATGGATGAACTGGTACGGTACCGTTCTATGATGCCTTGTTCATTCGTTCATTAGCTGTCGTCGTGGGTCTTTGTTTGCTTGCATGATGGCTTGGCTGGACTCTCCTTTGCTGCGCTCCGAGCATTTATTTTGACCAGTGTTAACCTCACTGGGCGCTGGGATACGATGCGCTGCTTCTCCTGAGTGTTTACCACTCGCCAGATATCGCATAAACGACTCACAACGGAAAGGGCCTACTTTCTAAACAGGACTTAACAGCAACCGAAAGCGTCTGACACAGCGTCTTATACTCAGAGTACGAATTAAGTGAAGTGTCCACTCGATGGTCATTCGCTAAAGCTTCCCTTTAATTTAAATACGGTACTGGCGGAAAACAATGGTCACATGAACACCGAGCGTAAGTCCCATTGATCACAGGAGAACGTGATGAACGGAGTTGCGGGGAATGGGCTTTTGAGAGCGGTTCAGTTGGTCCACTGGCCAGTTCCAGACAAACAATGTCAAACACGTATTCCCGCAACTTCAATGATGAATCATTGACGAATGGGCACTTCGGCACTTCCAGAATACTGGAGTACACTGTACTAAATACTTAGTGCTCAAAAACTGGCCATGGCAGCCACCGAGCACCCAGCACTCGAGACTGCGATATGTCCCTCCGACTTTCGACTTCAAATACATGTAGATCTAGAGCTTGGAATTGATCAAAGAATGATCAGATCGAATCATCAATCCCTCAAAAACATGAGATAGATAGCACCCACTCCGGGCCAAGCCCAGCAAGAGCCCAACCACAACATCTCCTCCTAGTAGGGACAAAAAAAAGGCTGCATGGCATTCCCAATGCACAATTCGATTTTCCTTTGCTGGCTAATAGCTAACATGTCCTTGTTTGCGGCCGAATCAGTTATGTCATAGTTGTGGCTACCGTACCGTAGCTCAATTATTGGATTATTGATCTACCTACTCTAAAAAAACCTATTGGACTGTCAAAGCAATTGAGATTGAATCAATCAGTTTGTCAGAAGCGGCAATGGCATCCGCTCGGATGGTTATGGACACGCCATAGTTAAAGGAAGCAGTGGTGCAAGGACGGTAGTTTCCACCAACGTCAGCGCACAGAGAATAGGGGTGGGTTTTTTGCGTCTGTACCAAAATGCCTTCCACATAGAATAACACTTCGGAAATAGCTGTGGCGCCTGTGAATGCTTCAATGTTGTAGTTGAAGCCAAGGCTTCCTGTATTTAGCACCTCACCAGCCACCAAATCTCGTACTATGGTGTTCGTGTCCGCATTGACCAGCACAAAATGGGACAGTGTACTAGGGCTGCTCGATGGGGATTGGCTGGGAGCGTTGCTCGGAGTAGAACTGGGTGATGCACTTGGACTTGTTGATGGTGCCGATGAAGGGCTATTTGACGGTTTTGAAGACGGGGGGATACTTGGGAGCGATGATGGCGCAGATGAAGGGATGATACTTGGGGAAGATGATGGTGCCAATGAAGGGCTATTTGACGGTTGCAGAGACGAAGGGCTGCTGGAAGGTTGCAGAGAAGGCTGACCAGAGGGAATAGTGGATGGTGATGAAGAAGGGGGGATACTCGGGGACGATGATGGTGATGAAGAAGGGAGGATACTTGGGGAAGATGATGGCGCCGATGAAGGGGTGCTCGACGGTTGATTGGAAGAAGGGCTGCTGGAAGGTTGCAGAGAAGGCTGACCAGAGGGAATATTGGATGGTGATGAAGATGGGGCGATACTTGGGGAAGACGATGGACTTGTTGAAGGCATGATTGATGGTAGACCTGAGGGGACTCTAGAGGGCACCATCGAAGGACCAGCAGACGGGCTATTGCTTGGGCTTGTAGTTGGAAGCATTGATGGTCTTGTAGAAGGTCCCATCGAAGGAACAAGAGAGGGCAAATTTGATGGCACTATAGAAGGGCTAGTGCTTGGGGATCCCGATGGATCTCCCGTGGGCGGTGTAGAAGGCAAGGTGGTTGGTCCGATTGAGCTTGATGGCCTGAGGGATGGGCTAGTGGAAGGTTGTCTTGTCGGGATTCCAGAGGGCAGAATCGAAGGCAAAGCAGAGGGTGCAATACTGGGAAAACCTGAGAGACTAGGAAGCGATGAGGGTCTGGTAGAGGGATTGCTTGAGGCTGAGGGCCCGACAGATGGGCTAGAGGAAGGTTGCCTGGTGGGGATGCCCGAGGGCAGATTCGAGGGCAAAGAGGAGGGTCCGATGCTGGGAAACCCCGAGGGCCTAAAAGAAGGGCTGAACGAAGCTGAGGGCCCAGCAGTGGGGCTGCCTGAGGCTGACGGCCTGATAGATGGGCCAGAAGAAGGCTGCCTTGTGGGCGTGCCTGAAGGCAGAATCGAAGGCAGAGAGGAGGGTCCAATACTGGGAATTCCTGAGGGCCCAGCAGATGGGCTGATGGAGGGTACAAGGGAGGGACCAAAAGAACCTGAAGGGTTGGTAGATGGAAAGGTAGAAGGTGCTGCAGACGCAACCCCCGATGGATTTATTGAGGGTAGTTTCGAAGGTTGTAACGTTGGACCATTCGAAGTCGAAGGTGGGGTCGATAGGGTATTTGATGGCCCAGAGCTTACAACACTGGAGGGCACAAGTGAAGGAAACACGGATGGTGCATTCGAGGGGATGGAAGATACAGTTGGCGATGCTGTTGGTGTATTCTCCACGAGGCTGAATGTGACCTCCAGAGCGATTCCACTCACAAAACCAGTTCTGGGGACAGCCTTGACGGTAATGTTAGCAGTTGGCACCGATAAAGCAGTAACTGGCAAGTAGGAACCATCAAAGATATTTGTTCCAGACATAAGATACGGGTTCGTGTGACTGTAGAAGGGATTCCCATTCAAGTAGAAATCAACGTAATCAACAAAAAACGGGAAAGAGGGTTGAGCGCTCACGGTCAGCTGTGAACCCACGGGAAGTCGAATCACGTCTCCGTCGGCAATAGTTTGGATGTTTGATTCGGTCGTAGTGTCTACAAGGGTCAAACTAATGACAGAGAAACTTCCTGTTGTGGGTGATCCTGTCGTACCACTCGGCGTGGTGACAGCCGTCGGAGGGTTTGTTGTGGGTGTTCTGGTTGGAACTGGCGTAGTTGGCCCCGTCGGAGCAGGTGTCGGTTGGTTGGTTGGACTGGGTGTGGGCTGATTGGTTGGGGAAGGCGTGGGCTGATTTGTTGGTCCTGGTGTGGGCTGTCTAGTCGGTCGCCTAGTTGGCCGCCGAGTAGGAAAAGGTGTAGGTCGACGCGTTGGTCGGCGTGTAGGCCGTCGTGTGGGTTGCCTAGTTGGTGCATTGGTTGGTTGAGGCGTAGGAGCTGGTGTAGGTAGATTTGTAGGCTGTTTTGTCGGTGCTCTGGTAGGTGACAGAGATGGCCGCAATGTCACGGGTGCGTTCGGAGTATTGGTTTGCCGTTCAATGCTCTCGGAATCTGTGATGACCGTAGGCGATTCAGACACGGGATTTGTCGTAGTTGGAACTGCAACTGGAGCCACGCTGGGAGAGGCAGTAACGGGTGCTGGAGCCATGGTTGTTGGAGAGGCTGTTGCCGGTAGTTTTGTCGTCGCTGTTGGCACTGTCGTGGATGTTTCGACCGATGATTGAGTAGGGGCTGCGGTGATAGGTGCATTTGGCGTCGTCGTCGTAGGTGTGTTGCTTACAGGCATCGTTGGTGTATTGCTCACAGGTGCCGCGGTCGTTGTTGGTGTCCCTGCTGATGGGACGGAGCTGGCTGGAGATGCTACTATGGGTGCTGATGCTGCTGTGGGCGGCAAAGACGTAGGATTCAACGACGTTGGTGCAACGGGAGAAAGAGATTGAGTAACGGGGCTTGTCGTCGCGGTGGGAACTCCCGCCACGGGGCTTGTCGTGGTAGTGCTTGGACTTGTCGTGGTTGGACCGGTAGGAACTCCCACTACAGGGCTTGTCGTCGTGGTAGTGCTTGGACTTGCCGTGGTTGGAGTGGTAGGAACTCCAGGCACAGGGCTTGTGGCGGTCGTGCTTGGACTTGTCGTGGCAGTGCTTGGAGTTGCCGTGGTTGGAACTCCCGCCACGGGGCTTGTCGTGGCAGTGCTTGGACTGGCTGTGGTTGGAGCGGTAGGCACTCCTGCCATGGGGCTTGTCGCGGTGGTGCTTGGACTGGCCGTGGTCGGACCGGCGTTGGGAGTAGGCGTCCCTGTTCCCGTCACGGGGCTTGTCGTGGTACCGGTAGTGCTTGGACTTGTTGTGACCGGACCGGCATTGGGAGCAGTGGGCGTCCCTGTTCCCGTCGTGAGGAGGGCATCGGTGGCTGGCAATCCGACGCTGCTGGGACTTGCCGTGGCGGGTGCCACAGAAGGCGCATTCGTCGTACCACTAGGAGTAGTCGGTGTGCCGGTCGTGCTTGTTGTCCCGGTACTACTGGGAGATTCCGTGACGGGCTTCGTTGTTGTTGTGGAAGTTGTCGTCGGTCTTGGAGTGTCGGACGTAGTGCTAGGAGCATTCGACGAAGATGAGGTTCCCAAGGTCGTAGGAGCTCCTGTAATAACAGTCGGAGCCACGGACGTGGACGTGGGCGTTGTGGTAGTCGTTGTTGCGGTAGTCGTGGAATCCTCATCGACTGTTGCCTTGTCGTCATTGGTACCGACAATGGTGAATTCTTGCACGACCTTTTGCGGATCATCGGCTTGTACGACTGCGCCATAGTACAACTTGAGCTGATCCTTGTTCGCCTGTGGCAAGGACGGGAAATTGTGTTTGATTTCAAAGACAAATGCTTCGACAAAGTCATTGAAGAAATTAGCCTTGTTTGGTTGCTGTAACCGTCGTCGTTGACCGCCCTGCCGTGCTTCAGCGGTGACGAGGGGAGCGCCATTGTCACCATCCCCAAACAGCGGATTGAGACTGGAACACCCAACACAGGATACATTGGCGGACCATTGACTAAACGTAAATACCAAGTCGTTTCCAGCTTGTGCATAATTAACATTTTGGAGTGCCACATGATCGAGGATGCGTTGAAACTCATCCGAACAACCCCCGGCAAGTCCATTGTAGACGAGTACAAAAATGTCTTGTAGTTCTTGTTGATTCTGTGATGCAAAGTCAAGAGGAAGTCCTTGAAGAACAAAGTCTACCATTCCCGCCTTGACTTCCACCAAATCCGCACTGGTGCCGTCGCACACAATCGCCATATTAGTGTCGGCTGACGTTGTACTATTGTCGTCGGTGGTAGTAGTCGGTTGTACGGATACGGTTGGTGATTCCGTGGGCGCGGCTGTGAACTTTTGAAAGTTGAGAAACGTGGAGGGACTGGCCGAAGGTAACTGCGTGGGAGCCAGGGACGGATCGATGGACGGTGTAGTGGTCAACGAGGGACTGACCGATGGTGCCAAAGTCGGAAGTCCGATTGATACGGGAACGACACTTGCATTTGTGGTGGTGACCAGAGACACGTTGGTATGAACAGTAGTGGCATTCAGGAAGGTGGCACTGTCCGCCCCATTATTGGTGGTCAATAGGACCCCTACGGTGACGGCAGTGGCCACAGCTGCCACACCGAGCGCGACTCCCAATTGTGTGGCCACCGAGGCGTTGGCTACAGTAGTCAAGATGCCAGCAGTGGACGAAGAAGACGAGCCTGCTGCAAAAGCAGTTGTTCCGGCAGTGACGGACTGTCCAGCAGTCTGGGATGCCGCCAACGCCATTTGTTGTGAGGTTCCTTGTGCGGCACTGTAGTCATGAAACCATATAAGCAAAGCAAGAAAGAATGAAACATGAGGGAGGTGAGTTGAGTCGGTCTTTCAGTAAGCAACCGACTGCATCACTGCTTGACTTGACTTACAGAAATGTTGGATTTGCAACATTAGCCATGGATTGTTGTTGTGCCAGGAGCCCTCCTTGTCTAGCATGACTGGCAGCAGCTCCTGCAGAATCTTGCAAATCATCAGTATCTGCCCCAGGCAAGTGGTTGTTGTTGGCATCCTCCCCTTTGTTTCCCTTGCATTTGTTGATCAGTTTGGTAATCAATTTCATCAATGCGAGTACTCCACATCCCATCAAGATTCCGTAGAGAAAGGATCGTCGGACTTGTTTTTCCTTGGCTTCGGCCATGTCGACGGAAGATGGATCGTCTTGACTGTTGAAACTGTCACTCAGCTCACTCTCCTCTTCTTGGTCAGCGTGTGATCCTTCGCTTAAGTCTTCCTGCTTGTCATCTTGACCGTTATCACCCTTATCCTCAAGAACATCATCATCCTTCAGGTCAATGTCTACCAGGGGGAGATCCAATGTCTCTGTATGTGTGTAAACATCGTCATCATCATCATCAGACGATGCCATCCAGCCAGCACTAGAAGTTCCAGTAGAAGTGTTGTTCATGTTGGACGTGTAATTGTGAGCTCTCTGGGTGGCATCCAGGTCCGTCTCTGATTCCACTAGTACTGCTGCCGCTGCTGCTTGGGTAGGACTACCAGCTGATTGCTTGTCTTGTACAGAAGAGGATTCAATACTGGAGTCTCCTGCAGAATTCCTAGCAGCCAGCCAAGCCGGAAAAGATCCCAAAGAACCTTCTTCAGTCTGCTGCAGTTCCATGGAAGTCTGACTGTGCTGACCTCCGCCATGGCCGTACCGTTCTCTTGGGTCCTCTATAGGAGGATCTCGTCCCATGCTATGCTGCTGTGTAGGCTACCGTTCTTCTTATTATTATCACTGATACACTGTATGTGTATATATGTACTGTAGCAAGGATAGCTATGGGTAAAGGTATGCTACCTTTCTCATTAGCAGTGCTACCTAGCTAGCTAGACTGTGTTGTCTGTTGGGGTTTGTTGTCTTGGTGCGGTTTGTTGGTTGTCTTGGTGGTTAGTTGGTTGTGCCGCTGCTACTCCCGGTTCTCCGTTTTCTTCGGGGCTTACTTCACGTCGATGCCTCCATGATTACACAATAAATCATGGACAAAAATAAATGAACAAGAACCCACCCATTTTACAAAACAAAGACTTAAAAAAGTACGTTCCCCCACAAAAGCTTACTAAGACTAGTGACTCGAAGACTGTATAAAAGTATACACGAGACATGTGCAAAGGTGAATCTTAGTAAGAATAGATTTAATGGAAGTCACGGTACAAAGTGGAGAACTTCAATTACCTAAAAGCGCGATGAGGCCTATTGTGACCTGCATGTCTGGTCTTGGGGCTTTTTCACCTGCGCTGCATGGTCTAGTAGGATCTAGCTAGGAGCGTACGACTGTATGCGAACCCCAGCCCCAGCAAGCATTGACCACCAAGTCGCTGCAGATCCCTTCCGTACGGTAGCCATGGCAAACCCACCGTACCGGTGCAAGAGTCCTACAAGCACATGGTCGTTGCGGCAATGCCAATAAGCGGGGCAAGGGTACTTCCTGTTTTGGCTGCCGATAGATGCCTTCCCTGCGGGTTCATGGTGGACGAAAAACCAACTACCCAAACTAGCTAGATCTAAGAATAACGCACGCTTCCAGGCAATAATGTTGGGTTCGTTGCACATAGATTGCTGTGGCGAACCATTTCTTCGATTTTGCTTACTTTAGCCCAGCAACGCATCACCCAACCCAACAATCGAGCAACCGAGACTGTTACCAGGTAGCTCCGAGGAGGAGCAAAGCAAGCTGGGGGGAGAGCTCGGGTGTGTGCACTGGGAGATACTGGTACCGTACTATAGTAACCCTGCCTCCTACATGTACTAGCCAGGTTTGTCCATATTTCGTGACGGATCATTTAGTTAGTCCCATGGCCCTGCACTTGGTGGTGGACGGTTGCCAGTAAATGTCGCGGATTAATCTCTTCATTATTAGTTTATATCTAACTAAGTTTTGCCCAATAAATCACCCCACCCACCACATGGATCGTGTTGCCTCCAAGGAGGTACCGTACGGTACAGCGTACCCACCACGCCATCTCCAAGGGGGCTGGCTGCCTTGATGACCAAATCTTCTTGATCGAGCCAACAACCGGTTGGGGCTGCTTTGGCATGGACTCGGAGCAGTACCGGTAGGGTTGGGAGAAGAACTGAGAGATACTCTGGTGCTGGACAACTACGTTGGAATGCAACCAAGTGGATAGAAGGCAAAGTTTTCTTGAAATTCGGCATTGGAAGAAGACCCACAACCCATGCAAGCTCCTGCAAACTCTCCTGTTTCTGCAAAGCTGTAGAAATTACATCCATCTTTGTGGTCACACAGCTTTTGGCAAGTTGCTAGATCTGTGCTGCTGTTCTCAACAAGCCTGGTGCTGCCTTCTTCACACTTCATGTCCTGTTGCTTAGAATCACATGCAGCTGCTGGACTGCTGTTGCTCGGTGCAGAGCTTGGGTTGCTAATCAGAGCAATGCTGGGATTGGAACTCAAAGAAGAAATTGGTGTGGAGGCTGGTGCTTGAAGAAAACGGCGACTGCTGCTGGGTGCTGCACTTGATTGGCCGGGAGCTGCACTTGATTGGCTGGGAGCCGCACTTGACTGACTAGGAGCTACACTTGATTGGCTTGGTGCAGCACTTGATTCACTGGGAGCTGCACTGGGGCTGCTGCTGGGGAGCACGCTAGGAGATGAACTTGGTGTGGAGCTTGGTGCTGGAACAGTTGGAATATTGCTGGGGAGAACACTTGGCATGCTGCTCGGAAGGTCACTAGGGCTACTGCTGGGAAGCACGCTAGGAGATGAACTGGGGCTACTGCTGGGGAGCACGCTAGGAGATGAACTCGGTGTAGAGCTTGGGTTGGAACTCGGAGAAGAACTTGGGTTGGAGCTTGCTGCGGCTGGAACAGTTGGAATATTGCTGGGGATAACGCTAGGCATGCTGCTCGGAAGATCACTGGGGCTGCTGCTGGGGAGCACACTAGGAGATGAACTCGGTGTAGAGCTTGGGTTGGAACCTGGACTTGGTGCAAGACTGGGGTTTTCACTGGGAGTAGTGCTAGGAGAATGAGACGAGCTTGGTGCTGCACTCAATGTACTTGGTACACGACTGGGGGTGGAGCTGGGAGTAGAGCTAGGAGAACGAGAAGAGCTCGGCGCTGCACTTGTTGAACTTGGTGTAACACTGGGGGCGGAGCTGGGGGGAGAACTAGGAGAAAGAGAAGAGCTGGGTGCTGCACTTGAAGAACTTGGAGATTGAGAAGAACTCGGTGCTGCACTTGGTGCAAGACTGGGGTTACCGCTGGGAGCAGAGCTGGGAAACTGAGAAGAGGTCGGTTCTGTACTTGGTACAACACTGGGGGTGGTGCTGGGGACAGAGCTTGGAGAATACGAAGAGCTTGGTGCTACACTTGGTGCAAGACTGGGGAGTGAACTTGGAGATTGAGAAGAGCTTGGTGCTGCGCTTGGTGCAAGACTGGGGATACCACTGGGAGCAGAGCTGGGAAACTGAGAAGCTGTCGGTGCTGTACTTGGTGACAAGCTGGGGTCACTGCTGGGGGACAGAACTTGGAGACTGAGAAGAGGTCGGCACCGCACTTGGTACAAGACTGGGGCGATCACTGGGGGCAGAACTTGGGGATTGAGAAGTGCTGGGTACTGCACTTGGCGCAAGACTTGGGGTACCACTGGGAGCTGTGCTAGGAGATTGAGAAATGCTCGGTACTGCACTTGGGTAACTAGAGAAGCTCGGTTCAAATGATATACTTGGTACAACACTGGGGTTGGAGCTGGGGGAAGAACTTGGAGACTTAGAAATGCTCGGTGCTGCCTTGGTCGACTAGGGTTACCACTGGGGGCAGAACTCGGAGATTTAGAAGTGCTTGGGGCTGCACTTGATGCACTTGGTGTAAGACTGGGGGTGAAGCTGGGGGAGAACTTGGAGACTGAGAAGTGCTCGGCGAAGCACTTGGTCCAAGACTGGGGTTACCACTGGGGGCAGAACTCGGTGATTGAGAAGAGCTCGGTGCTCACTCGATGCACTTGGTGTAAGACTGGGGGTGGAGCTGGGGGAAGAACTTGGAGACTGAGAAGTGCTCGGCGAAGCACTTGGTCCAAGACTGGGGTTACCACTGGGGGCAGAACTCGGTGATTGAGAAGAGCTCGGTGCTTCACTCGATGCACTTGGTGCAAGACTGGGGGTGGAGCTGGGGGAAGAACTTGGAGATTGAGAAGAGCTAGGTGCTCCACTGGATGCACTTGGTGCAAGACTGGGGCTACCACTAGGAGAAAAACTAGGCGAATGAGAAGAACTAGGTGCTCCACTAGATGCACTTGGAGCAATACTGGGGCTACCACTGGGGGAAGAACTCGGAGATTGAGAAGAGCTTGGTGCAGCACTTGATGAGCTGGGTTGAAGGCTTGGAGTGGAGCTGGGGACAGAACTTGGAGAATGAGAAGAGCTTGGTGCTCGACTTGGGCCAGCAGTTGGTTCCCGAATAGACGGTTGGTTGCTTGGACTGGTGCTTGGATTTGCGCTTGGGGCAGCCGTTGATGGACTTGCTGTTGTAGGCGTAGCTGTGGGACTTCCTGGAGTCACCGTTGGACCCAGAGTTGTTGGGCTTGCCGTTGTGGGTGTAGCAGTAGAAGGAGTAGCGGTTGAGGGCGTAGTGGTTGTTGGGGTGGCTGTCGATGGAGTTGCTGAGGGACTACCAGGAGTGCCTGTGGGACCTGCAGTTGTTGGGCCAGCTGTTGTGGGTGTAGCTGTTGGGGGAGAAGGAGTGTTTGGGGCGGCTGTTGATGGACTTGCTGTTGTAGGCGTAGCTGTGGGACTTCCTGGAGTCACTGTTGGACCTGCAGTTGTTGGGCAGCTGTTGTGGGAGAAGGAAGCGTTGGGGCTGTCGATGGAGTTGCTGAGTGGTAGTACCAGGGTGACTGTAGGACCTGCAGTTGTGGGCCAGCTGTTGTGGGTGTAGCTGTTGGGGGAGAAGGAGTGTTTGGGGCGGCTGTCGATGGACTTGCTGTTGTAGGCGTAGCTGTGGGACTTCCTGGAGTCACTGTTGGACCTGCAGTTGTTGGGCAGCTGTTGTGGGAGAAGGAGCGTTTGGGGCGGCTGTCGATGGAGTTGCTGTTGTGGGAGTAGCTGAGGGACTACCAGGAGTGTACTGAGACCTGCAGTTGTTGGGCCAGCTGTTGTGGGAGAAGGAGTGTTTGGGGTGGCTGTCGATGGAGTTGCAGTTGTAGGGCTAGACGTGGGACTACCAGGAGTGACTGTAGGACCGCAGTTGGGCAGCTGTTGTTGGGCCAGTGTTGTGGGAAGGAGTGTTAGGGTGCTGTCGATGGACTTGCTGTTGTGGGAGTAGCTGAGGACTACCAGGAGTGACTGTAGGACCTCAGTTGTGGGCCAGCTGTTGTGGGTTAGCGGTTGTGGGAGAAGGAGTGTTTGGGGTGGCTGTCGATGAGTTGATGTTGTGGGTAGTTGAGGGACTACCTGGAGTGACTGTAGGGCCTACAGTTGTTGGGCCAGCTGTTGTTGGGCAGCGTTAGGTTGTGGAGAAGGAGTATTTGGGGTGGCTGTTGATGGACTTGCAGTTGTAGGGGTAGATGCGGGACTGCCAGGAGTTACTGTGGGCCAGCAGTTGTTGGGCCAGCTGTTGTGGGAGCGGTTGTGGGAGATAGGAGTGTTTGGGGTGGCTGTCGAGGAGTTGCAGTTGTAGGGCTAGACGTGGACTACCAGGAGTGACTGTAGGACCTGCAGTTGTTGGGCCAGCTGTTGTTGGGCGTTGGGGAGAAGGAGTGAGGGGTGGCTGTCGATGGAGTTGCTGTTGTGGGAGTAGCTGAGGGACTACCAGGAGTGACTGTAGGACCTGCAGTTGTGCGGGGCCAGCTGTTGTGTCTAGCGGTTGTGGGAGAAGGAGTGTTTGGGGTGGCTGTCGATGGATTGATGTTGTGGGAGTAGTTGAGGGACTACCTGGAGTGACTGTAGGGCCTACAGTTGTTGGGCCAGCTGTTGTTGGGCCAGCTGTTGTAGGAGAAGGAGTATTTGGGGTGGCTGTTGATGGACTTGCAGTTGTAGGGGTAGATGCGGGACTGCCAGGAGTTACTGTGGGACCAGCAGTTGTTGGGCCAGCTGATGTGGGCGTGGCAGTTGAGGGCGTAGTGGTAGTTGGGGTGGCTGTCGATGGAGTTGATGTTGTAGGAGTAGTTGAGGGACTGCCTGGAGTGACTGTAGGGCCTACAGTTGTTGGGCCAGCTGTTGTGGGAGAAGCCGTGGGCCTTCTAGGAGTGACTGTGGGACCTGCAGTTGTTGGGCCAGCTGTGGTGGGAGAAGCTGAGGGACTACCAGGAGTGACTGTGGGACCGGCAGTCGTTGGGCTGCTTGTAGTTGGGCTTCCAGTAATCAGGGTCTCACTGATATGAACTGCTGATGTTCCTGTTAGGCTAGAAAAGGCAGTAACAAAGTCAGCTCTTTGTGTGGCACTCCCCAAGAAGGGATTGGCACTTGTCTCATCCACCGTGACAGAAAGTTCCAGATGGAAGATTGCATTTCCAACTTGTAAGCCAATCTTCTGTGTTATGTTCACATTGGTCACAATTGCAGCACACGTTGTTTCCGATATGAAATCATTAGCCCTGACAAAATTCGAAGTCAAGATATCATCTTGGACAGAAGAGATGTCATTGGTAAACCCAATGTAGTACGTGGTGGTGACGGATGCATAGCCACAAGTTGGGGCAGCAGTTGGAAGTTGCGTTGATGGAGAAGATGTTGTGGGGCTACTACTGGGCTGCCCTGGTGATACTGTTGGTGTTCCTGTAGTTGGTGCTGAAGTTGGTGGATTAGTTGGAGCTCTTGTAGGTTGGCCTGTTGGCGGTTGTGTGGGTTGGTTGGTTGGCTTGGATGTGGGGGCTGTTGTAGGAAAGGGTGTAGGCTGTCCTGTAGGAGCTGGTGTGGGTTGGCCGGTTGGGCGTGACGTTGGAGATGGTGTTGGTGCTACAGATGGATTCGGGGTTGTTGGAGATGCACTGGGACTTCCCTCCATCACTGTTGGGCCCAAGGTTGTGGGACTTGCTGTGGATGGAGTTCCCGTAGGTGATCCAGTAGTGGGGTGTACTGTAGTTGGTCCAATGGTGGTGGGAGAATTAGTGCCGGGGCGGGTAGTTGTGGGGCTACTCGTGCTGGGACTTGCACTGGTTGCGCCTCCGGTAGTTGGGGAATCAGGGGTGGGGACAGCAATAGTCGGAACATCCAGAGTGGGGATATCAGTAGTTGGGGCATCAGGAGTGAAGCCAGTGGCCGTTGGGCCGACAGTTGTAGGGATGGCAGATATTGGAGCTTGGCCATTTGGATTCCCAGGCGAACCAGTTTGTCTTGAAGTCGAACCTCCTGGTTGTCCATTTTCGGTTGGCGCTTGGGATGAAGGTCCAGCAGTTGTGGGGGCCAATGGGGTTGGCTCCTCCTGTTTTGATGGGACTGACGGTGCTTGCGTTATAGGTTCAGCAGTTGTTGGGGCAGATGGGGTTGGCTCTTGTGTCGATGGGGCTGCTTCGTTGGGTGCCCCAGTACCAGCTTTAGAGTCAGAAGCTTCTGTGGGTGTTGCTGCAATAGGTGATCCTGTGATTGGCATGGCAGAGGGGCTTTTTGACGGAGTACCACCGAGCCCCGCTGAAATGGATGGGGACCGATTTGGAGAGCTGCTGCTGGAACTTGGTGATAATGACGGGGCAGTCGACATCAGTACTGTGGGGGGATTGGATGGCCGGTAGGAGGGCACTGGTTCTGTAGGCGACTTGGTTGGCACGGAAGTAAAAGCAGTAAAGGTCATCCCAACCGGAGCCGCAGTTGGAGCACCGGTGGTTTGCGTCGTTTTGTCTGTGGTGGCATCATTCATACTGGTCTCTGCAATGACCTTACTTGGGTTGTTGGGATCCACAACTGAGCCATAGAATAAGCGAACACCTCCACCTTGGTCGTCCTTATCATCCGTCGCAACACTTGGGAAATGCTCTTTGATTTCATAGATTAATGCCTCGACAAAGTTGGAATAGAGGTGATTCTCCATGAGGATGGAAGTTCCCGTGAGTTCGTCCAAGAGACGACCTTTTCCCATGTCCGTGTCTGCTTTGGAAGCTGACCTTTCTGTGGCGATTGGTTCCTCAAAAACACCACCAAACAAGGCATTCTCATCTGGACATCCTACACAAGTCACAATCACTTTCCACTGCGTATAGGTGTAGACAACTGTCGGCCCCGCTTGGACAGTATTAATATCTGTCAACTCGACACTATGCGCCACTCGCAGATAGTCTCCATTGCACATTCCCGAGAGTGCATTGTAGCTGAGCTTGAAGATTTCTTCGAGTTGCACTTTTTGGGCTTGTGCAAACCCGTGTGGTAGTCCTTGCAATACAAGATTGGTGATGCCCTCTTTGAGTTCCGTCACTTGCTCAAAGTCCGTGCAGAGTGGGATTTCAAAGTCAAAGGAAGAGGAAGGGTCATTCCAATACGTAATGACAACATCATCCTCATCAGCAACCACACTACTACTGAGTTCGTCGTCCATTATTGTGGTCGCATCGAAATCAAACTCAGGCCATGTGGCGTTCTCAAAAGTAGTATTGGTAGTATTCTGCAGGATATCGTTGAATGTAGTGCTGAGGTCGAGCACTGTAGAATTGGAGGTGTTGGTGAAATTTGGTGCTCCCACTTGTGATGTAATGTTAGCCATGGTAGCATTCATAAGTGCTGTTCCTTCTGTTGTGGCCGCCATCAACACCACTCCGGCAGAGACAACGGTTGTCGTCACTACGGCAGTGCCACCCACAGCGACGGCCGCTTGTGTGGCCAGAGATGCTGACGCCACACCTGTCAGTGCCTGGCTCATAATCCCTGAAGAGACGGCAGCTGCTGTGACTGCACTGGTTGTGGCAGTCCCGGCGGCAGTAGAGCCGGCGGCAGCCTGGGTTGCTGCCATGGCCATGTTCTGTGTGGTGGATTGGAGTGCCCTACGGAACGGAGTGATCAAAAGACTGTGAGTGGACCAGGCAGAGTCGAATGAATGATGAATCATTCGGATTGAATTGATCTGTCTTACAAATAGGCTGGATTAGCCAAGTTTGCCGCCGATTGTTGCTGTGCTTGTAGCAGCATGGCAGTTCTGGCATTCCCAGCGACTTCATCTATGGCTGCCTCTGCAGCTTCCTGTGCCAGTTCGTCTGCCCCGGGCACATCCTCATCTGTATTAGAACTCCTTCGTCGAAACCAGCCGATGAGTTTAGACAATCCCTTCATGCAAATGATCACTCCGCACGCCATACAGATAGCATACAAAAGAGATCGTTTGACTTTTTGTTCGTTCACTTCGGCAATGTCGATGGAGGATGGATCGTCGTCCCCCATGGAGTCACTGATGACGGATTCGAGCTCTTGGCTTTCCTCGTCTCCGCAAGCTTCTTCATCGGTCTTGTTCTCATCTTTCTTGATGCTGCCACAATCATCTTCCTTGTCCTCTTCCACGCTGTGGTCTTCCACGGTGTCATCGTCGTCCTCGTCCTCGTGATCACGGCCAATTTCAGAGCGATTACTGGCTTCGAGTGATCGATGGCTCGCGGGGAGAGTTGCCCGGATAAAGGTCGAGTGTTCCCTGTCATTGCATACAATACAATAGAAAGACAACAACGGGTTAGCCACTGACTGTGTGCCACGACGGGCTACAGTAGGTGATGGCAGGACTGGCAAGACTTACGATGGTCCAACCAAAAATTCTTGGTCCTGTTCCATTTCGGGTGGATTCTGATTTTCGTCATGCTCATCACGCTCAGTCTCTTCTTCCTCTTGCTGCTCGTCCAAGTGAGAGTGGACCTGCCGTCTTGTCGTTCTGGTGGCTTCTTCTATGAGAAAACTCAAATGCATCGAGATGTCCGAGACGTCATCTTCGTCCTGCTCTTGCTCAATGTCCCTCACCGGCGGCCAAGACCGCTCATCGTTGTTGTTGTGGTTCTGCATGACTTGATTGACTGATCGACTGATCGACTGACTGGCTGATCGCTGCTAGAGGAGGCTGTTGGAGTTGTTGCTTCTGACAGCGTTGCCTTTTGCGTTGCCATGCGTTACGTTACTGTAGGTTGTTGCGTTGCTCTGGTGAGGTGCTGAGATCGGTTCGCGCGAGGTTCGAATCGAATCAAGAACTCTTTTGCTGGGTTTCACACTGTTTCACCGTTTATTTAACAAAGGCTCTCACAATTCTTGGACAGGCGATCACTTTAAGAGCTCTCTTAAGTCGAAATGTCCAAGGAACGTGGGGGTATTGTGCCAAAGTTGCTACTGAGAATACTGCATCTGTAAGTAGAAACCATAGAACAGCCAGTCAAATGCCTGGTATAATTTTTTCTGTCGTAACTGCTGTCAGTGTGTAGCAATACCGGTAGCTGTAGCAATAGTGTGAACGCATGAACTTGGAAGAGACTCTCAAGATCAATCGGGAATGGATCAAATTAAGTATCCATAAAGCCCTTGACTTCCTGTGCTCCTTTGCTGAAACATGTTACAGAAAGGTCGCCTAGTGGTTGGTCATTATGGCCTCAATTATATCTATCGTTCTCCTCCAAGCAAGTTTTCACAGGGTTCAGTCCCAGGTGAACTAATCTAGTCATTTCTTCCAGCATCTTCCCCGCTCTCGGCTCTCGGCAATTGACCCAGCTGCCAGCTACCGAGTTGCCGTATCACCGTAACATGCTCCTGGGACCTCGGGGAGTGGCTGGTGGCTGTGGCATGTGGCATAGGGAGAGTATCGACTACCTAGTAGCTAGCTAGCTAGCTAGAGCTACCAATAAGTCAATGCCTCAGCTGGGCACATGCAGCCAAAGCCCATTTATGTACCAGTACTTGCCGTGCCGTGCCGTACCGGTACCCTACGAAACGTTGCAGGCACCCAGCAACAAGCCAGGCTTGTGGTGGACCTAATAAAGCTGGCATGGCTACTAGCTAAAGCCAACTCGACAGAACAAGGACCAAAGTTAGCTAGATCTAATCCAGGACAACTTCTCACTATTAATATGGCAAGACTTGCCAAGAGCTGATGGGTGACTAGCTCATCCATGCAAGTTACAGGCAGCAAATCTCATCCAATCTAATCCAATCTCGAGAAAGAAACTTGGCAACAAGAAGTTCCTCTCAACAGTCAACAGCAGCCATGACAAAGGTGCGGAGTGGGATGGAGTCGTGGCTGGAGGAGTGGACCCCTAGCGAAAAGTCTTTCAAAATGCAGAGGAGCTCGTGCCTTCGTATGGACTTACCCAGAGTAGGCTGTTCCCGTACGGTACCAATCTCTAGACGATGAATGGTTACTATGGCTTAGAGAGAACTATGGGAAGGGGGGGGGGGTTGTACCAGGGGAGAGAGCAGAATGCACAAACGCGGGCCGAGCAATTGATCGAGTGAGCAGAGCAGCAGCAAAACCAAAGAGGGAGGGAAGGCATGGTGGGGGCAAGAAGGATCAAGGGGGGAAGACTAGCAGAAGAGATCGAGGGCACCACTCTTCCCCAATCCAATCCAATGATGAATCATCGAATCACTTTCTTTCCTTTTTACGGAATCGTAGCTTTTCCGACCCTTGTCGAGGGCCCGCACAACTATCTCCGGAAGATCAGCTCACTGTTGCGCTTGCACCCTTCACTTGGTTGAGCTGTACGCTACCAGCGCGCGGTACTAGCTAGCCTTTAAATCTCGGCACTGACTTGGCTGGAAGAATTTTGATTTTGCTGCACGGGAGGCAGGAAAGCGAGCTACGGTACGTAAGGGATGGTAGTATCCTACCGTACAGATCCCTACAAGTTGAATCTTTGCAAGGAAAAGACTGTCTCTCAAGTTTATGTTTTACCAAGCAAAGAGGAAGAAGAAAAACACTGGTACGGGCAAGAGGAAGAGGGGGCAGTCGCTGAGCGAAGATCAACTTTGACAAAGATGGGTATGGACGAAATCAGTGCGCCCTTCCAGAGCAAGCAACGCTGCTCCCATTGAATTCCCCACAGCGACTTTTAGGGGGGTCAGGCACCAGCGCGGGGGAGGGAAAAGAAAAAAGAAAGGGAGAGGGTTATCGGTTGGATTCCCAATTCCGAATCGGAGAGCCTGCAGGGCCTGACGTTGGTCGTAAAAGTCATAACGGATCCCACCAAATACTTATTAAAACAAGGGGAGTAGGCAAAGACCGGTCATCTCCCCCATGGGTAAGACGTCGGAAGAACAATAATATGTCAGCAAATACGTGTGGATACGTCACCAGAGAGGTTCGTTGATGTTGTCAAATTCAAATTTGCCGAACGCCAGCCATCTCAGTCGCCTTTTTCTGTTCCCAATCCTTTGCTGACACCAAACCCTCCCACAATTCGAAATTTCGACATCCGTCAACGACATCCGAGTCAAGTCAAGTCAAGTCGGTCAACAACATCTGCTGGTGTAAGAACAACAACAACAGGAGTCGACAATGAGGATCGCTACTAGTCCAAGGTTCTCGAAGTGGCTGATAAGTGTCAATGCATACCCATTCAATGAGTTGAGGGCAACAAGGCATGGATTCACGTGCAAGCATGTCGTCATTTGGGAGCGCAACTTCACCAACCGCCATGACTACACCTGTGTGCTCGCGAAGACCATTGATGTGTCCATTCTGGAGGATTTGATCATGCAAGGAGGATGCAAGCCTCTTCCTCCTGACATGACAGGCATCATGGATTTCATGTTTGAGCAGGGTCTTCAGAAGAGTCCACCATGGTACAACCATGTTGTCTCCACCCTTTCTGAAATGCTGGAGGGGTCAGAACGATGTGAAAGGAAGAACATCTTCATTGAGTGCATCTATTGGTTAGTGAAGGAAATGATTACCAAGAGTTATGACTTCAACTCCAATGAAGGACAGATTGTGATGGATGCTTGGCATGGGTATTGTTCGCACTGGTATGACTACAACAATCAAATCTCCTTCCAGATATTGACTTTGATGAGTGAGACTTTTGTGGATGATTGCATTGAAGACATTCACAACCTTGGATTCTTGCAACCCCACCATGCTGTCCATTGTGGAACTCTAATGTAAGTTAATGGCTACATTAGAAATGATTTTGAAGCATCTAAATATTTATTGATATCCATTCAATCGAGTCCGGCAGGTGGCATCATGAGGTGGTCTTCCTCTCCTATGAGTCAACCAGTGGCAGTATCGCTGACAGCAGCCATTTGGTGGAGGTGGCTGGAAAGGAGATGGCTGTATAGGTAGGAATTGCCGCATTTGCATGGCGAGTTGCATCATTTGAATCTGTTGTTGTTGCTGGTATAGAATCAAATCACCAACATACACATTTGTTGTTTGTGCCACAGCTTCTTGGGTTGGTGGTGGAGGTGGGGGTGGTGGAGGTGTTGCTGGTGGAGGTGGTGGCTCGATTGCTGGTGGACTCGGTGGTGGCTCGATTGCTGGTGGACGTGGTGTTCCAGTGCAAGCTGCACAAAGACAACAATCATTGGGTGCATACTTCTGCCGCTGTGGTTTGAATGCAACAATGAACTCTGAAAAGAACCTCTCTCCATTATCCTGTGGCAATGGCTCTGCATTAGGAAATGGTGCATCCACACCAGCAGCCTCTGCTAGCTCATTGAGGTAAGCCAACTCTGAATGGTTCCAGTATGGAACAACCTTTCCCAATCCAGCTGGAATTGACCTCCTTTCTTCCAGACTGATTCTTGACAGGAAGGCTCTCTTGTGTCGAATGTTGAGGTTGTATCTGGCTGTTCCAGCAAGGTTGAGGGCATCTGCTAGACTTCTTCTCATGCCACTATTGGCAAAATGGGCAAACTTGTCATGGAATGCTTCCAGTTTGGATTTTCCTCTCCTTGACAGATACTTAGGGAGGCTGTGCTTGGAGTTGGGCGATGGAAGGATTGTGTCATACATGTCTTCCAAAGGCAGTGGATCAGCCAAGTGAATGGCTTTGTCAACACAGTTCTCTACTGCTGGTTTGGTATCAGAAGTAAACAAGGTAAAGTTCTTCATTGGATCCAGTCGACCCTGTCCCGGCTGGCTACCATCACTGGCAGTCACCTTGTATCTGCAGAACCACTGCTGCAGCTTCTGTCTCATGGTCTCTGGTTCTCTCATCTTCTTCCTTAGATATTTGGAGTACCTAGCTCTGAAGACCTTGGAAGCTTGCATATCGGAGATCTCTGCCATGGAGTAGTGCTTTCCATTGGAGGACAAGAGGCCATGTTTCAATGCATGGAGAAGTTACTCCTCTCTCTTT